GGTTTGACAATCCGATGTCGTAAATTCGTAATCACTGCGCACCTTTTGTATGACAGTGTAATTAGGCTGGCACAGCCATGAAAGGTGCAAGTATCCAGTGAGTCTCCAATTAGTGCAGAGGCTAGCGCACAAACGGCGCCAACTACTCTGACGTCAATATATTATAACCAAGTTCCAACAACGATTCGACATCGGTTCATAAACTGCGCAGCGACCGGCAGCTGTCCCGACTTATCTGTTCCTTCCACCGCGTCCTGTACGTCGGGGCGCATAGCAGTCACCTAAAATTTATGGACAAAATACGATTCTGGGAATTAAGCGCGGTGAGGTGACTCAGGTGAGCTTATGAAGGTGGTTGCAGATCGTTACATGCTGTCGGTAAAACCCAAAATCTGTATTACCCTTGGCCTTGGAAACTGTCAGCAGTGTGCAAGCATGAATTTTTCGCATCACTACGGTAGTATTCATAAATATGGTAGTGTGCCAAACAGTACTGATATTAAACTGCGAAGCGTGAGGTGTGCTGCATTTCGTCGATAGCAAATTTTTGTCTTCTGTAGACACAAACTTCACGAAACTCGCCATCCGAACTGTCGCCATCGCAGCTTGTCACCGCAATCCGAAGGCGATATCGTATAGTTATATGTTTCCAGGTGACTGGCTTTGTATTGTGCTCCATTATTTCCGAAAAATTCCGTTATTTTTTTATGTACTCGTACGGTCGTTTAAATAACCACCTGCAGTAAGTGAAAGGGGAATTGTAGTTCAAAGTGCCCATCGTGAATTACAATTCCCACGAATCGTTTTTTTCTTTATCCAATTATACATAACAGGATCTGAAATTTTAAGAATATCTTGAATCGTTTCCCTGCAACTGCGTCGCTAAAAAACACCGACGAATCAAGTAAGCTACAGATACAGGAATGCATTGTCAATGACTTAATGGTAAGTGCAGCGAAGTGGTCCTTTGTTCTTAATTCTTTAATCCGCATGCATCGAGTGACCGTCATCCATCCACAAACTACCGATCCGCATTCCCGTATAGCGTTGTACTCGTATCTTTCGCAGCAATGTTGTGCCCGCCGGCTGTTGTTAGCAAAGCGTCCGTTGACTTGCAGAATATTAATTTTGTACATGCCGATAATCCTGGTTAGTATAATTATTCCTTTGTGTCGTCCATAATTCGACGACTGTTTTTTGTAGGTTTTTTGGTAGTCTAACTTCTGTATTGCGAACACCGTTCATCGCAGCTAAGTTAACGCAATAGCTACAGCATCATAAATACAAAGGCCCACGTAGCAGAGCTCAGATTTAAAACAAAATTGATTACAACACTGCCCATCTGCTTTATTTTAAATTTTACTCGACAGTACTATAAGTCTGTAATTATTATGATATCAAGAAAGTCGGCGCTGGCAGAAATCCGTGGAAATAAATTTAAAATAAAAGTCTAAACATGAAAACAGCGTAAGCCATATAAAATTAATGCGAACTCTCAGATCATCGCCACTTTCTTCTCATTTTATTTAGTTGCCGTCAGGTCATGCATAAAAGGATCAACAGTCACACATACTTTGCACTTAGACTTGCAGGATGCTGCAGCGACCTGTCTCAAGGCATCGATCGATACCACAAGCAACACCGGGTCTCTGCTCCTCTTTCATAAATGGAATTTTCTCCTCTCACTTTAGATTCGTACCCTGTGGATTTAATCGGATACAGGCTGCCAACTAATATGGTAGCTACACGCTACAGTGGGTAGCTACGTACGCCTACCTAGTGGTTTCGAAGAATACGCATCAGCATCTTTAATGACCTTTGGACAAGCCGAAACCAAGAAAACACCGTTACAGAAAGTTCACGCCCGTGCACTCATTAGCGGGGAGAGAAGCCAGATCGATGATCGGCAGAATCCACGAAATTAGTGCAATATTACATGACATGACAATCCATTCAGAGTTTCAGACGTTAGCGACAGTGGAGCACCGCAGTCCTCAAAGCGTCAATCGACATAATCAACAAAATCGGATCAAGAGCACAGTGCACAAACTTCAACAGAAGGCTCACTAGAAAGAACGTAGGGTTCTGGGAGTTGATCGAGTAGTAGATATTTGCTGGTGTCCAGCAAATAATGACGCTTATCGTAAGAAGCGTTAAAACTACAAAAGGTCGCGATGCGCGTTGTGGAAGATGCCGCTGGTTTCTTTGTAGTATGGTGATTTTGGAAGTTTCGCTTCCATTGGAGGCGGTGACAATGTTACGTTTCAGGCGGAAATACAAGAATGCAGGATAACTCAGGACGATGATAATTTCTGGAGCGTTATAGAATACTGCTGCCCAGGCCACCGTCCATCTCCGCAGACTCGGGGAATAATACGAAACGGCGCATTTATCAAGCATCGAGGCGTCCATATAGTTGACCAGGTAATTGATCAGAGGCGGAAGAGTGAAGACGATTGAAACGGTTATCATGACCAAATTAACGCCCCAGGCAAACCTTTTTGTGTGATATCGTTTGTAAAAAAACGGAGCAATAATCGCGCAAATGCGGTTAAGACACATCAGCATATGACAAACCGGTAGAATGCAACCGACCGGTTGACGAACAAATGCTTGTATAATGCAGAACGGCGGGATCAAATATTCTGGAAGGTAATCCTTGATTAACAGGAAAGCTGGGCTAACAAAAATCACGTAAAGAATATTGTTGCACGCCAGAACAAGAATGTAGATCGTAAAAGAAGTCAACGGACGAGTTTTCACAATGAGAATGTATATAAGAAATGCGTTCAGCAGCAAGGCTACTGCACAAATACTGGTTAGCGACGATTGAAGGTCATCCCAGTGTGAAGCAATCAAATACCGTTGTTCGGAGACATTGCTTGTCTTTGATATGTTGGCCATTTTAGTTGAACTTTAATTGGTGTTCGCACTCCAGTTATAATGTACGACAATCCACAATCGATGGAGACACTCGCGATATGCCCAAGGAGTTTTAATTAAAGAAACACTGCACGGATAGCAGTTATTAGCAAAGTATACACGCACCGAAAAAACGCAGATTTGACAAAAACTAACGCATGTTTAGTTTACTGTATAAACTTCTGAGATAATGATGCCGATAATTCTCTGCAAGCCAGAAATTGTGCTTTTGATTTAAATTGTGAGTATTTTATGAGGCGGCATCAAAATTCTTTAGCTCGCGTGCAAAATAGGTTGTAATGGGGAAAACGTTTCTAAACGTTGCAAGCAGGATACCCAGAAAGTGCTCAGACATCAAAAGGGCATGGTCTTTCTAGTTGAAGTCGTTGGCGTCTTATGTTTAAAACGCATCTGCGTTGTAGTTATCATGCCATTTAAGGATATTTGATATGAGAAGCTGAACGGTACCCATAAGAATACGGTCCAATTAATTCAGCGTGGCTAGATAAGCTTACGAATCTCGTCGATCGTATGGTGATGTGGCTAAAACCCAAGATTTAAAGGTCTCTTGGGAGCCTCCAACAGTGCGCTGTATCTTGGTGGCACGAGCTTCCACATCGCCACGGGTAAAATGGTGCAGGTAGTATTTGGTCCTATACCATGCTAAACCGCGCTGATATTAATTATTTTAAGTAACGTTCGGTAACGGTACAGTATTGTGCAACCACCACCCGTCAGGCTTTTAAAATCGGATAGTATCTAATTACCATAACCACAGAACTTATTACTCACAGTCACGATTACAACAGAAACTTTTTTAAGTACAGTGACAATAAATTGCAGACTGTATATATATCAGTTAGAAGCTTACTCCGGAGTTTTTCAAAAAATTTACAAGGTTTATCGTGTACATTAAACATAATACGAATTAAGTGCTAATAACTATGCAAATCTGTATTTCACAAAACAAAACAGAAAATCTATGTGTAAAGGGCAAATACATAAATTACGTATTTCACTTATTGGGTTTTTGTGAGCTCTTTTAACACAGAATTATTCGCTGTTATTTTTAGGGCTGTAGCTGTTAATAGTCTTTAATTACCCGCAAAAAATGCGAATAGTAAGTTACACCAATCACCGAAGCCGTTCTAAAAACTACGAACACGTCCCCGTTGTCTTTCATACGTACAGTACGAGTATGGTTAATATTCGAGGATTCGAGGACAGACAGTGAGGCACTATGCACTTCCGCAGTGTGTAGTCCTGTAAAGCATTGTACATACTGTAATAATAATAATACAGCCCCCTGCTGCTACCTTTCAACCGCTATAAGCGGGATTTTAAAAAAACGTGGGCTTGAGTCATTTAACATGCTTCAACACGTCACGCCACATAAATTTGCGTATCCAACGTAAATAGTATTACACTATTACGCAACAACTCTGCACGTACTGTACAGTCATCTGTGATATGCCTTGTAATGTTATGTTTAGCATGTCTTGTTAATTATTTATTACCATCGTAATTAATATCTGTGCTTTTTTAACAGTATTGCCTTTGCTTTGCAATACATATCACGGTGGTATTCGATTAAATAGTATCGATCTCAAATTATTAACTGCAACATGCCCGGGCAAAATATTATAAATGAAAAATTAGACAAGATAAATTATAAAACATAAGATTACAAAATTAGAATATAGTATGTCTTGCATTACACTACGATGCGTGTATGCATTACTGAGCGCGATTTATCTGCATTTTCTTAAAAGGGACCAGGTACCGGGCCATTTCTCTTAAGGCGGTCGAAGGGTAGCAGGACGGGCTGCATTATAAATTAATGTTTTAAGGTGGAGCAGCTTGAGGAAGTTTGCAGACAAGGCGTTTGCTGAAGCTGTTTTCTATGTAGCAATACTCCATCCAGCCACATTCAGTGCGAAAGCATCAAATTTTGGCATTATTTTAAACAATTTTTATTATCAAATGCAAAAAACATACCGGCTGCACTGTTGCACATACAGTACTGTGCGTTCTCTGATTGTACAATACATGCCGTTAAAAGAGCACGTGAGTATACGCACGAGCGTCAGCTTTAATCGGAGAGCGGAATTGCATATCCTTCAGATGCCACTGGTATTCCCGAGACGGCGTAAATCACAAAAATAGCTCTTTCAAATCTTGGCACGAAAACACTGCGCAGAGATAAGCCAGGTAAACTCCACAGTTACCGAACTGAACAGAAAATCATCTTAAAATCGTAATGAATGATACCTATTAACCATTTTAAAATCAGAAGAATCAAAGAAGACAGCCATTTTAAAATCAGAAGACACAAAATACTATACAGTCCATTTCTCGTGTTGATGAAAGCCACGGCCTACAAGAATGATAACGGGGAAGCGATTGTTCTCATGCTTTAGCGGGTGATTTGGGGCAATCCAAACTCATCCACTTGAATGCCTTGCGGTGCACCCGGGGCGTAACTTTCCGCTCCGGGCTCCCGACTCGGCACACCCGGAGCCTTGGCGGCCTGGTCCAGGTAGCTGGTGTCCTCATCCAGCGCCAGCTCATCGCCCAACGCCGCCAACTCTGTAAAAAAAGGAGTATATCAACTGAATCCACCGACATAATTGCAGACATGAAAGCCATGTTTGACTCTGCACTATGTTGTCTATGCAACCATAAAAAGTAAAGAAAACGAAATCAACAAGCTCACTAAAATTTTCATCGTCAAAATATATTATGCAAAATTGTAATAACTAGTTATCATCTTCACCTTAAAAATCTACAAAATATTAGTTCAACATGGTAATTTAATTGCTATCGAGCACCGAAACCAAAAAGGTGAAAAAAATATAAATGCAAATTACGTGCTTTCCTCGCACAGTAGCACAATAACACTGCCAAACGTGAGTTACTGCATTATCAAAAGCATTTAATTTTGTATACTGCCACTGCTCTACAACATATCTTAGACGATGCCCTCATCACAGCCCAACTGCGTTACAATATTTTAGACAACTAGTATCACTTATCAGAGGAACGCCAAAAGTAAACTCCAGATAAAAATAATTTCAGATCGAAATCGAAATAGGTAATACATTTTATAATTAGCATGACATCAGAACTGGAAACTGCATGCTCCAAACTTCATGCTCCTTGAAAATTAAAAATAAATCCCAGAAGGGGATTTGTTCCCTTGGCGGCATTAAGTACCATAAAAAAGTGGCACAAACCGTTACCTGCTTCCAGATCATCTTCGTCAATCTCCGGCATGCCATATGACCGCGATAAAGCCTCCTGAACATCGTTGGCTTGATCCAGATAATCTGCTAACTCGTCTTGAACATCCTAAAAACGGGAAATGCTGAACAGAAACAAATTTTAACATCCGGCTTTCGAGAAATATACACAAGACTCCATCTGTGACAGGCTTAAAGTACAGTAATCACAGTAAATATACACTAAAGTATAAAAAAGCAACATAAACGCCAAAATAATACTTTACACCACACAATAAACTAAACGTTAGCCTAAATCGCTGCGTCGTGCTTTTTGAATTTTTTCAAAACCGATACAAATTAAATAAGTTTCACCCCCAACGACTGAGACACGGAAAAAAGTACCACGAACTTTTGGTAAAAATTATCTCATACGCATTCGCATCGGGAAACCAGAAAAGGCTCGATTGTTTAATTAAATTTTCCAGTGGATGCTGCATTTTACCTCGATCTGGTTAATGTCCACTTGTTTATAGGCCTTCTTCATATCCTTGACGCCCACTTTCATAGCATCCAGCGTGGACTTGGTGTCTTTCAGCGTCTGTAAGGAGAAATTGGCCTGCTCCATGTTGAAGCTTTGCTGGGAGAGGTTGTCCCGCTGTGACTCGTACATTCGCTTCTGTTTCAGCACGCGCAGAGCCTTCTGCTTGATGGCATTCTACAAAACGACAAACGCTGCACAGAACATCACCAACCATCTGTAAGATCACAACAAACCACAATAATATACCCATAATATCGTAGTCCAAAAAAACTTTGATATTAATCTACTGAAAAATGATTAAGTCATGCATGTAACGATAAAGTACGCGAGCAACAAAATCCTGTACCAGTAATTCAGCAAGTAATAATCAGCAAATAAATTGGAATTCCTGGCTGGAAAATACTTTTATTCAGTAACTACAGTACAAACGGCTTCGCCTGTTAGTAAAACAAAACTGTAACTTATAATTTTATACTCTTTATTTTACAGGCCAAAATGGAATTAATCCAGGATTCATTAAGCTTTATCATTCACTCCAGTTGATTAAGTGACATAAAAAAAGAGTCACGATAAAGTCGCAAGCCATAAAACTGACAAACTAAAAACATTCACTAATCAAGAAAATATGCGAGATTCATCAACTAACTACTCGCTGCCGTAAATAGTAAACCAGAAAAAAAAATTCAAAAACTAAACAAAACTAATCAAGCTACCTTAGCAGGCCCGTCCCGCATCTTCTTCATCTGATCTTTATATTTATTCAGTTCTTCATCCAATTTCGATATCTTTTTTTCGATGGACTCTCCGCGACTATCCACCTATTCAAGAGCATCGTGCTTTCAGTTGAAAACACAGAAACCATGATCACAAATTCGTCAGCTATAGCAGATAATAGTCCATCCTTACATTGGATATCACATCCGTCAGATTAGGCGGAGGAGCCTTTGGTTTTCCCGTTCCAAATAAACGATTCATCTTCGTTGACAATAAATACAAGAACCGCACTAAAATCACACTACCAGCAACGAGCAAATGTCGACGGGGCCTTCAAAGAATTTACTCGGTCATACGCCAAAAATCCCAATCGAAATACAACCGAGGAAATGCGAATCGACGACAAAGCCCTGAATCAGTAATCTGTAATCCACAAAACTCACAAGTCAGTCTAAAGTTAAGCCCTAAATCGTAAACCATAACCCACACTTACAGCCTATTATCCTTTAACGATCTTAGAGTTTTTTTTCGGAAATTGTGGATAAAAATCATAAAATCCTAACGAATTTTCTCCCGAATATAAAAAAAGTAAGGTGTAAACTTAAAGAGTAATAAACTAAATAAAGCCAGTAAAAGTGAAAGTAAAGTTAAACTGTAAAACTTAAAAGTTGTGAAACTTGAAAAACTTTTTGCGTGTGATCGGATCGGATCAGTTCAGCTTAATCTGGCGAGCAGGCAGAGAAACGAAGCAAGGCTGATGAATCATCCATTTATACCGATAACATACAGAATATGGCGTTTTACTTGGTTTTACGTTTAATTACAGGAAGCGCTATCAACATGATGTCATTAAGCAAATACACAAGAGCTTTAATTTTACTATCGGTGAATCGGTATACTAAATTTTCACCCTGGAAAAAAACTTGGGAAAATGTTCGTAATTGCGGTAACAATTAGCGCAACTTAAAGCTGCTAAAACGATATTAAAAATCACAAAGAGAATGTATAGTCACAACTTATCGAAAAAGTACACCGACGTCTATTTTATTTTCATTTTATTTATTTATCTAGTATTTATGTTTATTCTTATTATTCAATCAGCAGCATTATATTGATACTCATTGGTATGCAAAAAATTATAATTTTTAGAACCTGCTGACTTTAATTTGTTACTACTAACTAGTACTAAGTGCATCGTAACTCGTAAGCAAACATCGAAAAGAATAAAGAATACGAACACAATTTGTAAAAACATCAGATCCACAGCGCGTATCTGAAAATTTCTAAGGATGTCCTTAAACCGAATTAATTTTGTAAGAAGAACCGCTTTACCGCATTATTTTATTTTTAAAAGAAGAAATCAACTACTGTACTAGATGATTAATATCTATATACAGTACAATACAGCTACAATTAAATTAATCTTTTGTTGTAATGATATTCAAAATCAATTATTAGGTGCATGCAGATATAGATATGATGCAATGCAGTTATCTCAAATGCACACATTAAAATAAACTGTTCTCAACATTTTTCAGTTAACTTTAAGGATTGCTGGTATCAATGCAGTTAACGTTACCGTATCAAGGAAAAACAGTAAAGTAGCGATTTTTGACGTTAACGTTTCGACAAATTATTCTCGATATTTACCAAAAATTAAAATTTTGTTTCATATTATTACTGAACGCACTGTGTGCCTGCCCATAGACAACGATTCGAGCTTGAAAATGTTTGAAAATTTCAGTTGAAGCAATTCAGTAAAAATCTAAAATTCCATACGATATCTACAGATATTCTAAAACCGCTAACAAAAAATATTTTTGTATACTTAATAATTTAATATTGACTATCCGTCAATGCGAAATGACATGGAAAATGTAAAAACGCTACTGTCATAATTGCAGCAATTCTGGGCTATTCTCGACTGTTCGACTGTGTGGTAATAGCACGGTCCCTCTAAGTATACGGCTTGTACTTTCTGTGGTAATAGCGCTTACAGTGGGCGATCATATGGATGTACGAGATGACTCATACAGAATACTATGAAAGCTAATTTTTGATTGGCTTGCATGGCATAGCCCCCACCCGCTGTACTGTCTTTTACCAACGTTACATTGCAGAATGCCGGTTCATGCTGAATCATCCACGTCATGGTCAAATTTCGCATTTTCGTATATAAACCCAGAATGTTTTTACCAAACTCACATCACTTCTCCTCAACAATCTTTTTATTCAGTACACTTTTTGAGCCTTTGAATCCGTTTTTCCAAATTTCAGTACGAGTTGGTTTATGTTAGTGAGCTGTTTTACTTCTGCTTACGTTTTACAACATGTCTCTTCAAGTAAAACTGTACACTCCGTCGGGCGAAATCCGCCGATTCAACTTGGACGGCAACGCCACATTTTCCGCACTGCAGCAGCGTATTCGAGATTTGACCGGAAACGATAACTTGCGCCTGTTTTGGCAAGGTACGTAGCAGCCTAGCAGGTCTAAAAATTGCTCTACTACAGACATCTATCTGTACATTGTAGAGGTATTGTACAATATGCTATATATATCATGTCTGGTAAAAAAATTAACGCGGTTGTTTGGATTTTTAGATAATACAGTCATAGTACCTAGTTTACCATTTATCATAACACAAGCCTTATGTTGTACACATTTATAAATTATTTAATAGTTGGCTGAATTTTTATCAATTTTTGTTGCGCAGTTATTATACTGAATATTTCCGTCTACGTCTTTAACGATTATTATTGTTCTGAAATTTTTGTTATCGCAGATTCCGAAGGTGATTTCGTGATTTGCGGATCGGACGATGAGTTTAATGAAGCCAAATCCATGCATAAGCCGGGCAATCCCCTGCGCATTTTCGCCAAGCCAGGCCGCCCGACGGCCTCGGAAAACGTTCATCAGCGCGTGACCTGTGACGGATGTCGTGGTGCAGTGGCTGGTACGCGCTACAAATGTCTGGAATGCCCCGATTACGATTTATGTGAGAAATGTATGGGAGAGCGGCAACATGCCCAGCACGATATGCTGGCCATCCGCACACCGGGAACGCATGCATGGAAGGTAAGCCGCTTATTCAAAATAGCACCAAAAATAAATTAGACGAACGCTAATTTATTTTTTTTGGCAAACGCAGCGCAAATTTGATTTTACAAATTATCTGCATAGGTTTTTATTAGCACCTCATTCAGAGTTTTTCATTGATGGTTACAATTGTAATATGTTGCATACAATAATCAGTAATGTCCTTTACGCACTTTTTACATTACTATAATTATTTTTGTTTTTCTTCCAGAAAGCCTTTGCTCAGGGATACGGCAACCGTGCCGGTTTCCGCCCTGCCGGATGTCCTCGTTTCGCTCGTCCCGGTTGTGGACCGTGTCGCCCACCGAACTGCGGACCATTCCAACCGGGTACCATCCCGCCTTTTGTCCGTCACATGATGGAAACTTTTGGACCGGTCATCGACAAAACCGTGGAAATGGACATTGACCTTAACAAACCACTGCAAGAAGTCATCGGTGACGTGGCCAAAAACATTACGGAGGCACTGAACACGGTCAGCCAGTCGGCGGAAACTGAACGCCAACAGGAGCCAAAACAGGCGACCACCACCGAGGAGAAGAAACAGGAGCAGGAGACGGCGGACTTTGTCACCGCGATGGCCAGCGCCGTAGCTGATGCCGTCAACGTGGTGAGCGATGCGTTGAAGGAGGTCATCCCGGAGGCGGAAAACGGGTGGACCCATCTGCAGCCCGAACCGGCCGCCTCCCAGTCGCAGACAGAAGAGCCGCAGCCCAGCACCTCGAAAAGCGAAGAGAAGCCGGTGCAGTCGGAAGGCAGCATTGAAGCCGCGCTGCGTGCCATGGAGGAGATGGGATTTCCCAATGAGGGCAACTTGCTGCGCCGTTTACTGATTAACTACAAAGGAGATATTTCCCGTGTGCTGGACTCCATTAAGTAAAATACTTCTTCAATGACAATCACGATTACCTATAATTTGGTATGACTACGATATTTTTTGTGTCAGTACTTTGTATAATACAAAAAGATGTTCATTTGGCCTGTCGCTTAACAGTCATCCCACTTTTGCTGTCATGATTACGGTAGATAACTGCGTCAAATTAAAACGTCGCCGCTATCTACCGCCGCAAAATATTTCTCTGTATAAACTTATCCACTCGTGATTTGTTTACTGTAGTGCACTGGCATGTTATTAAGGACAATAAAAAATGCGAATTTGTTTTTGTTGTTCATGTGGTTTAAAAGTACGACTCTGGTACTTCCCTTTACCTGCATTAATCAATAAGAGTAAAGCACGGCAATTTTAAAATATTGTAATTAAACCCCAAAGATATGCTACAAAAAACCAACAATATTGCTTTGGCAACAGTTTCTTCATACGAAATCTATTGCATAACATTTTTTTGGTGAAAAATACAAATTAATGTTTCAGTAAACGTTGCCATAGCATTACAGGAGAACAAACGCAGTACAGTGCAGGAAGTGCATGGGAAGTGCTTTTACATAATTTACCGCGACACCGGAACCAGAGCTTCCATAACAGTTATTATCGACGCATGTAAACACCAACTGCAAGTCAATATTGTACAGCTGTATTGGCGTCCTGTATGAGGACCTCTCAATCACTTTTTCTTAATTTGAAAGACCTTGTTCTGTTACTTTTCGTGATGGTCTTGTTGGTGACAAGTTTCCGAAACTACAATAAAAACTTCTGTTGAAACATCCTAAATGCTATTGCAGCGGTTGGAGTATGCGTGTATATGGTTTGGTTGCTTATCGTATACATGTAATTATTATACCACAACGTCTTTATTTTTGTCCTTGAGGTTGTTTACGAAATGACAACTGTCTCTTGGCTCCACTTAATTTGCCGGAACCTTTTGTGAGAAACACCAGGTACTGTAGTACATACCTCTACGTACCACCTGATAAAACTGCCCAAACACATGATAATGGTCGCCGGCAAAAGATACGGTACAAGTATCGATCGGTTACCTGTTTCGTAAAGGAACATATGCAGTCCCGCTTTCTTGGTCTATCGATTGCTTACATATATACACCATTCCCTAAACCCAGGATTCAATAGTCGAAATTCCAATAACGCCCGACAATGATGCGGCGCATTAATTTTATTGATCAAAAAACGAAGCAGCGAGTCCATGATCATGGTTTACGCCGTCAAAAACTATTTCATTTTCAGCAGCGCTTTGAAGAGTTGCCACACTGAATGCCCATGAACTGCCAAAAAAATTGCGTCTGCCAAGCTTCTTATCACAGAGATGCAATAGATATTTATTACACCGTTTCCCACCATGAAGATACAATTCCAAAAAACCTTAGGAACACGCAAGATCAACAAACAGGTAAGCGCATCGAATCCATGCAGCCCTTAATTCCATCCAAAGCCGGTCAGTTTTTAGGGAGAAATTTTTCCCATCCAAGCCGTGGCATGGGCTCCTAACAACAAGCGCTTAGCATTCTGTGATGATGACCGATCTGTATGGGTATACGGTGACGATGGGGAATATCATTTTCATTTTCCCACCAAACCCGTCGAAAAAGAGGTACGATATTATTATTATACAGGAGAAAGCTGTTTCTGGTGCGCCTGAAAGTCTGGAAAACTTTGTGGTGCCTGAAAATTATCTGGAAGACTGGAAGGCCTCGAATTGCTTACTTCGTTATATTTTTAGTTTGGCAAGAACAGTTTTATCGTAACATGTATGGATTTCGCTCCCGACTCGTTGCGACTTGCTGTTGGGCAAAGCGACGAAGTGGTTTACGTTTACCGACTGCCCAAAGAACGGTAACCGTAGCTTAAACTTACATAGCTGCGTTTAACATATACATTTACATCGAGGTTACAATTTGGTATATAACTCGATATACAGAGGTTAGTAATTTGCATTATAACAGAGACAAAAGTGAGCTCGCGGTCGTCGGGAAATACGCACAATTCAGTCCGGTAACGTGCTTGCTGTGGACCAGCCGCGGAACGCTTGTGTATGGTCTTCAGGATGGAAAGGTTGGTTTTCAATAGGAACTTGACAAGCATAACGGCTTGTATGCGGGTTCATCCAATTGTTTTTATGCTGTTTGTTATCAAAATGTAGCGCATGCGTACGCTAAGTATATAATTTCAACCACAATTCCTACATACGTAACGTTTATGAAAATATTTTGTTCGTCGACATCCGTTGGCGAAGTTATATATGCACAGACTGGGATGGTCTTGTACTTTGTAGTATAGTGGCTGATCCATTTATGCGTGCGCATAGTTAATGAACACCGTTCACAGCCAGTAACTATGCTATTTGAAGATTTTTTAACGGCTCGAGTATGCAGGCTAATTTAATTTGTGGTGAAGAAATGCAAAAAATTCGTTTTTTGCGGTTTCATTTTCGTTACATCTTTTTAATTCGGTACGATTGCTGATTTTGCAGATTAGATGTGCTTCCGGGAGCAAAAACTCGGATACCTTGCACCAAACCGACGTTACTGTTGTGCAAGTGTTAGCAAAGTAAAAAGAATATCAGTAAAAAAGTTGTTGACTGTTCATTAACAAGCTGGCCGGATTTTTCGCAATTACACCGCTCCCCAATGTTTCAGCCAAGCTGGAACCGTGCTGGTCTCCGCACATAACGATGGCTCCATTTTCACGTACGTCCTCGATAACGAGACCTTTCAACACGCCAAGAAAATCCTCACATCGCCGCGACCCACTTCCTGTGTGACGTTTGCCGGGGATTCCTTGTTGATCGCCACATCCGACAGTGTGGTCACCGTGTATGATCTGACTGGCAAGAGGCTGCAGGAGATCGCGGCCCCCACTCAAGGGAGATCATGGCAGCCGATGACGGCGGCTGCCGCCCCCAACGGACAGTACGCCGTGTTTGCCGCGTTTGACCGATTGCGACTGTTCAGCTTTGTCTCGCGGAAAGGCACCTGGGTAGAAAATGATCCGGTTGTCGTGGAGAACTTGTACCTGGTGCCGGCTTTAAGCTGGAAGAAAGACGGAACGAAATTGCTAGCAGTAAGTATTTCACAAATTTCAGCTACCTTTCGGAGATCATTTAACTGAAAACGTTAGTATACCAAATATTTTTAGTCGTCCTTGTTCGGTGTTGTGGACATGTTCGATTGCGCATTACGGAAACGGTTAACTCAGGACAAATACGAAATTACACACATTGCCGGAGATCAAGTTTTGATTCGTGATATCGCGTCGGATAAACGGTTCTCTCTGCGCAGCGAATCCGGCGCGGGTATCAACAAAGTGGCGGTGCTGAAAGACTTCCCTTTGGCCGTTGCCAGTACTTCGACGCATTTGATCCTGATGAGCATGGAGGATGGTGCAACAAGCGAGGTCGGTGATTATACAATATTTCCGTATGCTTCGTTACTGTGTTTCTCAGCATTCGGTGCTACTTGTTTGCTGTTTGTCACTCAATGGTTTCTTGGACTGTGACCACACCACTTTCCCCAACCGCGTTGTGCAACATGGATGGAGAAACTTGTTGTGATCACGCGCCAAAATAACGACCGAACAGCATATTCAAAAAGTAGCGCTTGCTACTGTGGAAAAGCAGTATACTGTATGTAATCAGGAGCCGGATGTTGTACAAACGCGCGTAAAAATTCCTTCAATTCAGTACTTCCGTTCTGTTGTAATCTGCTAGCGGTATTCGTATTACAAAAGTCTGGACAAGTGCAGGCTGCCAGTGCCGTAACGAGTGCAGTTTAGCCGTAACAATAATACCACAGCATTTAAAGCCTATACTAGGGTAGTATTCAAAGCCTGTGGTAAATTGCTCAAGTGCGCACACTGCACTTTTTGAATTCTGCTGTGACGGAGATCTGTCGTGTTTTTGTTTTGATGTTTCTATGGCTATTTCTTTGTGAAGCGGTAGTCTACCGACTCTACCCTCCTTGTACAGGAGCAATCCTGATTGTTGTAAACGTTAAGAAGAATAAGCAAACAAACGAACAAACTGTGTACAGTACGAGTATACTGTACGTACAATCCTTTTAGCACTTCTGTATTGATCAGGCTTTCATACAACTGGCGCATTTGTCTCTTTATTTTTTATGTTGGATGATTATCGGAAAATGGCTGCAGGTGTCGTGGAACTGGAAATCCTCACCGGATATGAAACCCAGCTTCCATTTGGACGGTCACGGCTGTGTAGTGTATTACGACAACAAGCTGTCCGTCATCGAGCTGTGGCGCAACGAAGTCCTCGTCACCGTGGCCACTCCCAACTTCTACAGCCGCTTTTTCAGTCTGCAGATGAACAGCAATCCCAAGGTGTTCGTCTGTCTGCCCAATCGGAAAACCCTTCGTGTGACCGATCTAAACCGGCAGCAAACCGTCGCCACCATGAAGCACGATATCGACCTGGATTGGGTCACGTTGAACAATGCCGGCACAGTGGTGGTGGCCCGGGATGTGCGGTACGCGGTGATGCTGTTCTTTGTGGGGAGCAAGGACAAAATGGTGATGTGCCAGCGCTCGACATTTGTGGAACTGGTGCAGGGAACTGACACGTTGGTGGTGCAGGAAGATAAAATGATGAGAGTGTGGTCGAATATTTCCGATGGGAAAGATGGCAAAGATGCCATGGCTGAGCAAAAAAAGCCAATCGAGGTAATAACTATTCCGTTTAGAACTTTTAAAAAATTTTAAGTTTGATTTAATTAAATTTTCAAGTACGGTACTTACTTAAATTATTGTTAATTCGAATTTGTCATAAAAATTATCTATTCGGGGAAACCTGTTTTGCAATATTCGCAGTTATTAGCTAAATATTGTGTATTCACTTCGTATTTTTTACTTTGCTCATTTTTGATAGTGTCGCAAACCATTTCGATAACTTCGTGAAAGTAAAACCATTTACAGGGGAAAATCTCCGAAATTGTGCAGCGAAGCGGTCAGATTATTGTGCAAGTGCAAAACGGGGATGAGATTGTCACCCATGTCCTGGAAGACGATAGCGGTCAGTTCGACAATGCTCTCAAGAGACTGGATTTGGACCGGGCTTTCGCTTATTGGACCGCCACACCGGAATCGCCCGTGAAGGAATCCAATTTTCAAACTCTGATTATCAAGTGTCTGGATAACCGGAACTTTCAACTGGCCGAACGAGTGTTTGCCTCGCGAAAAGATCCCCGTGAGAAAGATATTAAGGATCTAGTGGCACGGACCCAAAGCCTGCAGAAGGAGCATAATCGACCGTTGGAGGAAATTTTGGGCCATTATACGGTGAAGTGCGTACTGCTGTTTCAAAACATAACACTCTTTAGTTTAACAACTTTGCGTAGAATAGTGTCACCAGTTTCCTTCCCATGGCAGTTCTTGGTCGATTTTAGTACCGCGAAGCATTTGTCATTTTGACACTGGCTGATCAAAAGTACTGCAGCCTGATTTTTGCTAATCGATTGAAACTTTAATAATAATAATAAATTGGCTTGGTCCTGTTTTTGTCCTTTTCTAAAATACTTAGATCGGAGCAAGTAACGCCTGTTTTTCGTGGTAGCAAAAACCCACACCGCACCCACAAACGAAAGTGTTCTGAAACCAAAAGCGAAGCGAATATGAGGAAATTTTTCGTTTTTAGAGCGAACATTGAGCGACTGAAAGGCGATTTTTCCGCTGCCGAGAAGATCTTACTAGCCCAGCGAGATCACAAGCGCGCCATCGTCATGCAAAGCAACGCCGAGAACTACGTGCGGGCTTTACAGGTGGCGCAGGAGTACGAACCAGCTCTCGTTCCGGACCTGGTGACAAAGTACCAATCCCAACTGACCAAGGAAAATAAGATAGGACCACTAGGACTGATCCTGGCGTACACCGGACATCTGGGCGAAGCGGCCAATTTGTATCTGGCTCCGCCTTTTAAACCGCTGGAAGCCTATCGTTTGGTGGTTGCCTATCCGGAGACTGTCAAAACTGCGGAGGGCAAGGTGCTACTGGATCAGTTAGTGCCGGTGTTGCGAAAAAGCGGTCTGTGGGAGATGGTGGGAAGGGTGTCTGAACTGCGAGGTGAAGTGGACGCAGCACTGGAGGCGTACCGTAAAGGTCACATTTATGAACATGGTGAGTGGCTGATCGTATAATACTTTAAGCCAGTCCATGTTTAGCCTTTGTTTATGCGGAAACTATGTTACTCATTTAATACTGTGTGATAGCTGACTATAATGTTGCACAAAATGGCAACGGAAATGTAAACTAAACTTTATAAGCAAATGGGTGGCCACAGTGGGTCGTGTGTTGTCTTACGGCCAAGTATGTTTCAAACTTACCCAAATTCTAAAATTATTTACTAATTTACCATGTTTTAGTCGTGGGTATTTATTTTTTAAATGGGTTAGCAACAGGAAGTGTATTTTAAGAGAAAAAAAAACATTTATCCTGCCAGTGGAAAGCAGTGCTTCAGTTTGCGTTATAATAATTCCTGTTTATGTGGTGTAGTCACTTGAAAAATAACAACGCAGCCATTATATTAATGGTATTTTCAGCCATTGAATATGCGCGACAACACCGACCGGAAGACGTAGTACCACTGGAGACCGAATGTGCGCGGTACTTGGTCGGTATTCGGAAGTGGCAGGATGCCATATCGCACTTCATTGAAGGTAGTCCATCTTGTAATGTTTTCCGTTTTTACCATAACCATCCGCCTGCGGCTGTTAGGTATTTGCGCAGCCTTTGATCGAAATATATATTTTTCTGGTAATTTACTCTACTAAACTGCAAAGTTGCAACGTTAGTTGCTGAAAATTCGTATAAGTTTAAGAATACAGTAAATGTTATATAATATGCGGCCAAAATAGTGGACAGTGGACACAGTTTAACGTATTGCAATCGCAGCGTATGGGATTTAGCCGGAGCTAACCACTCACACATCGCATCTCTTAACGGACAGTTTATGAATACAGTTATGAATAGAATTATATTTTTAAAATCCCTGTAATTTTTCTTTCCGGGATATTAAAATTTCTAAATTTGTTTTTCCGTTTATATTAATATGTTTGGTCATAAAAATATACAGAGCATGCACATGCTCATAGTATAATTATGCGCTTTCTATTATAATTATGGCAGTTTCTGTTATACGGCAGTGGCAGTAGTAAGTTCTAGAGATGGCAACGGCTTAGCCGAGGCCGGCTAAGCCGCGGCTTAGCCGGCTATTGGCCAGCCGGCTGACGGTTTTTGCGAGCCGTAGCCGACGTCAGGCCGGCTGCTTAAGCCGGCTGAGACTTCAGCCAGCCGCGGCTTAGCCGGCGGCCGACTCGGCTGAAGCGGCTTGAACGGCGGCATCGTTGTGCAATTTTTGGCGGTAATGATGGCGCCACCGAGTCACTTTGCATCACATTTTCTTCGGCTTGCTCCCAATTTCTGTCGCTTTCGCTCGTGATATTGTTAAACTCGGCCGTCATGATGCCATTTCAGTAGCAATGACGCCATTAACTGTAAAAAATCAGGGAATTTTAACTCATTCAGACTCGGAATTCCCCAATAACCGCTGTTTTTTTGCTTCAAAAGTTTTCGAAAACCGTTTTTTCACAACATAAACGGAACAACTTCTACTTTTTTGTGATTTAATTGCACTTTGCAACGTTATTTTAAAAATTTTGCGAATTTGTTTTAAAGCAAGATTATAAACGGCTTAGCCGGCCGCCAGCCGGCTAAGCCGGCTGGAAAATTTTGTCAGCCGCTCTAGCCGGCTGAGACTTCCAGCCGCGTTGAGTTAGCCGGCTAAGGGCTTTAGCCGGCCGTCGGCCGAAAGGTCAGCCGTTTAGCCGGCCGTTGCCATCTCTAGGCAGTACTATTATATGGCAGTTTCTATTATACTTTCTATTATATGGCTATTTGGTCTGTATTTATGGATTAGAAAGTTTCTTCAACACGTGAAACGCTAGCTGGTCAAAACATTTCGCTGCTACACGGTTAAGCCAGAAGATACGACGTGAAAACCAATAATTAATTTCCTCGGTTTAACTTTGATTACTAAAAACTGTTTATCCCGTTGTAGCGAACATGAATGTCGAAGCGCTGGAAGCGGCCATTCACTGCTTGGATTTTAAAAAAGCCGCGGAAATTCTGTCGGTCGTGGAGGATAATGCGATTGTTAAAGAATACGGCCAGCGGTTAGCGGTCCACTTCCAAGACAGGGATGAATTACAAGTAAAATTAGCTCTCCTGTAGAATTTTTCTCACACCCTCAGCAACTTTTTAACGCTTTAAGCAGTCAATATTTTCAACCATATATTCCAGTGATTCAGTCTGCAGCAAATTATCATAATATTATCGTACCATGGCATAGATAGTACTTCCTTTATTAGGAAGCTGTGGAGATGTACCGCAAAATCGGTAAGCCTAAGGAGGCCATTAAAATGTATTTATCTCGCGGGAAAATCGACGAAGCTTTCGCTTACGCGGAGAGATCTATGAAAACGAACGATGCACTAGAGATATTTCGCAATGAGGCCCAAACCATGGTTACTGCTAAGCGGTACTCGGAAGCCGAAAGGTAATAATACTTAATACGTATTTATGCACCGACCTTTTTTTTGTTGCAGAGCTCCATAATTAGAGACTTGTTCGGCTTATAATTTCGCCGAGCATTGTTTTGCATCTAACGGCATCTCTAAAGATGAACCGTACCAAGCTTGAATTATAGTTCTTGCATGTAATTCACATACACACATTTAAAAGGAAACATATTAATTTTCATGCAGCATGAAAGCATCATTTTCTTGCGTAAAAGCAGGCATTTAAAAGCCACCAGAATGTCCTGTTATTAAACATCAGAGGAGTCGCCGACTGTTGTAGGCCTGGCGTTCAGTTACCTCTTAAAACTAATACATGTTCGTCCATGGCGTGTTCGCGTTGCTTCGCTTTTGTAGTTAAGAGTTCGAAAAGATTTGAAATGTTCTTTTGATTAGCACAGAAGTTCTCAGCGCAAGTAAACAGAAAGTTGTACATCGTAGTACATTGGCTTTAAACCCAGGGGCCAATTGCTAATGGAAACTGCTAATCAAAAATCGAAAACTACAGTGTCACAATAACTGATTTAATTTTTTTGTGTTTTGCTTTAGATTATTTCTTCTTCTGCGTGATCCCGACGCTGCTGTGGACATGTACATGCGTGCGGAACAATTTCAGCGCGCCATCGCTTTAGTGAAAGCTCATAAACCGCACCTTCTTGATGATATCCACACACAAATCGGAGAAGTATACTAAAATTTCTTGAACCTCATTATCCTGCATAATACAGCAGTAGATTAAAGTTAACCGATGCTCGTGGTTGTGCTAGATTTGCCGAAAAAATGGCAACCTTCGCCAAGCGGAATTGTACTATTCTAAAGCTCAGCGCTACAAGGAGCTGGTACAGATGTACGTCGAAGATGAGAAATGGCCGGACGCGTTCCGCTCGGCACAGGAACATATGAAAGAAATGGCCGATGATATTCTGTATTTGTGGATCGGCCGGTTGGGTGTCCAGGATGGGATCGCGATTTTACGTAATCTGGGCGTGGCCAAAGAGTTTATCCGTATGGCGATGCGATCGGGGTAGCGAGCGATCATACAAAACTTTCTAAATTAAATGTCTTACCATCTCGTGAATTTTATATAGGCTTGCTGTGTTAACAGGGAATTCAGGCTTGCTGTGTTAACAGGGAATTCGATAATGCATCCCAAGTCGCCAACGAAATCGCTCCGGATTTACTTCCCGAAATCTCCATCCAACGAGCCAATATGTTAGCGGAAAGCGGTCAGCATGAGGAGGCGGAACGAGAATATCTGGCGGCGGATAATCCAAATCAGGCGATCCAGATGTATGAAAAATCGCTTGGGTTAAGAAACTGAGTTTCGAGGAATAATTTTGCAGGTACATCGATGCCAACAAGTGGTCGGAAGCCATCCGTTTAACGACGACGTACTTCCCGGATGAACTGCCACAGGTGCTCATGTCGCACGCGGTGCTGCTGTCCGACAGTGGGCAGTACCATGAAGCGGAGCACGAATTCCTGAATCTCAACCGACCCGATCATGTCATCAATATGTACAAAGTACTACAAATCATTCAAGAAATTTTAAAAAAATTTCTATTGAATTTTCAAAAAAGAGCAGTTAAAAGAGTTGAAATTTAAGAAAACCAAAACCTAAAAAATTCAATATTTAATTAAAAATTATATAAAATAAAAAAAATGTCATATACAGTATTTGATAAGTTAATAAACTAAATTATGTATTCAATAAAAAATAATTCAATTCAATGAAAATATTATTGAGAAAGGCACCTTGCTATAATCGTCGTTAAATATGCTAGAGTCAAAACATGTGGGAGGATGCTATTCGCGTTGCACGACAGTATCGTCCGGCGGAAGCGCAAGCTCTCGAGATGCAGTCAAATAAAGCAGCCATCACACGGCCGCGAACCGGTCGACCGGGTGACCAACTAATTCAGCAAGCACGCGGCAAGGAAGACAGTTCGGATTACACGGCTGCTGTCAAACTGTATTTGCGCTGTAAGCCTTGAAATGAATAATTTATGCCAACCTGGGCATTTGCATACGTCGCGGTTGCAGATTTACAAGAAACGCCCTCAGCCGATCCGAATCAACTTGTCCGCGTGTGCGCTCGTGTCCGCGAGCTGGCAACTTCCTTTCTGGGCGAATTGGAAGCCAGGAATGCGTTAGAAATCGTCGCCAATAAGCTGCTTTCCCTGAATCGTTCTAACATAGCTGCTGGGATATTTTCCGAGATTGGTGACACGGAGAAAGCGCTGGATGTGTATATGGAAGCCAATATATGGGAAGAAGCGCGCGCGTTAGTTCTCCGCTTACAGAATCCGCAGTTGACGAAACGCTTGGATGCGCGGTATAAAGACGCGCTGCGCACTCAAGGAAAAGTCGATCAGGTGAATTTCCCTGCGCAAAGTTCCTTTGTTTAATGAATTAAGTTAGTGCCTTCGAAAAAGGTGACCTTTTGTGACTTTTTGAAGCTAGCTTCGATGGATGCCGCATCGGCTGTGGAGATCTACGCTCGCAACGGTGAATGGGAAAAATGTTTAAAAGTTTGCATGGAAATTCGTGATCTAAAGCTTCTGGCCAAGTATCTGCAACAGTATGCTTCGGTGTTATTAAAAAACGGTGAAGACGTGAAGGCACTGGAATTGCTGACCAATTATGGTGCACCGGTTACTGATGCTGGTTTAATCGGCATTTATCGGCAACTTTTCTATACATTTCTGCCGCAGACATTTAAAGACATCGGTGAAGGCTTTAGAATTTGGTCCAGCATGCGTGACCTGATTTTTAATATGGTAAGAATGTTGTAGAATAAAATTTAATCATGTTTACGCAGCAGTTAAAAAATAACAATTTTCATTTTTAGGGCGAAAACGTGCTGCGCAGTAATACTGAAATTTCTGTCGGAGTGACAGCTGAATTTGAAAAGTACCTGCAGATCTCGCTGTATTACGCCAGCCATTATTCCATGATTTCCGAAGAAAGTACCAAAGAAATGGCGTATATGATTCTGCTGAGTCTTCTGCGCTATTCCGATGTAATTAATCCAGACAAAGCGTTCTATGATGCCGGTCGAGCAGCCAAAGAGCTGAAATTCAGCGGGACAGCGGATGTCCTGCTGAATTTTTACCTGGATTGGCGGGAGTGCATCATCCATCAGAATATCGGTTTGGTTGACTATGCACAGTTTGCCGGTTCGGATATTCCGGTGAATGTGAAAATACCCAGCGATCATTCTGTAACGGTAAGCGAATATTATGATAATACGAAATCCACTGCCAAAATTGTATATTTTGTACTCGTATCGGAATTTGCACTCACTGTGTGGAAAGACAAACGTTTTGCAGAATGAAGCTTACGAAGAGGTTAAAACGTGGATTATGAAAGCGGCTCTGGATCGTAATTTGAAGTTTGAGTTAAAGAAGGATGAACGAGGAGTTTTTGAGATTTCCTTATCCGGTGGCCGTTATCCACCATGTGTTCTGACCGGTGAGTGAAATATGCATTAAAAAAATCTTAAAAAAAAATCATACTCACAAAGTACTGAGTGCCAGGAATTCTGTTCCAGTATGGTGTTTATGGATCATGGCACTTTCGTAAGCTTAAAATTGTCCTATGTTGTGAATACTACACTACCTCTGTACCCGAATGGAACGTTTTGGTGTGTACATTTTACGGTAATTACTCATTTTGTAGGCTATCCTGTACTGAGCAATGGTGTGAAACTTGGTACCACCGGTCGATACGCACGAAAAGCGGATCTTAACCGATTTCTACAAGCTATTCGAGTAAGGTTTTTGCGTCAACAAGTTTTTGACCACCTAAATGCTCATTTCTGTGTGTTATTATTAGAGCACTCGCAGTGAGAAGCTGGAAGATCTCCGACGATTCCTGGTGAAATGGTGCGGAGCGGCGACGGAACTCAACTACGCATTCGTTTGAACGCAAGGATTGGTTTCTTCGGTTATGCGGTCGATCAGACAAAAAACTAAATGTTTTGTTATTGATATTAGCCATATTACTCGTGTTGCGTGTTCACTTGCCATCCAGATCAATGAATTTATTTATAAACTGTTAGATCCTACGGACCGCAACCATTACTATACACGTGGACACTCAAACAGCGTTCTCCGTTAACGCTGCTGTCGACGACGTGGTAGCCAGTGGAGGAGCGATAACAAAACTTCCCTGTTGTGGGAGCTGACCTAACGGTTTTCGCTCTAACTCGTGCCACCAGTCGTCCGGCATGGTGTTTAGTAGGTCGCGCGTCACATCCTGATGCGTGCGAACATTGCGCAAAAATTTGAATCGTGTCCCGAGTTTCCGAAATATCACATAATCAACCACAATTTTCTAGAGTGAAATGCGAAACCGCTTGTAGGGTAAATAATTACGGTTTAATGCTTCTGACATTATACAAGGCAACAGCAGAAATACTTACTTCAAACAGAATCGCAATAATTCCATTGCAAAATGCTAGGAAGAGGAATGTCAGCTTCCTGTTCCATAATTCCGGTACTTGCAGCTGTAAATAAATTACAGTATTAAAAATTTGAAGATTGTTTTATCGGCGGCAGTTTTGTTGACGCTGTACCTCAAGAAGCCATTTCATTGGCTCAGTCGGCCCAAGTAGCAAAAACATGTCAAACGCAACCATTCCCAATGCCGTGAGGCAAAAAATTCCTTTGAAAAAAGTTTTAGAATCTAAAGCCTTTAAAGATCACAATGATAGTGCGCCCTAAATACAGTTTCGCATAATCGAGCAAGCAGAAATGGAACGTACGATTTTTCAGAAGAATTTTCCGGTATGGCGGTCCTTTAGCGAATGCCAACGCTAACCATACATATTGGAAGGAACTAACGGCGAAAACCGCAAAGTTCTCCTTGGAGAAAAATGGCGGTGTACCACCGCCATTAGCGTACATATTTTCATAAGATGTGCTATCTTTCTCCAAATAAGCAATGAAGAATGCGGCTAACTGGAAACCGAAAACGATGATCACTTGGGAAAAGAGGGAAAACAGTGGGACGAAGGTAATTAAACTGGTTGGCGGTGGGGTGCGCGACAGATGCGGATGAGCTTTTGAGCGGCCAAATGTTGCACTCAGGATAAGAACTTGAAAAATGTCCACGTAGGTAAACTGGAGATCTGAGAAATTCGTTGCGATCTGAAAGTGCTCGCTTAAATATCTTTTCGGGTTTACGAAACCAACACTTTACCTAAAGAAATTCTATTTTTCATGCAAATTTCCTTACCGAATATAAGACGATTACGGAGAAAAACTGCGTTAAACTGTATCCTGCCATGTATTTGAAGATCTGCAAAATAAAATGAAATCCGAGAAATTGTTCGAGAGGGGTTTGGCAATAATAATTCTTACCCCAAAAGATGTTACCAAAGCAGCCCGTCCTTCCTTAATAATTTCCGGAACACAGCCAATACTCCCTGTGCAAGCCGTGAACGGTGCGGCCGCTGCAGCTTCTGACTCCGATAACGATACGCCCGCATGTGCTGCTTTCAAGGCCTAGAAACGTCCCATAAACACGCTAAGACAACGGCAGTTATGACCTTTTGACTTACACCACAGTCGTTGGCTCCATCGCCGCACATTGCAACGAAATATCCGGCCTCCTGGAAATCCTCCACCAATCGCTCCTTTTCATTTGGTGACATTCGAGCAAAAACGGTTCCATGTGCTAACATCTGCGAAAACATGTACAGTTCCAAGTTTTCGAAATCGAAGAATCAAGGTAATGAGTAACTGCAAACTTTTTTAAGAACTTGTGGATGGTCCGATCGAATTCGGCTGAATGACTCTCCGCTAACCGCTCCGTGTATCGTTGGCAAATTGATAATTTCCGTCGGTGATGAGATTTTGTCAGCGGATCCGATGGACAACGAGAAACTCTGAACTGGTCTTTCAGCTTGTGTCCAAAAGACATTCGTTTCACCGGCCGTAATAATATGCACGTCATCCCATTTGCGAATCATTCCACAATCTCCTTAAAACCAGAAATGTTTCGTTACGCAATAAAATCATTTTTTTCGTGGAAAGCTTATTCGTACGCGCAACAGAAATGGCGGTATGCATATTGTCACCCGTGACCATGACGGTGCGAATGTTGGCGTTATGAATCTGCTCCAGTACGGATTTCGTATCAGTCTTTAGGCGGTTTTCCATCACCACAAAGCCCAGGAAGATCATCTCCTTATCTAAGTCCTCACGAAGAAGTTTTTGAATCTTGACGAGCCGCATTTTGTTTAACGGTTTCCAGGCCAGTGCGAGCACGCGGTCACCGTGACGGGTGAATGATTCCAGTTGTTCAAAATAGTTGTCCGGCACTTAAAGTAGAAAACCCAATAATTTATATACAAGCTTGAATAAAAAGAGAGGTAAGAAGTGTAAGCGAAGAAACCAGTCACACTGGTTTAATGAGCACAGAATGACACGCCCGTCGTAGCAATGTGCGGCCATTGCACTACGATAACGCCTCTGGAACGCTGCACTTTATAAATGCTTGTACACCACGGAATACTAACAGTTACCTTGGTACCGATACTACTGAGTGCAATCGTAGCCATGATGAACTGTTTATGCTCTTTAACTGTACTCGTAGTTTAAATTTGCACACAATAAATGCACTGCACTTTGCATTCTATGCAATAACGCAGGAGAAGCAACGCTTCTATTTCATTTTTTCGGACACCTGATGATTTCCAGTTATCTTTTGTAAAACAAAAGTACACTGACCAGTGTCGGGTAAGCATAATGTGATGACCTTTTCCGGTGACCCTTTCATCAAGTAAGAAAATTCTTCATCCTTAACTCGCCGGATCACGGTGCTCATCCGCTGCAAACTGGATGCGAATGGAAAATCTTTGATTATCCCGATGGTGTCCGATTCCTGTCGAAAATGATGAGGTTTGCACACTGCGCATTTCTGTTTGATCACTTTTGCTTGAGCCATACCGTATCGCATTTTGGTCCAGTTACCAAAGTGGGAGCAACAAGATCGAATCGGGCTTCTTCATTTACATCCGGCTCCATTAATGACCAGCTCAGAGAGTTAAACATAATTAAATCCACAGGGTCACCGCATGTTTGACCCTGGATGACGGTTAACGAATGGCAGGCCACCATGCAGTCCTTTATGCGGCTGCTGGGCATTTCTTTTGGATTCGTTATCGCTTCCTCAAACCTTACATTCGCAACAAAAAACTAAATTTAGCAAAATAAGTGGTTCTCACACGTCTAATATCAGCCTTCGTACGAATACTTCGTACGTTATACAACTTTCAAAATTTTATCGTGCTTACGAGGACTTTTGGCTTGGTAAGACACATTTCATATCAAGGCCGTCCTGCGTCAAAGTGCCAGTCTAGAAATTTCCAGAGCGCAGCATAGAAAAGCCAGTAAACAATAATTTTATCCGCGTCGTTTACCTTGTCGAAACAAATCAAGTTCACACTGCCACAAATGTTGATGGAACGCGGGCTGAGACAAAAGATTCGGTTCTTTTGTAGCCGCCTTTGGGCGTAAATGATGCCAACTGCGACATATAGCATTATCAAGGTTCCAGTTTCACACTGCAGTTTCGTAAAATCAGTTCAACTTGAAATCATACCAGAAAGAGCTGCAGGAAGCGCCGGTGGTACGGCGATAGTTATTACGTCCAAAGATCTACGTTCACAAAATGACATTAGTCATCATTAGATCCTCCAGATTTGTGCCAGCTGTACAAAATTGTTTGTAACAGTACGTAATACCTTATGATGATTTCACTGACTGCTTGGCCGCGCATTGCCTTAACAAATACATAAAAAAATTAAAAGGTATCTGGTCGACGCACATGTGTAAAAATGTTGTAGTTTTAGTGCCCACTGCCTACTTACTCGCAATATGGCGGAATATATTAGTCCACATAAAGCAATGGCAGCCAATACTATGATAAAGTAATACGTGTGCCGGTAGAATTTGAAATCCACCGGCTTAGGATACATGATGCTTCTGATGAGATTGCCTTTGTTCGTAGCAAACCCTAAAAAATTTATGGGGACTAAGTTTAGAGAATGTCGGTTTTGCGGTGAAATTCGCTGCCACAAACCAGTTCTTAGCACAACCGCTCGCACCGGCTCATTGGCGTAGTATCTGGTTTGAAGGACCCGCGTTCCACTGAACACCATATGGCGCTGATATTCTTTTATACCGAACGGACCACTGCAGTCAGGAATTGCCGTCTTCGTTACAGGAACACTTTCGCCTGCAGAATACCGAAAGTAAGTGCAGAAATTCTGCATATACGCTTTTACATATCTTTAGCTTCGAGCTACCTGTCAGCGCTGATTCATTGACAATGGCACTGCCGGCAATCAGGATGACATCACAGAGAACCTGACATCCCAGTGCGGGAATCTGTATGATATCCCCGGGGACGAGCTGCTCACTGCCCACCGTTTCAGTCTGTGCGCCTGGCCGGCAGACCGTAACGGTTTCTTCAGCGTGCGCCCGCTCCTGCAGCATCTGCTGCATTTTACGCAGCTGGTGGACGGTCAAGGCCAAGGAGCATAAGGTGGTAATCAATATGGCGCCCGCATAGTAATAATACCTAAAAAAATCAGATAAGCCAAATTATAGTGTCAAAAAACCCTGCATTAAAGCGAAACCAGGCGTACTTCGAAGTACTGTACGGTAGTTGCATGCTAATCAAAGCATGAAGAAAGCTCGAGCAGATCGACATAAAATATGAACAGTGTGTGGACTGACCGTTATTCATCCCACTTACCCGTATGAAAACCATAAAGATATGCTGAAGATTTGGAAGATATAAAACGGATTTAAAACCTTCAACAATACAAACTGTCGCACACAGCAGAAAGTCGTTCTTAAATGATATTTACTTCTTTGAAGAGTATCTTGATTATTGGAGAAACTTCGATGTTGATCTCGTTGCTCTGGTAAAGCAATCGCCTGCATAGTATTAAACAACGATACAATAATTTAGCCTGCGAACGACAAAGAAAGGTCTAATCTTGGTACGTGCATATTATACTGAGAAAAACCATACCTCTGTTGCACTTCTGATGAGTTCAGTGGTGAGCACGTCTGAAAGTATTCCGCTGATAAATGCTGATCCAATCCGAGCAGCCGCACGAATGCCTTGGATTCCGTATTCCAAATGTATCGAATCCTTCGGTCATCAAAGTACCTTATATCATCAACTCCTTCAAATTTGCCCTTAAATAAAAATGCAGCTGTCGGTGAAGAATTCTTCAGCATTAAAACGCAGTAAAAAGAGTAACTTTGATCAAAGCTAAATACAACGTACGTTCTCTTTAGGATATACAACGGAAGAGTCAACTGATTCGGACACCGACGGAACGGAAGGTCTCTGTTCTGTAGCTGCAGTACGCCTGAAACAAATTAATACGCTCTGCGGTTTGCAGTTTTAGGATGGAACGTAGCATCTTGGATATCAATGTTACCGAGCACGCTCCGCATCCGTACGCAAAGATTTTACTTTGCAAACAAACCATTGGTCGTAAGTGTTCTAAATTGACAGCCATTTCGTCAGGCATATATGAATCCGTTATCACAATAATTTTAATAGTATTATGAAGAGTAGAAGGTTAACGCAGTACTTTGAGCAGAACATAATCCGCATGTTCCAGAGTGCACAGAGAGTGTGTACACTGTAGCATCCAGTGTCTCATCCAGTAGAATATTAGACGCACTATTCCGCAGGTACAAATAATGGAGATCCATGTTAAGACCAGTTTCACTGGATTTCTCCGATAACCAAAAATTTCCTGTGGTAAATATGGCTCAAGTTAAGCACAAAAAATAACTCAATAGAAATTGTGCTCGAGTAGAAAATACAATCGAGTATAAAAGAAAGAAAACTCGAGTAGAAAATGCACGTACAACTTGATCCTCTTCTCCACTGTTTAATATACTCCGGCATTCTTTCGACGTTTTCCCTCCCATTGAACAAGCATTTATGTATTACGCACAGGATAAAAACCAACACATTCAAATAATAAATCACTGATAATTGTTTATTTTTTTGAGTTTGAGATCATAGCAGTGTCAGGGAGACTGTTCGATATACAGCTGCAGGCAGCTTGTACAGAAGCGTGCACGAGTAATTGATGAGTTGAGAAAGCTGAGTTACTAATAGCAAATTACAATATTATCATTTCCTTCTCTCCTATGCGCTTATCTCTTGTAATAATTCTGATAAGTATTCCGGATTCGCAAACCGATCAGGTAGAAACGACAACGATAAGCCGTCTTCGACCCAGTTGCAAACAGGTATTATGCGTCCAATCAAGACCAGTACTTATTAATAAAGCATTTGTTTCACGCCAGAATAGTTTACGTCACATGCAGGACGTGTCAACGTTCCAGTTTTCTCAAATCTCCGTGGACTAAGACTTTAGTGGGTTGGCGCATATAACAGTACGTAATCAGATTAACTACCTTTTAACCCAAGAGAAGATAGAGATTTTGGTTGTTTTTTTAATGTTTAAATTTTAACTATTAAGTAGTGTACCGGCGCTTGCAGTCATTGTTATCGTGGTGGCTATTGCCTATTAAATTTCTATTTGTCTGTAGGCTAAAACTCCATAATTACTAACATAATTTTGCTAGAATTAGATTTAATAATACGCTTTAGTGTTTTACACAAGACATTGTTTTGTTCAGCGTATCCCAATAAAAAAACCCATCATCAGTCATGTGATTGCCGGAATATTGTTTAATTAGCAAACAATAAGCTATATATACCTCGTAATTATGCAAAACACCAGAACTATTAACAGTACACCGGAATTGCGTCCTTTTAATCGGTATCGGTGTCCCTTAGATACAGTTTCCGCTTCTGGAGGATTGCTAGTCGCAACAGCGAAATGCGTCACAATTCGTTTATTGAGATCCTGTAGTGGTCTGAAATTGTCCACTATTTCCACATCCCTTTCGGACTTTTTCGCCACGACATCTACATGTTCTACAGGAGGATAGTATTCGACGGTTTCTCGTAAATGGCGGAAGATTTCCAGCTGCTCTTCCGTGACCTTTAACGGCTGCTCCATAACCGTCCAGATAACCGCTTCCGCGCACGGTGGAGTCGTTAGCGATCCGATGTAACGATAATATGACTGGTGTTGTGGCAGTAGGTCAAATAGCGTCAGTTCAGGAAGACTGATATTAATAGGTGCGCTATCTATGAAAAAACATTTACCTCCTTAAAAGTCAACAACCCTTTACGTATCTTCTGTTGCGTAATCTGTTCTGTACCTATTAAAGTTGCAGCGGCTAAAGCGTGGAATAGACGATCCAGGTGTTCATTCTTTTCGTCGCCTTCTTGAGCCAGTTCGAACATTACCGCAATCACTGCGGTGCCGATTGAGTCGGATGAACTGGTGATATCGTACGGCTGCCAGTGCTCCATTTCATCGTGACTGCGGTGTACAATGTGAAGCTGTTTCCAAAACCGATTTGTTCCAATAACAGCGATACTTTTGTTTATGGCTCAAGATATATACAGCAATTATTTGAGTCTTAAGGTATGCAATATTGTTCAATTAATATACGTACTTCTAACGGATACCGGCGTCCGTCAATAACATGCTCCGATCCCCGGTTATTGACGGCTCCCCAGTGGAAATGCATCTGCTGGAAGAAATACGGAATACTCAGACCGGCCGAGTGGATTCCGGGGGTATTTTTGAAGTTACCAGAAAACAGGACTACATGAATGGTGAAACAAACCAAATCATTAGAACCACAACAGGTGTGCATAGTTGTTGTGCAGTTTGCTTTCACTGACCGACATGTCCAGTGTTGGCAATAGTCCAAAGATCATCTACAGCCCGCGCAGCGTAATTGTAATAGCCCACTTCGGTGAGAGATCCGTCAGCTTGCGCTGTGCTGCTGTTGATGGATATGGGGGATTGTCGAGTTCCATTGCATCGCGGATACCGATCCGACCATTTTGTCGGAGGAAGTTGCTGCACCTCTACATAAAAAAAAAATTTTATTTTTCTTAACTAAATATCAGACATAAAAAAATCAACATCAGTTGAAGCAATATCATAATGCAAACGGGATGCAAACGTTTATTTTGTTGTTCCTTTAGGCTCCGTAATCTAAATATGGATGCTTAACATACTTATTAGCCTTCTACAAAGTGCTGAATAATTAAATACTATAATAATATCATCTTTGTGCAATTGAAACACGATAATTACAGTGGTCAAATAAGACTAATACATATTCGTTAACTTAACATCATATTGTAGTACCTACCATTAATATCGCGACTAGCGTATCCCCAGTCTGGAAGAAATACTGCCGAATCCATCTGAAATATGATAAGAAACACCACAACAGCCAGACAAAACGACGCATGATAATATCCCAATCTATTTTTTCTTAACATATCGGTACAAATTGCACCAGATATAATTAAACACAATTGGCGCAGCATTATTATCCAGACCAGATCAACCAGACTACACGCTAACTCTGCTCTCGGAAAACTCGTCACGGAAAACCATAAGTAGTAAAGCACTAGATACGAGTATATTCTTACTGGAAAACGTGATCACATCCAAAAAAGTGTCTTGCGGATATTTCATGCGTTCTTCAAGTGGCTGATGTAATGGAAACTTACTTGTGTAAATATATAACCTAGGCCTGCCAATTCTGGACCGTCCTTGACCCGGCTTCGCGTTTTCCCTGCAACAGCATAAAAACATGCTGTGGTGGCTTTTGTAGGTTGGTCGGTAACCTTACAGTGCGATGCCATAATTGTGGTATACTTGTAGGTTTATACGAGTGCATATAATACATACTATACGAGTACATATAATACATATTATACGAGTACGGAGTACATATAATACATAATATTATACGTACGTAAGTACATATAATTTACTCGGTAGTATTTCTGCAAGCGCGTTACAAGCGCAATGGATGCATGCAGATTCAGAACCTCCATTAATAACTCATTGGCTAAGACAAAAACATTGTCACCCCTTCTCCCTAAGGAGACGACTTATATAATTAATATCAATCTCAAGATCTTTCAGCTCCGGGCGAATTCCGCCATATCCAGATCAGAGCTGCACCGTGGACGACCCGTTTTGTTTAATTAACAGGACCGTGCAGTGTGCAACATTCACCGGCAACAAATCATAGAGTTCTACTTTCCAATACACAATTACAATGTCTTTCGCTAATAACTCTTCCGGCGTTTATGAAACACCTAAATGGACATACGTGTCCATTGTCTCCTTGATAATTACCATTCTGTCGGGAGTTTTCAACTTCCTCGTTTTAGCGTTAGTCATCCGTAAAAAGCGCTTACGAACATCCTTTAACATCTACATCATCAGTCTTTTAACGGCCAATATGATGTTCACTGTTATCGGCAACACCCTGGATGTGTATAACGACCTGTGGTCGTCATGGGGGTTGGGTTTCCATGTGTGTACGCTGTATATGTACGCCATCTGGACACTGACCAGCTGCCAGATTTTTATGCATTTCGTAATCAGCACCAACAGGTTTTGCGCCGCGGCCTTTCCCATTAAATACCGGCATAAGCATACCTATCTCATGGCGATTTATTTGTCGCTTGGTGCTTGGATAGCTGCACATCTTATAACCCTTCCAGGTAAAAATGATACGATAATATAAATGTCAAAAATTGTAGAAAGGTTCACAAAATCTGAAATATTTGAAACGTACCAATAATATCAGTAACCGGAAATTATGACGATGATGATTAGAAAAGAACCAGAAAGCTTCGAGACAGTTTATTAAGCACGTATACTATTATCCTGTCAATTTTAGGCATAATTATCGATGCGGAAAAGTATCGGAAACGGGACGTATCAAAAGGCTGTCACATCGATGTGACAATCAATAGCGGTCAGCAGCACTGGATGATCTGCGTTCAGCTCTCCTCCTGTGTCGTCATTGCCTGCATTATGCTTATGTATAGCTTTATTATGTACGCCCAAAAACTACACCGTCAAAAGGTCTTTCCAAAAAACCGTGCTGCCAGCATTCCCAATGAAGCATTTACATCGGGTGCGACCGCCACCAAGACGCTGCGAGCCCATGCGGCCACCCTGCTGACCGTGATAACTGCCAGTCTAGTGGTATTCTGGAGCCCCGCCACTCTGTATTATGTCATTGTCCCGCTGACGGACGGGATATGGGATACGAACATTGTAGCTGTAACAAATATGATGTTCAATTTTCAAACGGTCATGGATCCGATTATTATGGCGCTGGCGGTGTCCGATATTCGCCAGCACATTTGGAAAGTGGTACACCGCTTTACAAAGGCCACGGGAAATACCGAATAAACAGAGCAGTCGCGCTGTTTTCGCTGCTGAAAATCTGATCTCTGTTTGTGCGTCCGCTTTTTAGATGTGCTGAAATTAACGGAAATCCAGGCGTTAAATTGTAAGGCTGCGTTTTTCTGACCAAGCAGATTGTTGTCATTTTGCTGTTCGAGTTTTCGGTAAGACCATGCAAAACAAGAAACTCTTGTAGAATTGTTGTTTATTACCGAGAATCTGTCCCATAGGAGAAAGGGCCTCAAGACCTCCTACACGTTCATAAGCAAAGCGCTGGGCTGCATTCGAACAATGCGTTTTCGTAATCGCGTGCTTGGGGCCAGTTGCCTTTATCACGCCATCCTATGAAAATTTTGATTACGCTTTTATAAGGGCAAACTCCTTGCCCTGAAGGCAGTCACTGATCGGTCCTTTGCCTCTCAGCTGTTACGGTAGAACATGCCCAAAATACTATTTTAAAATGCTGTTGTTTTTGACACTGGATGGTTTGTTTATTCATGATGCGATGACCTTGCTTCGGTGCTCGTCGACGGCGGCTACAGCGATGACTTGCGGGCGGCACACACGCAAACAAAAACATCCCAACCAGCATAACACCGTGAACACACTTACCAAAAGTATTACTTTGTAAGACCAGAAGTGATTCAAGTGTTCTGTGTACACGTGTTCAACACCCAGGCGATTAATTCACTTGCGGTGGCCGGCTACTACGGGTAGCTAGTGAACCTTTAGCAGTTTAACTTATTAAACGCTGCAATTACGTACTGGTCGCTAATATAGTCTCATCCAGAAATCTACGTGTTATTTTAAAGCACTATATATAGCGGCATTAGATATAGCGGCATTATTTACTCTGTTGATTTTGCAGTTATTGTGTATAATATCCAAAAGCTGACATTTGGCACATAAGACAAAAATTGTCTCCAGTAAGGCGGTATCAAAAAATTTAATGTCAAAGTATCAAAAATTGCCTCCAGTAAGCCGCTATCAAACGCACATAATACGTTCCATGGAAGTTTAAAGTAAAGTTTACTATTCAAGAAATGCCACTACCTAATCCGTAGAAACCGAAAAAGAGCCGTGTCATTTTGAAACTGTTAGTTTCTAAGAGCCCAAGCTGCAACTGGCTTGCTCCAATACTTCTGATCAAGTTACAGCGAATGATCGCGTCATTGTCAGCTGTGGTTCATCGAATTCAGCGCCCGCAAAATTTTTTCAACCTTGAGTTTGTGAGGCACGAGATGCTGTCACCTGCAGACTAAAAACAGTAATATTTGCAACATTGTCTTTATAAAATGATTTTTAAGCTGCCACCTTCGTAGATTTAAATTTACTTGGGGCAGATACCAAAAACATCGAAACCAAACACATCAAATTTATGTTTGTAGAGTATCAGTCCAGTACAACGATGGACCGTATACAGTCACAGTTGTAACTTACGTTTTGTTCTTTCTCTTCTGCCTCCGGAAATCCAACCCTTTTATCAGAGCATCTAAAGGTGACTACCAATCGCATGGGTACGGTCAATCCACAGAAGCCCATAGCTTGTCGATCGGCTTTAGTAAAAGACAAGGTGCAGGTGCTATTGTTAAAGCAGATACTAAATAAATCCGCCATCCCTTCCGGTGCCCGGAGTAAGTTGGAACTGGGTTGGCAGAATGCGGGATTAATGCCGCATGTTCCCTTGGATGTATCATATTTGTAGCTTTCCATAAATAAAGCGGATCTGAGCTCCATAAAAGGCTGTGCAGCGTTAGAACATTCAAGGGTCACTGGTTCATCCTCCAGAACTTCTACGGTGCGCACCCGATTGCCGGATAACGGTTTTACGGTATGGGAGACGCTGCCACAGCCGATAAGCAGGCATGTCTGCAAAGGGTTGGGTCAAGTATCAACAACTAAAACAATTTACAACATCCACTATCCATCGATCGATAAGTGTATTATTTCCGACATTTATGTGTAGTAGGTAATAAATGTAGTCTAAAATATACAGCGGTAGAATGTAATCTAGTTGCTCCAGTAGATTCGTACAATGAGAAGACCCAAAAAATGGTCACTCCAGCTTAAGAATTTTACTAAAAAATGATGATAGTCTTATGAGCTTCGAAATTCTCACGACAAATTGCCTACTGTAGCTGCCACCCGTAACAGGACCGATCCCTTGCTAATAATTTTGCCCATTTGGCAGTTGAACAGCAAACAAGATACACGAATCCAAAACGCGCGAATCCAGAGGGTGGATGTACAAAGTATAGTATAACTGTGATCAAAGCTTCAGTTACGGCGGACAGCTTTATAAATGTATTAAAGCAATATTTGCCCGTACAACCGTAAGTAATCAAATTAATATGGGCGTCCCAGAACAAGTGCAATTTTGTTGACGTCAACTGGACAGCTGCCATACCCTTGTATATAATTGCTTCACTTGCTTGCGTAGTAGTTGTTAGTTGTTAATTTGTTACTATGCTCATTACCGCATTGCTTCTGTACAGCTCTTCAGAATTTGTATTATCTATTATCCTGTTTTCCGTAAATACAGTAATTCTGCAGTTTAATTTGCAGTATGATGCCAGTGTGTCTCTGCTGCCACGCGGAAGCAGTAACACACGGAAGTAAAACACAGTAAAACTCGCTTTAATATCAGGATGGTGCTGCCGTATTCATTTTGTTATTTTGTGACCTACTCAATAACTGTACCTGGTTAGTTATAGATTTGTGATGCGGACAGGGAAGTACATAACTGCATAGAATGCAATTCTGCGGAGGTTGTTATCATGAAGCCCTCGCACATGGGGGAAATAAACATTCGCTTGCGTACGTAACGTTTTACTGGAGAGTTATAAACTTTGTACCGCACATTATACACTGCATACTCAAGGTGTAAAGACTCGCTAGCGCCGCCTCTAGACCAAAAGAATAACTTTTTGACCCGACAATGAGCGACTGCCGCGTTCGCCTTGGACTTCTACAAGTGGATTCACGTGCGTCCCTGCCTATCTGCAAAACCGTAGTGCATATATGCACTACGGCAAAACCTTCTCGTTTTTCGAAGGCTAACTATTGATTCCTGGAGATGGATAACGTAAGATTGCAATCATTGCTGAGCAAGTATGTACACTTGAATTTTGTGCTAATCATATTACAAAGCATTTTTTATCAACAGAAATCATCGGTTACGTGTATCAGATAAAGAAGTCGCAAGCATATTATACCAAAACACTGAACAATATGCTCATAATCATATATGAAAACGCGCACCGAATTTTGGCCCTCGCCAGAGTATTTTCATAGTGAAAATTCCCTTGTGAGAGGTTTTTTGCAGCTCTTTTAATTAGCTCCCAGATAATAAAATGTACTTCTCTGGTATAGTAGTAATACTTTTCGCCACGGTTAACTTTGGCTCAGCATTAGTACAAGTGCCAATTTGGAGATGTGATGCCAGTATATTTATGCCGTGCACCATGCCGGTTATGATGTTTATGATGGGTCCAGAAGGTCAAAAGCTTCCGCAGCAAGACGGTCTCAACATTACCGAAAGCCAGTTCAACAGCATTTGCAGGTACTGTATTGCAGCAATGAAGCATGGTAATAATATTATCATGTTACTACTGTATGTCGAGGGCGCAGTGCGCATGCAATCTTGCGTAAAGAATAACAGCAGATCAACGTACGTATGTATTACACCTCTTTGGGTGATTCAAAGAGGAGCCAATTGCCGACATTAAATTTTAATTTTAAAGACATCAAAACAAATTTTGTCAAAAACTTTAGAGTTATCAAGCCCACCGTGGACTGTATAAAACAACAGCTGAGCAGTTGTATTCCGGCCAGTATCACGGACGTGCATCAAGCCTTCAACGGTGTGTCCCAGCTTGCAGGAGCATGCGAGCGCCCCGGAGCATACAACAAATTTAAGACCCTCGCAGAATGTGGGAAAACCATTAACCAAACTGCCAGCACCGAAACGGCACTGCGCTGCCTGGAAGGACCAGATTCTTTTCTGGAGTTTGGGCCGGCAAGCGCTTTCAACGCCAGTGAACGGGAGCGCATAGAGACAACTGAGTGGACCAACGGAAATTTTATGAAAAACTTGTGCTGGTAAGGGACCGAAATCCATAGCAGATCCACTTCCACTCTAATTGCAGCTTAACTTTTGCGAACGTTCCCGTCTTCGAAATGTGTTTACAGACTAGATAAGTACTAAAAGACCGATGCTGGTAGACGTACTGGCGTTTATAGCTACGACAAACAAACGTTTATATGAGGAGTAAGTGACCTTTCCGTAAATCGGTTACGAGCGGCTATTTTAAATTGTAGTGAAATCCAACGACAGAAAAAATGTATGGGCACAACCGTTGCTGATTTATGCAAACCGGAAGCCAAGCAGCTCGCCGATAGCCTCTTAGCAGAAGTCTTGCAGACCTTTGCATGCACCGGAGCACAAGTGGAAAACTGTCCCACTAGAACCATGCCTGCTGGGATGGACCGCAGCTCGTTTGGTCAAAGTTTCGGGCAAATGTTTGCTGGAGCAGGAATGGGTTTCCCCGGCGGTAGCGCTCCCGGTCAGGAAGAAATGGGATAAATAAGTGCTCAGATTATAAGAGGACTGTAAAGGCTTATTCATTACAAAGGAAACATTGTTAAGCAGCTGCAGTATTAAACAATGTGTCAGCGACTGGCGCAAATGTTGTTAATTTCATGGTTTCCAGTAGATTACTTAGGCATTACTTACTTAGGCTGTAGATTACGTACTTAGGCATCGTTCTCAAGTCTTGTTTATTAGAACGCCGAAAATTCCACCTCGTTTTAAAGTCGAAACACATGTGTTATGATTGCGAGTAAGCTCAAACAAATCGTTACATGTTTTTGGCATTAGCGAACTTAAAAGTTTATACCTGTAAACAGAAGCTACCTGACGCACGATTGTACAGATACGCAGACGAATAGACGATTAGACGCGGCCATCAAAACAACACTACAAAGCATTATTTATTCACCACTTTATATAGCAATACAATTATACAGGTGGGTCGCACTATTCAGCAACTAGTCCACTGAAAAGGTCATACCTAATTTTGTTCTGAATTTTTATGCGCTTTTGATAAGTTGTTTCTATGTATTTGCTGATGACCTTGGGTTGTTCAGTCCTTTCAGACTGACGTAGAATTACTGCAGAGAGATTCGTTCTCTGAGTCCAGTACACAAATTTTCCGTTGCACTAGTATGTACACAGAACTGACAGAAGCATGAGGAAATTATTGTTTTGTAAACATTTTCCTGTTCCACCAGTAGCGAAACGAACGTAGACTTAATGGATCGTATTGTATACGGAATTTAACAATTAGCGCCTCGGGTCCGGGGTTTATATTTTTTCAATATACGTATGGGTCCAACAGCAGCAGCAAATTCCCGCGCTGCTGATTTTGCTGCTGCTGTTTGCGCACTTTCGAGTATTTTACGTTTATTTATCGCGCCTCACCGAGTCACCGCTATAATGACAGAATTTCAAAACAACAGTTGCATTGGTAATTTCGTGATTTGCAATGGAATGGTAACCGCCATAATCGTTGCTTCGCGCGGCATAAGTACTCTATGTACGAAGTACTGCACCACGTAAAAATGCATATGGGCGCGCGTTAAGCGTCCGGCAACAACAAGGCCACAATGCCGGACAGTTTACAGGACGCATTACCTGTGTCGCCTATGTTGTAGAGCTTTGCTTTTTGCTATTTTGATGTCTATCGCATCAACAAACAAAACCTTTTGCGAATGGGCGCCGTTTAAAAAGTGTCAGAATAATCGCGTGTTCGTGTTGCTGGTGCTACGGGCCTCCGAATAAAGGCTACGATGGCTTCCCGTCGCACGGCTCCCAACCGCCCCAGGGCGGCGTGGCGGTGTAAATCAGAAATTCATGACCACTCTGACTCAACACAGTCTACTCTCGCCTCTGATTTATTCTGCGGCTTCTGTCATAACATTCAAGAACGGCTTTACAGTTTACTGTCGCAGTTGGCCAATTGATAAACCTGAACTATACATTTCTGACTCATTTACTCATTTCTGACTCCTCACTTCTGTCTTTAGGGTAATCTTGTTCACTTTTGTTGTGCTGGGCCTTCGCTGAGTGATTCCAGGTATCGTCGAGGATGCCAAACAATGGGACTGTTGATGAGATTGGGCACACTGGCTATCGTTCTCAACAAGATGAGAGGGCCATGCGTGTTGGGACGCATATCTTGGATCTGCGTCGGGAATGGCAGAACCTGCGCGCCTCGGGAATGCTGTGCGATGTGGAGCTGCGAGGTTCGGAAGCACACTCTACCGGGATTGCGTGCCATCGCAGCGTCCTCAGTGTGTACAGCGGGTATTTCCGCACCATGTTCCAGTCGGGAATGAAGGAATCCAAACAGGAAGTTGTGCAGCTGCACAACATCTCCCACGCTATTCTATTCCAGTGAGTCTTCGGTTTTCGCTAGCGATTTGTTTTGTGAAATGCTTTTAGTTATGGCGATAGCTGCCACAACACAAAACGTTGATAAACTCGCAGGCTTACAGCTGCTGAGTGTTTGAATGTTGCTTTCGTCTGAGATTTTCCTGGTTTTTGTCACGACTCACGTAACGATTGATATATGGTGGAAGATCCACATGCTGTGAATTTTTAACACGATGGAAGTTTCGTTGTGTAGGTTGATCGACTATTGCTACATGACGGACATTATCGTCACCGACAGCAACGTGCAGTGCGTACTGATTGCGGCTTCGTTCCTCGACATTCCCGTTGTTGTGGACGCCTGTTGGAAATTCATGGAAGACAACATGGACGTCAAGAACTGCCTGATGCTGTACTGTTTTGCGGATTCCGATGCGCACAAGAATTCGGCGCTAGCCGACAAGGCCAGGGCTTTGACTCTCAAACATTTCGCACTGATCTCGCAAGGACCAGAATTCTTAGAAATGCCAAAGAATATCGTAGGCTGTACAGGGCTGTAAACTAAATTTCGTCCTTAATAATATTGTTGTTAAGTTTTGGAAATTAGAATACATATTATTATCATATTATTACTCTGTATATGACAATACAAGTCATACAAGCTTCAGCTCTTATTGAACCAATCTGCTCGTCTTCTTATCATCATCCCAACTTCTGCTCATCGTATTAAGCTTAGACACCATTAAAAAAAAGGCATACAGGTCTAATTATATGAGATTCCTTATTAATTGGCAGGTTATCGATGTGGTTCGCTCCGATGACTTGTGCGTGGCGCACGAAGACGATGTCCTGCTCACCATTACTCGATGGCTGCAGCACGATTTCGAGAAGCGACGTTGGGAGTTTTGGGAGGTATTGCAGCAGATCCGACAGGCGTACCTCAGTCCACAATGCAGTGACGATTTTCTGCTGGCGTGCGTTAACGGTTTCAAAGATTATCCTGGTGCCGAAGAAGCTCGGTCTTCGTCCGAACACCTGAAGCTCTTGCCGGGATACAGCAGCGGGGGATCCTCCTCCCGTCACACTGCAAGAAAATCTTATAGTAAGGTGGCAGTTCTGCCGCTTCTGGTTGAATCCATGCATACCGATTACCGTCCCCTATCCGGAGATAATTATAGACATTCAGGTATATACTTAACCTTGCGTTGTAGGTTTCGAAAAGATCATCGTATGTGTCGGCGGTAATAGTCCGGAAGGTGGTCGGCGGGACAGCGTAGACTGTTTCAATCCACGAACTTCGAAATGGGGCACTTTCTCGAAACTTCCGTATTGCGTTAGCGGAGGTGGTTTGGCGGTTATTAAAAGCGATTTGTTCTTCTGTGGGGGAATCATCGGACGTCACGGCATACCGGTGACGCCGCGGACGATGCACTATAACAGCGCTCGTGCAGCTTGGAATGATGTGGCGCCGATGCAAATTGGGCGATATAATGCTGGTGTTGCGACTGTTGGCGGCCACATATACGTTGTGGGTGGTTATAGTTCGGATTACCAAACGTTAGCCACAGTGGAGCGCTACAGTGTAGCCAGCAACGTGTGGACATACGTGGCATCCATACCGATGCCTTTGACGAAATGTACCGTGGTCAGTTTCGATAGCCAGCTGTATACTTTCGGAGGTCATACGTCGGATGATTATAATGGAGTCGATTATGCATTCTGTTACGATCCGAAAAGGGATGTATGGAGTGAACTGCCCAGGATGCCGACTGCACGGTACTGCGCTTCAGCCTGCGTCGGATCCGACGGATTGATTTATGTCATCGGTACTGCATGATCTGTACTGTGTCTAAAATTTCAAAATATTATGTATGTATGGAATAATATGTCGACTGCTTCATTTGCTTGTTAGGAGGATGTGGCTCTGCGAACCGTTTGAGTTGCACTGAGGCTTTTAATCCGAAGACCAGGCAATGGACAAAGCAATGTCAGTTATTACATGTGTGCTTGCGAATTTTGTAATGACGGTTATGGATGGAGCGCAGTTTGCACAGATGGTTTTTTGTTTCCGTAGGTGACATGAGTCGTCCAGTATATTCCGTTGGGGTTTGCTGCGTAGACGACAAAATTTATGCATTGGGCGGCGATAGCGAAGCTAATAGTAAAAAATCGATTGAAGTTTACGATGTAACTTCGGACACATGGACGATCAGCGACAGCCAGTTGCCACATGAAAATTGGGCGTTTGGCTGTGGTGTTGTCGAAATCGACAAGCAGCGCAGCTGGGAGTGACCCATTGTTGTTGTATTATTATGTTGTATATTACATATTGTTGTTGATATGCTCAATAGTGGGAGATTTCAAATGGCCCACTACTGAGCATGACTGGCGTTGATCAAAAGTCTGTGGTCTTTGTTTAATAAGTTGCGGAGGAGAAATGCGATTTTCATAATGCTTGTCTTGGTTTGAAACATTGTTTGTCTTGGTTTTTGTGCACAGTCAGTTCTTGATCCTTGTGCTCATGCTGTTTTTGTCAGCTATGTGTATGACTGTTACTACCGTCTGTGTTCAATGAGCCGCCTTAATATCGATGAAAATATGGGAAGGTTGTCTGCTTGCGTGAGCGGCACTATATACCTGACAGAGGCTCTGAAACTAATGCGAACACAATTTTCGGGAAGAGAAACATTAGGTTTGTGTCATTCTAGCAGTCCAGTCACTTCCCCTTTTTTAGTTCAAAAATGTTAATAAATGATGCGGGAAATACAGTAGGAGCACATAAATTCCCTAATTCATTAGAACACAGCAGCAGTCTGCAGTACAGGAACGGAAATATTGTTTATGCCTAGGCCTCTGATTTTACTAGTCAATTAACTCAGTAACCACTATTCCGTCCGGTTGGTGGCCGAAAACGTCGACTTTCGACGGAGAACATCGAAAGGTCACCACTAATCGCATAGGATCTTGCATGCCACATCCCGCCGCCTTCCGTTGGTTTGTAGTAAATGATAAAGCGCATGTTCTGTTGTTCAAACAGCCAAAGAATGATGGTGTCGTTGCTGTATTGCTGCGAAAAAACACTAGATCGATATCCGGTTGGCAGAAAGCCGGGCTCAGCTGACACTGTCCTTTGGATTTGTCATATTTGTAACCCTCCATAAATTGCGCCGATTTAAGATCCATAAAAGGCTGAGCGTCATTTGGACATTCTAAGGTCACCGTGTCATTCTCAGGGACTTCTACCGTGCGTAAACGATTTTCTGACAGCGGCTTGACGGTTTTGGTGACACTGTAGACGCAGGAACTCATGCACACCTGGAAACAGATCTACTATACGAGAGAAGCTTATTACTGTAATTTTTGATTTCGTAATGTCGGTTTTTGAAATATCTGTAGTGGAACCGTAAAATATATGCCCCGGGATGCAGATACTGCGAAAAATTAGTCGAATAGTTTGTACTTTTTATGATATTAAAGAAAAGTCGAAGTCAACTCCGGAAAACGCTTACCACAGCTGCAACCAGAATGCATAGTCTGTTACGTGCCATTGGGCAATACTGGCGTGAATAAGAAATACGAATAAAAGGATGAGAAAAAACTGCACCAGAATGACTGCATGCCAAGCGCGCTATGTACTACTGTATTTATACTTATTATGTGTAGTTTCCACAATTTTTTACACTTCCTTAAACAAAACCGGATTTTAAAATTAAAACGAATGTTTAGCCCATAAGTAGTACTTGTATATAATTATTACGCTCTGGTGAACAGGATTTCTTGATTATCCAGTTCCGAAGCGATAAAAGTAAATACTTTCAGCAAACTGCTACAGCGTTATTTAAAATCATTTTTACGGGTAATTACTCGTATTAGTTTTACTTGACTGCTGCTGACGTTTTAATGGTATGCACAAAAGATACATATTATCGAAAAGAGTGAATGTTAAAACTTTATTATGCGGTTAGTTACAGTAGTTAAATGGTTTATACTTTGCTTATACTTTCTATAATCAAGAAAGCGTGCGTTCAATAATACAGGTCGATCGCACCAAGTGTGGGCAGTTGAGTAAAATAATTTAAAAAATAATTGTGTAACCAGTTTTGTTGTTTACTTCCATCTTAATTAGTGCAGCTTTTTACTGCGAATCCAGCGATGTCGAAACTGAAATCCGTTGATGCGCCCGGAACGAGTAGGGCGGGGCTTAATAGGAGAGGGTAGGGGCCAGTTTTTTAATGATTATAACAGCCCCTCTCAAAAATTCAGTATTTGATGTTTTTCTGTGAACCTTTTTGTAAGCCATTGAGTGGCTTCAAAAACATTCGTTTTAAAGGGTTAGCAAAAGATGCTTTCGCGATTAGTGCCAGTGGTGAGCTTTAATTAAGAAGTAGCTCCCATAGACTTGTATGTTAAAAGGTACCATCCGGAGGATGTGGTTGCCTAGAGCACGGATTGCGTTTGGCCAGGCGTTTGCGATTTAAAGGAAGTTTGAAAAGGACCTTTAGAAAACCGGATTATTGTTTGGTAGTTCTCACCTATCCAGAATTTTTAAAAAGTTATAGACTGAGCATGGATATTTCTTAATAAGCAGTGCGTTTTTTTGGAAAAAATGAAAGTAAAATTTCGGCCACCGTTCCCTGCATATTAACTTCTACCGCAGAAATACGATTAAAAAAGTTGCTATAGACCATGAACTATCATATAAAAATAACAAAAAGATTTTCGGGTTCAATGGTAGCAAAAGGGAATTTTTTATTACTGCCCATACTTGGTGCGATCGACCTGTACATGCGGCCTAAAGTTCAAAAACGATTATTATGAAAAATAATCTACAAAAGCTGCAGCGCACATAAAGTCCGGTATGAATTATTTTGTCAATTATATCACAAGCGTATAATAAAAAAAGCGTCTTTACCAAATATTAAAGATCCACGACGGCAACAAAGCGCGCTTTAACTATGCTCTCCGCTCAGTCCTCTTTAGAAATTATAACATACTGTAGTTGTCTTGAGTTAATTATAAACCTGATTTTCAGGTTGATGCAAAATTAGTGGTTATCCCATAATTATTAAGATACGAGTATTTCGAAGTTTATGTAGTTATTATGCTCCATTATAATTATACAGTCATTATACAACATTTTAATGTTTACCCACGAGACAAACTGTATGAATCAGTAATCCCGCGATCATATTCTGATATGACGCCTTTTTACGCATAATTGGTGGTTTACAATACAGCTTGCACAGCTGGTAATACGAATAATATCGAGCCGATAATACAGCAACTAGAAGCATAGAATACGCACATGGATCACATGCTGATACGATATACACTATGTATTACAGTAATAATCGCATATTGAAGGAAGATCTTTAATGCTCAAATTCGTTAATTATTTTTTTAATAATAATTGTTAGCGGGCCAGTTAGCCATTATCACGTATTATACCGTAGGACCATGAATTCGTTCAGCAAGTAAAGCACCACAATTCAGCTGGACTGCCAGTGCCGACCGAGTACGTACTTAAATTATTGGTAAAGCATGCCCAGTGGCGTTACGGAATCCTCCTCACAGTACTGCTCTATAGTGACCAACCCGGTCCAACCGTACAGTACGGGATCCAAATTTTGTCTGCACGTATTTACATGTGATAAAAATAAAAAAAGACAAGAATAACCTATGTACTATTCTGCTAGTTAAAGGAATGTTTTCCATTTATTTATTTGTATGTTATGATTGCATTTATGTATTAAATCATGCATGTTTTCGTTATGCGTGTAAATTCTTTGTAAAAGGAGAAAAAAAGCAATTCGTACATTCATATGTTATTAATTGGTGACAATTTTATCAAGCGGCCAGCAATGGCCGACATCAGTAATAGCTGAATTCAGACATGAATAACCAAATAATTCTGACGAAGCACGCTGGCAGCAAGACGAACATATGAAATTCGATATTAACCAACAATGCTGATATGTCCTAAAAGATTAGGGATGGCCCTTGTTGTCTGCGAAGAGAAAATGTAATTTGTTCAATGTACATTCTGATGGCAAAAGCACAGCGCGCTGCACGAATTCGCCTGCCGGTCATGCATCTTCACCTACATCAGATCTTCCGCGTGATTAATAACATTGGAAATTTTCTGCAATAACTGTATACCGTACTACTGTACCACTGACCTCGACCGACACGTTGGCGACATCGTATTGCCGACTGTTAACGCTTATTCTGTGTAGACAGTTTTTTATATACTATACAGGCGCACAATTAAATTAATATGGTTTTACGGAATTTGAAATATGTATTACTGGGCGTGTTATTTTGCGCCGGTGGGATTCATTCTTTGGGGAAGAATGACGACGCGCAAAAGAAAATCGTAATTGACCCCCACCACATTAAAGTGGTGGTGGTGGGAGCGGGAATGGCTGGATTATCCGCCGCGCAGCGCTTACTGGAGAAGAAATTCGATGTAACGGTTCTGGAAGGCGGCGAGGCGATCGGAGGACGTATACATTCCGTGCACCTGCCACCGGTATCCCAAGGTAGACAATATATGTAAACGTAGAATAACGGCACAGTAGTGAAAAAAAGTCGCAGAATGGCACCAAATTAATAGAGAAAATTTATTGCATAAACGAGAAAGAATCCTTTCGGGTACATTGTATACTTTTATGCATCCGGTTAATTCTTTTAAATAAATTCGACATACGCAGTGTTGCAGATTTTCATAGATCTATTCCTCATGACATTTTAATATTAGCCAAAACTGCTAATGTGATGTAAATATTACAAAATTCAAAATACTTTGCACGTAGATTTCAAGCACTTAAAGATAAGCCACGAATCAAGTGTGGGTTATTATTTGCAAAAATTATTTCGCATTGTTTTTGCTTAATTTATTAAAACCGTTTTACAAACGACCAGCTTAATGATCCACTGTTTTGCAGCTATATATTGTACATAAAAACTTGATCTGAAACTTGTTGGCGATTACAACTTAGCGAGCAAAAGTGCAATGAATATTAAAATAGTCATGTTAAATGCAATTTTTGCATGGATAGTAATCATAGTATCGTACTCTCAGCTCTGCTGAAAAAGATCCCGTCTAAAGGGAATAGTCACTTGATTTTTAATGGAAAATTAAATTACAGTTTATTGTCATAACCTGATAAATTATAATGATGGCTGCTTTAAGCTAGTCATTGGTTAATATCGATATTGATTCAAGGTTTCGTGGAAGAGGGCGCCCAAATTGTCTATGGTCATGGCGAGTTGCCGACGTTGCTCCGCAAAGAAGGCTGGCTAAAATCCGTGGGGGAATTACGGGAGGTGTTCCTCACACGCCGAGAAGGCCAGGTATTCCGTGCTTTTTTTAAAACGTCTTTAGATGTTATCATGGTCATCGGTCACAGAAAGGCACGATATAATATAAAAGCAAGATATAAAACTTCCGTGCGATCTATTTGGAGGAACATCCCTGTGGCTTATTTTAATCCCTTGGGCTTATTTTAATTTATTACATGTCAGACAATGGGCAATTTAAACAACAGTTTTTTTTACAGAAAATTATTTTGTAAATTTACAAAACTTAACATTAGAAAAAGTTTATATTTTAGTTGGTGTTTGATTCTGCGGAATATCAAACGATGAACGAAGTGGACTATATGGTGCGCAATCTGTTCGAACCGTTTGAAAGCGACGAATATCCTGAGGATGAGCGAAAACTGCGCAGTGTCGGAGCCCATATGGATTTGATGCTGATGCAGTTACTTATCGGCGAAGAATTGGAAGGTCCCGATAAGGATTTCGCACTCGCTGCATACGATTCAAATATGCGGTAAGGTATTAATGAATAAATCTGTAGATAATAGTATATACTTAATCTGCAAAATTGTTAGTGATCGAAATTAGCATCGAAATCATTAAATTTTGCCCGCTGCTTCTAACGTAATAAAAATGAAAATATCTATAGATACGAGGTAATTAATAGTACTTAATCAATAAAATTGGATATTAATTGCAGTTAGCTTCGAAATCATTAAATTAAGCCGGCTATTTCTAAAATGATAAAATGCATTGTGAACAACGACAGTTATGCATTGCAATGATAAAATGCATTGTGAACAACGTGAACAACAGTTATTGTTTATGTTTTAATATAGAGGTCAGCGCATGATTGTTGGCGCCGACAGCTTGTATGACGTGGCAGCCGATGAATACGTTGCCCTGAAGCTGGGATCCATGGAGGCGTCGGAACTGAACGTACCCTGGTCGAAAGTGGTGGAACTCTTCTCTAAGAACATTTCCCAGTACATCCAGACCAACAAACTAGTCAAACAGATTGAATTCAAAGCGAAAAAGGATATCGAATATCCAGTAACGGTAAAGTTGGCCGACGGGACCAAAATTAAGGCGCACCACGTCATCTTTACCGGCTCGTTGGGAGTACTGAAAGCCAGTCACGCTACACTGTTTTCCCCCAATTTGTCCAAACAAAAGCAAAAGGCGCTGGCGTTGATGGGATTTGCCAAACAGGAGAAGCTGTTGATTGTGTACGAGGAGGCTTTCTGGGATAAATTGGGCATCGATGAACCACATACGTTGCGATTGTTCTGGGATGATGACCTGAAACCGGACCAGGAGAGACGATATGTAAGGATAAAATAATGAACACAAAGTTTTGTTTCAAAACCTGTAAGAAAATGTGGTCTAATATTAATTCCAAGCTTAAGAATTGTACAAAAGTCACATTTATGCCATGCATTTCAAAAATGTGCAGAGCTTGAAAGGTCACACAATATGTACTTGTACAACGACAGCGTTCACTTTAATATAAAATCAATCATATATTTTTTGCATACGGTTACTTTTAACGGGCATACATATAAAGATAATGCAATACCAAATGCTGCAAATTTTACAAATTTTCCAGGACGACAAGCCTTGGTATAGGACAATCGATGGCTTCAACACACTGTCCACAGCTCCCACCACGTTGGAAGCCATTATTGTAGGAAAGGCGGTTGATCAAGTAGCCGAGTTGAGCGATGAACAACTGGCCGACGATATTACGGATGTGCTCAAGCGATTCTTGAAGCGGGCGGAATTGCCACGCCCGAAATTCATCATGCGGTATGTTTAACAACAGGAATTACCAAAAGCTTGAGATTTTTTTTTGTTATTATAGCTCGTTTAAGTCGATTGAGAAACGATTTTTGTTTTTAGCACATCCTATACAAAGAATCCGCTCTTTTTGGGAGCCAAGACCTATTACTCCTTTGCCGCTAAAGAAGAGGGTTACGACTTCCGCAATCTTTCCAAGCCAACCTGGCAGTATCAGCATCAAGGAATTAAGGTGAGCTTCACGCCGCATAGCAAACACACACTGCAATAAATAACTGTTGTAATTTGCAGGTGCCGGCTCTAATGTTTGCCGGTGAAGCCACCCATCCGCAGTATTTCTCCACCGTTCAGGGTGCCGTCGAATCGGGATGGCGCGAAGCAAAAAGACTGCTGAAATACTACAATTTCGTGGATAACAAAGATACAACGGCGACTGAGTTGCCCGCAGAGACCGAAAGTGCGAAGTAACGCAGACTGGTTTTTACGTTTTGTTCTGTTCTTAAAGTGATGTTCGTTGATAGAGAATTCGATGCTGGTCATCGACTGTTTTTGAGCAGGTGCTTTCTTAACTGGCATAAAACATACGTGATGATACGAGTTTCACCTAAAAGTATGCGCATCTTAGAGGTTTTTGTATACGTATATCATCACAAGATTATCGACCACAAAAAGAAACCAGAGAAACGGGTACGGAACAGTTGTCTCCTCGCCATCAGGCAGCAATATTGTGTTACCCGAAAATATAAGAACCCTGCGAACCCTAAATATACTGCGAAAGCTGTTGTGTTAAGTATTACACTGATTTCAATTCTAATTTGTAAATGGCTCAGATTTGGAAGTGAACGACGCTTTGTGATAATAAAAAGTGCCATAAAAAGCCCGCGACAGCGCAGTTCAGAAAGTATGTAGTATGTACTAGTACGTATCACAATCTTTTTTACATTTTACCCATAAGCCATATTATATGAATATCATATAGATATGTACGTATAACAACTATTTTTGTACAGCATATCAACTTATGTTTTCAGGGTTACTACAGTTGTTTTCTGTACCTATCCATTGAATAGAGATACATAGGTAAAAGTCACTAATTACGTATACAATGCATTTTACTTACCAGCTTGTTACAGTGCAGTATACGTACTCGTACTGCTCCTTAATTTATACGAGTACTGTAATTGTTTATTGTACCATAATTTTTTTTAGCTAATATAATAGCTGTACAAGAAGGACTTCAGCTAAACTTGTTTAAATAATCTGAAGACGGAAGACCTGGTTATTACAAAATAATTTTACAATTTTACCAGAACCGTCGCAGCCGAAGTACCATAATTTCATACAGAGTTCAAGGTGCACACATTTGTGTTCGCGGTTGTCATATTTATATACAGAGTAAATTGCTCACTGCAGTGTACAGATACTGCAGTGCGAAGTCGTATTCCTCCAGTTTTCAGGACAGTGTTGTGCTGACGTGACCACATCCCCGGCCACTACCAAAATCAATGGGCAGCTCATCAGTCCAGCTCGCCATGCCGCACAGTACAATAACAACGCAGTGCAATGTCTCAGGACCTTCGCACTGGGTTAAATATTTGACAACTAACAACAAGAAAACCGCGCACCAAGTTTGCATAATTAACTGCGCTATAATTGGCCAGTGGTGCTAAAAAATATGCTGCTGTTATGTCCGGTAGTTTCTGTGACCTTTGGATCAACCAAACAACACAATTCGCATAAAAGTTTAAACGAAGTGTTGACAATGCTTGTACAGTAAATAAGTATTGTACTACCAGTAGAAGTATGTCATTACCATTAGTACAGTACTACCTAACCGGTAGTACAACTGCACAGGACAGATCTACATCGTCGACTGCCGGATCGGCCGCGGTAAGAGGCAGAAGAAAGGAAATCCTGTACTCGTACCAGAGTGGGCGCTACATTATCGCAGCCATTGACTTTGAAACAATGGGCCCATGGGGGCCGTCAGCTACCGCTATTGTCAAGGAAATCGGGAAACGTCTACGTAATCAAACTGGAGAGGCTCGTTCCCATGAATTTCTCCGACAGCGACTGTCCCAGGAGATTCAGCGGGGAAATGCGGCTCCTGTTGTAGGAACAATGGACGGAGTTGAAAAGTTTAATTTAATGAGCTCTTTCTGTTGTGATAATAAAATCTTTTTCACAGTTTGGTTAACTTGTTAATGTTTTTTTGATTTGTATGCTGCAGCCATTTACAAAATAATAAAGCGTATAAACCGCACAGGAAACTTTGACACAGTCATAGACTCATACTTAGTTAGCACAGTCATACTTAGTACGTACTGCACTATACTACCTACACTGCAGTGTCAGTGTCAGACTGCACTACTACTCTGTACATACACTACACGTACACTTGTACAATGCTTTGTACCGAACGGCGTACTTGGCAATTGGCATGGATTGTAGCGTACAAGGGGTCAACGACCAGTACCCAATAATTATTATGACGTGGTATGTAATTGTATGACGTTACCTAGATTACAGTACTGGACACCGATGATCGATCAGAGGGGATTCAGAGCTTGCCCGCTGATTAGACCACTCCCACAATGACTTTGCACTGAAAATTAAATCATCATAATTTTACTGATTTACCAGTTTTGCACAGCTTCTACGGTGCATCATTTTAATTTCTGCATAACTTTTGCGATGAGGAAGTAATTTACTAAGTTCTCATAACGGCCTTTCTGTATTACTTCAGATTTAAACACGACAACATTTTTAACGGTGGGTAGTCGAGTTGCAGTTAGAAAGTCTGTCGATCCAAATTGGCGTCTTTTTTTAGAACCTGAACCACACTTGTCAGTTGGGTAAAGCAGCACACTGTGGATTTTTGCACTAAAAATGGGAAAATCAAGTTGTGGATTATTTGTCGCCGACTCAGATGTACCAATCCCCCTGACCAATATTCATTACGATGTGGACGTCAAAGGATTCGCTGGATCAATTACCATCCACCAGACATTCCAGAACGTGGACCCCAACGATCTGGAATGCGTGTACGGATTCCCGATGAACGACCAAGCAGCTGTCACGGGCTTCATCGTAAAGATCGACGACCGCACTTTGACCAGTCAGTTCAAGAAGAAGGACGAAGCCTTCAAGGAGTACAACGCGGCGTTGCGACGCGGAGACGGCGCGTACCTTCTGGACCAGGCAGATCGTAGCGACGACACCTTCGTGCTGAGTGTGGGCAGACTGCCGCCCGGGAAGGAGTGCGTGGTCAGCATCAACTACGTCTGCACACTGGACAGCGTCAGCGAGACAAAGCAGCGACTCCTCATTCCCATGGCGCTCTTCCCGAGGTACGGTCCCAAACCGCGAAGCACAATTGGGATCGCTGCGCCGCCGGAGAAGTACGCTGCAATAGTGCCGTATAAAGCGACGCTGGCCGCCAGAATCGAAACGTTGGATAAATTGCGGTCTGTCTCGTCAGTGTCGCATCCGATTGCTGTCAGCATTATGGGAGATAAATGCGTCCAGGTAAATTTTAGTCTTTTATCCTGTTCAACGTCAGAATTACTTATTGCATGCTGTTTTAGTTTTACATCCTATAATACAATTAAAAATTGTATATGCGATTAAAATGGCTTGTTATTTATCTATGATTGTAATATTAGTTTTCCGATAAAGTAATTTTAACTATATATTTTTAATTATTTTTTAATATGATGCGCACATGCATTTGTTTTCTTTGGTAACCTCTGCGTGTCGTTGTTTAAACTCAGACACACTAAACCCTTCTCTAACTGAAATATCTTGGTTGCAGGTCACTTTCGGTACGCACCAGCAACCAACTGATCGGGATCTCATAATCGACATTGAGATTCAGAACAATCCCCAGCATCATGTCTTGGTGGAGCGCGTCGGCAGTAATCAGTTTGTTGGCATGTACTCATTTATTCCACAATTCGACAAGGACGGCCAGAAAGTTCAGAGTGAGTTAAGTTAATCTTCGTCGTGGACTGTTCCGGATCGATGCAAGGAGATAGAATCGAAGACGCGAAACGAGCGATGCAGGTTTTTTTGCGAAGTATTCCGGAAGGATGTTATTTCAACTACTACCGGTTCGGTAGCACCTTTGAATCCTTGTTTCCTGAGAGCCGACTTTACTCCGAAGGAACGTTTAAAGCAGCAGAGCGTTACGCTGATGGCACATCTGCAAATTTAGGAGGGACAGAAATTCTGGAACCACTGCGTAATATTTTTGCAGCCGCTCCTCTTCCCGGTTTCTCCCGGCAAATTTTTGTTTAGACTGATGGTGAAGTCAAGAACACCCAAGAAGTCATCGATCTGGTCAGGAAAAATGCATCGAATTCCAGAGTTTTCTCCTTTGGCATCGGCGACAGTTGCTGTCACTCATTGGTCAACGGAATCGCGTTAGCCGGCAACGGAAAATCAGAGTACTGCAAACACGGAGAAATTCTGGAGGATAAAATTGGCCGCCATCTAGAACGAGCGTTGCAGCCTGCCGTTGTGCAAGCCAGTGTTTTGTGGGAAGGATTAACGAACGTGCAGCAAGTGCCGTATGTGTTACCGCCCGTCTTCCGAGGTGACCGGCAGATCGCTTACGCATTTTCGAAGCTGGAATTCAAGAGCATCCAGAAGCCGTACTGCAACTGAAAGACAAGCCGGGAATAGTAACAGTTTTGCCATATCCAGCGGACAAGAACCAAGGTATTGCTCAACTGGCGGCGAGAGCTTTGATTAAATATTTGGAAACCGCTCCCACTGAAACACCGTCATCCGTTAACATTGGATCGTTACAAAAGCGAAACGTGCGATTGCCTGTAACCAGGAAGCAAGGATCTGATAAGGATTATAAAAAGGCGATCACGGACATTTCTTTAAAATACGGCGTGATGTCCAAGTGCGTTTCGCTCCTGGCGATTGAAAAACGCGACGGTAGGCTTGGTACAGAGATGGAGCTTCGAGAAATTCCTGTCCAAGTGTCCACGCCCGTGTTTCATAAACCTGTGCCACAAGCGATGACCACTGCCGCCCCCAATCAGAATGCACGTTCCTTTGGTGCGAAGATGAACAACTTCGGTGCGCGCAATTTGTTCCGGGCCCAAGAATCAGCTTTTTCCAGTTGTGCTCCTCGGGAACGTGCTCGGTTTTCCGCACAGACCCATGAACGAAAAGACACGGTTGTGCGCGTCCTGCAGATTAATATGATGGAGGTTATTCAAAAGCCGGTTCTGAATCAGGTGTTGGATCTGCAGCAATGGAACGGCAGTTGGGAATTTTCGGGAAACTTGGAAAGCATTCTCGGCGTTACCAAGCATACTGCAGAGAAGAAAGTCATGGGGTATCTGGATCCAGTTTTGCTGGCAACATTGCTGGTGGTGGCCTATCTGAATGCCAAGCATGCCGGTCAAAAGCATATTTGGCAAGCCATTGCTAACAAGGCGTTGACGTTTATCCGCACCCAGATTTCCTGTGAGCGAGAAATCAGTGTACTGAAAACTTTGCAGTCTCTGTTCTAAGATAGGTATCCCAGTACGAGAATTGCCTGCTTTTTATAGAATAGTTTTTAGTAAACTGCCTGCTTTGCAGTACATTTCCGCATGCATTTCCGTTTTTAATATTTCTGATGGTAACTGGTAAGCGAAGTATGCGTTTTTAATACCAAATTTCGAAATCAGTTTGCTTTTTTATAGAACAGTTTTTGGTCGATTACATTTCTTTTCTAGTCTTCGATGTCGATAAATTAGCTAAGAGTTTTATTAAAGGTCGGAATACTGTGACAGCGACGCAAGAATAAGGTTGATTTGTTTGTGTAGTATCCTCTATTATATAATACTAGTACGTACTGTACTAGTATTTATATATACTAGTATGTACTGTACTAGTACTGTTCAGCGCAACGTGATGCGCTTCAGAGGCAATTAATATCTACATTTAAATATATCTGTATATCAGCTGAATTTCGTGTTTTGAATGTGCGCATTACTGTACAACTGCACAAGTACATGTACATTATCCAATATAGGCTGTACAATACCATTTCTAGGTTCAAAATTCAAATATAATATGTGATTCTGAAAATGAGTTTAACGTGCTTAAACAGAAGCAGTTTACCGGCGGATAAAGCACGGTAAACGTCTGCACGAGTACAGCAGTGTTAATCCGGTCGAAAACACTTAGCATTGCATGCTGTATGATGGCTACTTCTACAGTTAAAAAGAATATATATTATTTCGTGTCTGCCTGATTATCAAACTGCACTTTATTATCGTTATAAACAACTACTTTGTATTATCAAACGCTGCGGGCTAGAGTTTGTAGTGCAGCGTGCTACGCAGATAACAGTCATTAATATGTCGTCATAACTTTGCAAACAGATATCATTCGATAGTTGGCAACGTGACTCATGTTTACACGTGGATGGCGCAAAGGTTATGTCGCACTGAAAACAGCGCAGTGCCACGACTCGTGGCTTTGTTTTCAGTGCCACGAGGTAATTTTGGATGACTACGGTTCACAAAGCGGTCATTTCTGTGTTATGTTCAAGCAGATTTTACGGAACCGGAATATGATAACTTGAGTATTGAGAAAGGAGCGACGCATATAAAAACAGCAGCCCAGTTAATGCAGTTCAGTTAACACTACTCCCAAGTCTTCGATTGTGACTTTTCGATGAGAAAACTTTTGAATCTTCTAGTAGGGTAAGGCATTCAACAGTGAATTTTTTGGATTTTTATTTTTTGCACTGAGAATGAAAAAATCCTGTTGTGGATTATTTGTTATCGACTCCAATGAACCAGTTCCGTTAACAGCTATTCATTACGATGTGGATGTTAAAGGATTTGCCAGTTCCATCACAATCAACCAGACATTCAAGAACGTCGAATCAACCGATTTGGAATGCGTGTACGGATTCCCAGTGAACGACCAAGCAGCTGTCACCGGCTTTACCGTGAAGATCGACGACCGCACTTTGACCAGTCAGTTCAAGAAGAAGGACGAAGCCTTCAAGGAGTACAACGCGGCACTGCAACGCGGAGACGGCGCGTATCTTCTGGACCAGGCGGATCGCAGCGACGACACCTTCGTGCTGAGTGTGGGCAGACTGCCGCCCGGGAGGGATTGCGTGGTCAGCATCAACTACGTCTGCACACTGGACAGCGTCAGCGAGACGAAGCAGCGACTCCTCATTCCCATGGCGCTCTTCCCGAGATACAATCCCAATCCGGAAAGCACGGTTGGGACAACGGCGCCGCCGGAGAAGTATGCTGCAACGGTGTCGTATAAAGCAACGCTGGATGGCAAAATTGAAACGCTAGATAAAGTGAAATCCGTGTCATCTGTGTCGCACCCGATTGCTGTCAGCATTACTGGAGAGAAATCCGTTCAGGTTGGTTTTATCGTTTTGCCCTAATTATAGGATAGTGTACCATTTTATCACAGCTGCAATAAAGCATTATATGCCTGACATACATTTATTGCATCATTTCATTTGTGTACAAGTATGAGCGTAATTATATGAGCATATAGATATTTGTACAGTATACGGTAACTGGCGTGAACAGTGTACGAGTTTTCATTTAAAAACTGAAGAGCGTACTTGAACTGATTTTTCGTCGCAGGTCACTTTCGGTCCCCAGCAGCAACCGGTTGATCGTGACCTGGTGATCGACATCGAAATCCAGAACAATCCTCAGCACCATGTCTCGGTCGAGGGCGTCGACGGTGATCAGTTTGTAGGAATGTATTCTTTTATTCCTCAATTCGGACAAGATGACCAGAAAGTGCAAAGTGAGCTAATCTTTGTCCTGGACTGCTCCGGGTCGATGGAAGGCGACAAGATCGAAGATGCGAAACGTGCGATGCAGATATTCTTAAGGAGTATTCCAGAAGGCTGTTATTTCAACTTTTACAGATTTGGTAGCACTTTTGAATCGTTGTTTCTGGAAAGTAAGTTATACGCCGAGGATACATTCAAAGCTGCAAAACGTTATGCTGATGAAACATCTGCAAATTTGGGGGCACCCAAATCTTGCAACCGTTAAACAAGATTTTCGCTACTCCGCCTCTTTCCGATTTCTCCAGACAGTTATTTGTGTTGACCGATGGAGAAGTCAGCAACACGGAACAGGTCATCGATCTGGTGAAGCAAAGTGCATCTAATTCTAGAGTTTTCTCGTTCGGCATCGGCGATAGTTGCAGTCGCTCACTGGTCAACGGAATCGCGTTGGCCGGCAACGGAAAATCAGAGTATTGCAAACACGGAGAAATCCTGGAGGACAAAATCGGCCGCCATCTGGAACGGGCGTTGCAGCCTGCTGTTGTACAAGCCAGTGTTTTGTGGGAAGGAGTGAAGAACGTGCAACAAGTGCCGTACGTGTTACCGCCCGTATTCCGCGGTGACCGGCAAATTGCTTATGCGTTCTTCGAAATTGGAGAGACAGATCAGACTCCCAAAGTCGTTTTGCAGCTGAAAGACAAGTTGAAGAAAGAAACAGATTTTGCATATCCCATCAGTGCTGAGAAAAATCAAGGCATTGCTAAATTGGCAGCGAGAGCTTTAATTAAACATCTGGAAACCGCGCCTACTGGGACACCATCATCCATTAGCAGTGGATCCTTACAAAAGCGGAAAGTGGAACTGTCTGACACGAAGACAGAAGAGATTGATGCTGATAACAAAAATTTGATTACCGACATTTCCTTGAAATATGGCGTGATGTCCAAGCATGTTTCGCTCCTGGCGATAGAACAACGAGAAGGTGAACGAGCCAAAGAGATGCAACTACAAGAAATCTCTGTACAGGTATCAGCGCTGAGGTTCTATCAGCCGATGCCGCGATGTGGCATTCCAAGTAGTGTAGCACTGGGTGCGATGGGAATCATGTCTCCGAGTACGGTACCACCACCTAAAGCTCAGCAGTCGTTAGCAGGTCGTGCGATGTCTGGAGTTCCTGCTGCTTCAAAAAGGGCCAAAGAGATGGTTGTTAATATCACATCAAAATTTCATGCAAAAAAGGATAATAGTGTGGTGTCCGATTACGCTGTGGTGTGTAATGACGCGGGCAAGACGTCCGATGATTCGCGAGACCAAGAAGCAGAGAGGTTCAGAGCTACTAAGAAGCCGGTTTTGAATCAGGTTTTGGAAGTGGGACGGCAGCTGGGAATTTTCGGATAATTTGAAATGTATTCTGGGCGTCACCAAGGACGCTGCAGAAAGCAAAGCCGGGGAGAAATTGGATCCAGTTGTTTTGGCAACACTACTGGTAGTAGCCTATCTGAATGCCAAACATGCCGGTCAAACGCAGATTTGGCAGGCCATTGCTAAAAAAGCGCTGACTTTTATCCGGAAGCAGATATCCTCTGATCAAGAAAACAATATCCTGAAGAGTTTACAATCGCTCTTTTAAGGTGTCGACTTCAAACAATTTTCTGCGACGTTGTAGTACTTATATACAGAGTAGTTCATTCTTCTTGCATTGCTCTCGGGACAATTAAAAAAAACAAATTATAATTTTAATTTTACAGTTATTCGGTTGAATTGGTCTGATCTTCAACGTGAGTACAAACAAAAGGGCTCTCAGTGGAAGACGGTGTACAGTGTAAAATAACCTCCGTAGGACCAAATTATAAGCACTTCCGACTGCTAAGCTCATGAAGGGTTATATGCAATTATGCATTCTTCAATATTCTGCACGACGTGCTAAACTCAAGCTACTTTACAGTTTACTGGCATCTTTAATGGCGTTCTCACTGCGTTGTACAGATCTAGAACTGGTAGTGGAAACTTCATGCGTAGCAAAAGTGATTAATGCTTTGAACAACCATGTACTCGCATATATATTTGAATAAGATGATAAGTGTAACGCAGACGCGTAAGCGCTTACTGGACTTCAGTATTCTGATATGTGCTAACGAATCGAGAGATTAACTTCCTTCTTTGCAAGGTGTTAATGGTATGTCCGTATAACATTTGAGCACTGACTCAACGGAAATGTTTTAAGTCTTATCTAAAGTCAATGGCAGCTGCATACCTGTCAAAGAACTCAGTAGGTAATTATTTGGGGTCTGATTACCACTAACGCACAGTTAAATTTCAAATGCGAGCGAAATATTCGGAAGTGGTCAGGAAACAAAACAGGAAGCAATGATATCTGCAGTAAAAAATAAGGGCACTGGAATAGGTCTTGGGATTTGTAAACCCTGTCAAATACCACGACATTCAGTCGGCACGCAGTATCGGGATAGCTGGGTATTTAAACGGTAATATCTAAGTCTAGTCCACGAATAAATAACATACTCATTTTGAAACTGTGTTCTTGTATACGCCAATAAGTTTGTGGAAAAATTTTACCTGATTAGCGTTACATCGATTTAGCCATGTCTGGTGTATTGGGAATTTTTGTTGGGTTTTTGGTTTCGTTTCGTAAGTGATTTTTATCAAGTTACAATGTCCGGAATACCGTGATTTATAAGTATATGATTCTGCAGGCCTGGCTGACGCGGCAGTTGCATGTGGAACGTCTCAGATATCTCCCAGGTCCGAGATGTCAAGAGTAAAAGGTGGGTTCACGTCATACTCATCTTGTTCACAATACGTTTTGATTACCATTTGATATCCAGGTGGTAGCGATGCGATTGCCGGTAGCTGGCCTTGGCAGATCCGTCTCGGAGTGCGTTATCCAAACGGTCAAGTGTCATGGGTTTGTGGAGGCAGCATTCTCACCGAAAGATATGTGGTGACCGCTGCACATTGTTTGCTTGGGTAAATTAGCTAATGCGATAAAGATGCATATGCAAAATGCTGACGGGGGTTATATACTTTACAGAGGCGTCAACGGCCAATACGTGGTGCGTGCCGGTGATCACGATCAGAGTCGCATCGAAGCTAGCCAAGTGGATCATTCGGTGCTGCGCGTGGGTCGTCATCCCAATTACGGCGGCGAGCGGACCTTTGTCAACGATATCGCCATCTTGCGTTTGGCGACGAATTTGACCTTTAAAGCCCAAGTGAGTCCGGTGTGCATTCCGTCGAACAGCCAGGATGTTGCACAAGGAACGAACTGCATGGTGACGGGATGGGGCGGATCCGGACCAATCGGGAACATGAATAAGCCGCTGTTGCAACAGGGACGCGTGCAGATCATTGGGCGAGAACAGTGCGCGCAGCGCTACTGGGGTGCCATGGTCGCTGGTGCGGTTCAAGTATGTGCCGGAACGCCAACCTTAACAACCGATGCTTGCAAGGTAAAAAAGTTCTGGTGAATAACGATATGTCTGGTGACTAGATAGTCGGTATAAAGCGTATGAATTTAATTTTAAGTCTCGGTACAGGTATCAGTTTAATTTCAATGTCATATGCAGATAGTCACCACGCAATTACTACTTTAGTAGCGAAATTAATCGAAATTAATTTTTAGGGTGATAGTGGCGGTCCTTTGGTGTGTCAAGATCCAGTCAGTCGAAAATGGGTTCTCCATGGGATCGTTAGTTTTGGAGCTGGGTACGCTATACAGTATATGTAACGTAATGCATATATGCGGGCCTTCATCCGGCGATTTATTGATCACGTTTCTGCATTTTCTTAAATCTACAGATGTACCAGTAATAAACCAGCTGTATATACAAGAGTGACCGGATTGCTTGATTGGATCAAGACAACGACCGGCAACACCGCTATGGTGTAATCGGAAATGTGCTCCATATAACCGACACGACCAGAGCTGAATATCTGGAATTTAAAGAGTTGAATATCACTTCCGGCCTGTTTACCGGGGACGGATCAAAATCCATCTCTGGCTGCACTAGGGCAGCAGGGCATTGATTTTCTTTTCTCTGTGATAGAGTGTCTACAAAGTGTACAGTACTATTTTATTTGATGCATGATGCCAATTTTAGTGTCTGCCTTTAGAAACCGTCTTGTGATTTTTAACACAATAGAATCGCTGTGGTAGTTAATGAGGCTATAATGTTCTGAATACTGAATAGATGTTTAGTAATATTTATAAAATAAAAGCGCATTCATGATTCACATGTTTTTGCTGTAATAAACATGTTTTCGTCTGCCGCGGTATGAACACCACTGCATATGCATGTAGCGAAGATTATCATTAACGCCCCAGGAACTTGCAGGAAGGCCATGATCGTCTTTATAGCCTGGCCAGGGTCGATTCAACTCGATTGTATACTGCATTAGAGCAGTAATTCATGCGGGAATATATCAGGCGATATAAGCACCGGAGGAAGTTAGAGTGCAAACAACTCTGCTGACATGCCACTGCTGAGGTTGGCAAGAGTGTTTACATTAGGTGGAAATACAGAGCGGAATTTAAATTTACAATTATAACGATCACGTTTGTCAGTTCTTCAACGGCGGTAAAGGAATATCAAGTGCGCACGCAAGACTCGGGATAAGTACAGTAGATCCTTCACACGCAACGGAATTCCATATTTTCATATCCATTTGTCTGATACAAGGTACGCGAAATTTTATGGTTTTTCAAGGCAAAATGAACCTAAGCGCTGATACCGGGAATTTTAAATATTCGGCTAACGATACGTTGATACCATGGATTACATTTATTCCTCGCGAAGATTTGACCGAATGGCTTACGGTATCCCTGATAGTCTGCATAGCTGGCACATTCTCGTACATCTTGCTTTTATCACCATCACTTCCCAAAAAGGCCTAATAAACGGTGCCGGGTTACTGCTGTTCCATTTGATCATCATGGAAGGTTTGATAGCCACGGGACATTTTTATTTATTTTTTATCAACGTGTTCAGCCAAACCGTCCCAAGTGACAGTACAGAATTTTGCTACTACTCCATGTTGTGTTATTGGACAACGGCGTTTGTTGCAAACTGGTTGGCGGTGTTTTTATCCATTAACCGTTTGGTCGCTGTGGCCAAGCCACACCTGTACCGGTACTTGACGACGCTGTGTGCACGACGAGCGATGCTGATTGGCAGCTGGATTCTGGGTCTCACGGCAGCCGCACCGACCGTTGGCCATCATCTTTACCGGCACATGGCGACTATACCGGGCTTATGTATTATACATTATGGATTTGCACCGGGAGAGTAAGTAATTCTACAAAAACTTAATGAGCCTACGTGAATAATTAAATATATTTTTATAATAATTAATGTTTTCGAATGTCATGGAAGGATAAAGAAAATTGACTTACTGTATTACATAGAGAATTATTCTGCAGTTTATAGAATTTGCCTTCAGGTACATTGCCACAACAAAAATTAATGTCGTCGTCAGTCAATTTTTCAGCTAATTTCAGGAAGAAAAGTATAATTTTTCAGCTAATTTCAGGAAGAAAAGAACGTATTTTAATTAATAACTTTAGATTATTGTTTGCAGCGAACATTTGTTCGAAGTTGTCGTTACATTGGGATGTTATGTTCCCTTGGCCTTAACTCTGGCCGTGTATGTTTCTCTCTTCGCGGCCATGAAGTGTCGCACGAGACACGAAAGCATTCCGCCGCATGAGCGGTCACAACGGAAGTATCAGGGAAGATCAACCATTCAGCGACGGATCTCCATGGCGCGGATGCTGTTCATCTCGTCGGCATCTTATTGTCTGTGCTTTTATCCGATCCCTGTTATCATGGCCTTTTTCCCATACGTTTTTCATAGATATCCTATGGCACTACTGTGGTTACGAACGCTGGTGTTTGCCGGCTTTGCTGCAAAACCGGTAAGAAGCGAATCAATCTAATCGGTGTCTTGCAGAAGTTTTATTAAGACTTTTATTCCGAATATTGAAAATAACGTGTCATGGCTTATAGGCGTTGTACTGCGCTTTAAGCGTGGAGTATCAGCAAGCGTTGAAAAGACTTTTTCGTCGAAAGGGATTGACAACGGCTGGGGATGCATCGCAAAGTTCAGTGCAGTTTGATTCCTGATCGAAACGTTCGATGCTCAAACAAGCTTCAACTATACGCTACCGAAACAACAACAGATTACTAGCGGTGGTTGTTAACCACGTGATGGCACGAGCGCGAGCGCCAATACCACTGGGTATTTAATGGTACTGGGTTTGTGGAATTGGAAAAGTGTAACGTACGCTCTCCGTGGCGTCAGACAAATTTAATGCTCTTGACGAAGGCTTATTGCAGCACCTCGCGCTTCGCGTTCGGTGCAAAAAAAGATTTCGTACAACATACTCACAAAATTTTATTGTTGAGAATTTCCTGTGATATATATACCACAAAAGCAAAAATAATAATTTGTTATTTGTTATACCGTATAATGACGTTAAACATGAAATACGGAGCAATAATGAGTGCTCGCAAGCATCCGTTAAAGTTTGACAGCGGATCTTTCGGCACAGTATTGTATTCATTTTCAATACGATATCTTCTATGCATTGTAATTTGTACACATAATAGTACTACTTTCACCAGACATCCAACCGGGATATGCAGATGGCTGCAATTATCCGAATGACACAGAAACTACAAGCAATAGGTTTCTGTTACCTGCACTGAAATACGGCGTATCAAAGATCCGGGGAAATCTGTTTTCATGAGATACAGGATGTTATCCAAAGCATGGTTAAAAATCACTATAAAAACGATTGAATGCTGCAGACGCTGCCTGAACTACACTTTTTATTCGTATTCTCGAATTTGCGTTTTGTAGTCTCCACACTTTCTTGAGCAGCTTTTACACTTCGAAGTGTATGACCTTTGCAGTACTTAACCATGGTTTCCGTCGGACGCTTATTCATGTTATTTGCCATCATCCTGGCCGTTTTTGCCGTGCATGCCAACGCTGCCAAGGGCGACAAGAAGCCGGTGGACAAGAACAAGCCGCTGCCGGAGAAGCCACTGCCGAAACCGCCCTCCATCACCGAGCAGGCCAAGAATGAAGGCAAGTTCTTTGACGGTGCCCACAAACTGGAGCAGCCCCTCAAAAAGACCAAGACTTTCTAGATATGGATTGCATTATGTATGTATTGTCCTGTAAACATGACTGTAAACTTATTTAGCAACAAATAACTGGCGGCTGGTATCAGTGTTTTTTGTGTCGTTTGATTCTGCAAAGATGCAAACCTGTGGTTACTTAAGGGATGAAAGTTTACAATAAAATGCTATAAGCAAACTGGTCTGTTCTCGTGATTAGCTAGTGAAACGTCTGTAAATCCGCCAATTATTTACACAGTAACCATAAAAAGTGTTCAAAGATGGTAAAAATAATTTCTGGGCAAGGTAGAAGGCACATACGAGTAATTGCGGTATATTGCCGGCATTATAACTCGAAAACGTCAATCACAGCAAATGAAATATTGTCTAACGTGAGGTGAAAGTAAAATCGGTCACAGTACATGTACCATACATTTGCTTTATTATGATACAGTACTTATACTAAATGCGTTTCCCATAACCAGGAAAACGAAATTCACTGAGCAGTTTACGAAAAATAAAAACACCCTACTGGGTAATACATTTTGATTTAGGTACTAAAGATAACATAATGATGTGCCGAAGCTTGTGTATGTACATTTTGTGAAATAAAAGACAGTATCCGAAAATTAAACACAATAAAATTTTTATTATTTATTTATTACTATATTTACATCTGCTTACGATTAGCTGAATTAATACCGTTACTACCGTTGAATTAATACCGTTACCGTTATTTTTCATTATTACCATTTTTTATGGTTTCGTATTACAAAAAAATGTACAGAAGCGTAGCAACCAACGTCATTATAACCTGTCTGAATGTTAGGTCGGTCAGGATATCGGCGAGCTCGCCCAATAAATAAAGTTCTGTCTTTCATGGCACTTTTTACACTTCTAAAGTAGGTTTGTATTTCATGTACGTATGTAATATTGCAACCGCTGGGAATACATAATTTTTGATGGCAGTATTACACCAACGACTAATTCTGTTAATTGAATAACGATTCTCTACGTTCGCTTACTAATTAATCTGGTGGACTGATTGGGCCTAACGAGAGCTGCAGTCTGCATAAAGATGTTTGCTCCATTGGCGCTTTTTGCATTGCTTTTGGTGTCCTTCAGTAAGTGCCCTTACTGGAGCCTGGAGAGTCCCGTACCGATCATATTAATTTTGACAAAATTAAACAATTGTCAAAACGCAAACAATACGTATTAAACGCATGGGCTGCTTTTTTAATAACGATATCCGAGAGGTACACGGCGTAAAGGTCAAGAGCGTTTTTTAATTAACTTAAAACACCATCTACTACATAAAGCTTTACCTAAACTCCTTGATCGTCTTCCAGGCAGCAGACAGTGCAGACTGAATTGCTAAATGTAGATACAATTTGTGTTTCACAACTACGAAGTAGTACTTACAGTGCATTATTCATAGACGTGGGTGGTGATGCGGTACAATGTGGAATGCCACAAATTCCTCCAAGAAACGAGATGAACAGAGTGAAAGGTTCACGACAATAATTGTTGATAATAACGCACTGGCTAACGCTTCTATAAAAATTATCAGGCGGCAGCGACGCTATTCCAAATAGTTGGCCATGGCAAATTCGCTTGGGAATTGTATTTCCTAATGGATATGTCAACTGGGGTTGTGGAGGCAGTATTCTCAATGAGAATTTCGTGGTTACGGCTGCCCACTGTATAGTCAAGTTAGTACTTGTGAAATCAACTGAACAGAACGTTGACGACCATTACATAATTTTGTTGTGCAGTGGAGAAAACGGACAGTATATTGTGCGCGCCGGTGACCACGATCAGTTCCGCGACGAACCCACCCAACAGGATATTCGTGCCAGCGCCGTACGCCGTCACGAGAACTATGGCGGCGAGTACAACTTTGCTAATGACGTTGCTATTCTGCGCCTGGAGAGGCCTCTGACCTTTACACCGCAAGTCAGCCCGGTGTGCCTGCCGTCCAGCCGGGTGGATGTTGCCCATGGCACCGACTGCATGGTGACGGGATGGGGTGGGTCCGGACCTTGGGGGAACCAGAATAGGCCGATGCTCCAGCAAGCCCCCGTGCAGATCATTGGGCGAGAACAGTGTGCGCGCTGGTACTGGGGGGATGGCGTCATTGGCCAGGTGCAGGTGTGCGCCGGAGCGCCGAATTTTTCGACCGATGCTTGCAAGGTAGAAAGCTCTTTAATGGCTAGTCGAAACTGCAGCGACTACGTGATAGTATGGTACCAAATTCTGGGTCTAAAACGTTTGGAAATTTATTTCACACATAACTCTACACCGAATACTGCGGGCATAACGGTTTTCACATCAGCGTGTATAGTATACAAAAATTATTTGACTACACAACGTGAAAACATAATGCAAAAAAATGTTCCAGAAAGCCAAATTTGCCGAACAAGTACGTACCGGGTCACTTTCCTTAATCAAAGGAAAAACGAGCGTTCATATAACCCGCATTTATCGTATTATGCCGGTTAAAAGTAAAAGTGCATTGTTATTTTAGGGTGATAGCGGAGGTCCCTTGGTGTGTCAAGATCCTGGAAGCCGGAAGTGGGTTTTACAAGGGATCGTCAGCTTTGGATTCGGGTACGCAAAAATTGGCAAAACGCAATTTATAATACAGGAAATTGGGATGCATTAATTTTTGCTGCGGAATGAAGTATAAAGTTTGTGGTTGTCTATAGATGCACCAGTGACCGGCCCGCCGTATACACGAGAGTGACCGCAATGGCTGACTGGATCAGGATGATGACCCAAAACACCGCTTTGGTACAGTAACCGGTATATGACGTTGTTAATACGTCCAGTGCCTTGGAATCTCTTATGCAATCTGGAAAACGTTTTTAACAATCCTGTCAAATGGTCTGTAATTGTGATGCCCTTACGTGTTGGGGTCATGTCGATTATTGATTACTGTTTGAGCAGTCGTTCTGTAATACATTGTCTTCTCTTATATCCAAGGGTTTCATTATTGTTTCTGTATTAAACTTATCAGAAGAGTGGATCTATTCGTTTGAAACTTCCATAACATCGAATAAACAATAAATTAATAAAAACGTTTTCTGAAAACTTCAAAAATTATTAGCGCACAGACGAGTTTTTAAGCGCTTCGTCTGAATATATATGTTTTATATGTGCACTTTGTTTACATGTCTTATATTTTATACGAACAAAATTACCCGTTCCCGTGCGTTGAACAAAATTTGCATACTTGGCATTCTAGGGACAATCATTGTTGTTGCACTTGTAAATTACGCGGCCGAATTTGCAACGACAATACTTATAATACTCTGTAGTTAATAATTTCTGTCACGAATGCTGCGGTACATTTCTTGACCACCCGGTAGAATTAACAAGTTAAGTAATCTGTTGCGTTACAATAAAACGGACGATATAACACGTTATATCACAATTCTTTGCTGTCCGTAGCTCGACATTTATACTACGTGCTAAAAATCCAAAATGTTCCTGTTTATTATCAACATGCACTGTTCGGTATCCGTTATAATATTCTGCATGGCCATGATATCTTCTCAATTATATATGTACTTGAACGGAGTGTTTTTTTCTTTCTAAAGTTAACGGACGTAACATTTTTCTTGAATGTATATTCTGCAGAACGCCAAAGTAACGCGAAGTACTATTGTTTTACCGAAAAATTCCAGTACGTTTGCCCGAGTATAAAATTTAATGCCGTGATAATAATTTAAGAATTTCTGCAACACTGCGATACCTGGGAATGGCGTCCTTCGACGCCGCAGTATTTAAATCTTATTTTGATGTCGTCCGCCTACTAAGTTTTATTTGTGCCTCTGTCTCAGGTATTGAATGACATCATAAGTAAGCTGTCGAAAGGTTTTTTCGCAGTAATTCGTTAAATTATTTACTTTACTGAACTATGATAACAGATAAACAGGTAGGTACAACTGAATAATTGTTTCTAAATTCAAGGACAAACCGTCAATCCTGTTACTGCATCGACGACACGGAAATATTCGTACAACTCGTGGGATATCCAATGTAAGCTAATAACCTTTTCATAACAATATTATGTTGAAAGATTATGTAGAAAGGTTGGGCCAGTATCCCGTGTAATATTTCGTCAAACATAGAATAGTTGAGTACGGATTAATTTATTTCACTACTGTTATTTTCAGCCGGAACAGAAAACTGGGGAAGCAAATTTCCTGCATGCAATGGCCAAAGGCAGTCTCCCATTAACATTATTACCGCATCGGTACAGCGTAATCCTAGACTGGACGCTATGCGTTTTGAATCGTATAATGCAGCGCCTGAAAAATGGATTATTTCCAACACCGGGCGTGAAGGTTAGTTTGCTTCACTAAGATAGCGCTGAATCTGTCGATGGTAAATTATGTATCCCATATCAAACTTAGGGCCCGTTCAGGCATACACCTATCTATCTTAATTGCTTAGTGGGACTTGAGTTCAACCGGGGACAACCACCTAATTGCATTAGGTCCCAAAATTCACGCAAACTGCTAAAAAACTGGCCGTTTTGGGCGGCGCTTCAATAGAAAATGGATAGATAGAAGTCAGCGTGAATCCGGCTTTATTTGTGAGTAGTGGTGTTTACGGCGATGACCGGGACAAATGATAGCCTAACCCCCGGCATTAGTAATGGAGGCCTACCGGAGAAGTATACTTTCGTTCAGATGCATTTGCACTGGGGCCAACGGAATTCAACACGAGGATCCGAGCATTTGGTCGACGATTTCAGCTTCCCGTTGGAGGTTCGTACAGCTGCAGGGCGTAGTTTGGTGGGTGCCGGCAAATTTACGTTGTATAATACAAAAAATGCGCAACTGCAGGCGGCAGAACTCACTCCATTTTATACTAACCACAAGGTTTACAGTATTACGGCATGAATGTTAAGTACAGAATGTGTCGGGAAAAATTTTTAGTTATTACTATTTAAAAAAATTATGCTGATAATTTATCGTATCGATTTAGCTTCATCTTGTGCACCTAAAGGCTGGGATTTTCTCCTCAATGAATCAGTCTACTGCAGCGAACAAGACGGCTTCAGCAGTCGCAGACGGGACTGCATTGGTGGTTGTTGGGATCTTTATCAGTGCCTCCAATGTATCGCGTCCAAGCCCCTGGTTTGACGAAATTCTGAAGGCTATGAGAAATGTCCCAATCCTGGGTGAGTCGGCTATAATACAAAGTATATTTGGTAAATGCGCCGTAGTTTATTAACCATTACGTTAAGCAGCATTACGCTAGACATTAAGGTGTAATAAAGCTTAAAGGATTTATGCAGGAGAATGTTTGGTGTTTGTAGTATCCGTGTTCAATGTCGACAAACTTTTAATGCGTTAGTCAGGTAGTTTCTCTTGCCATTTATTAGGTGATGTGAAGGACATCAAGTTGACCTTTCCACTGCAAGCACTACTCCCCATCGACCGCTCGTTCTTCCGCTACAATGGCTCGTTGACCTCACCGCCCTGCACCGAAAGCACCATCTGGACGGTCATGCAGGAGCCGATCCGCATAAGCTTCGGACAACTGGATTTGTTTCGTAGTTGGATACGAGCCAAAGCCACCGCCTTCAATTACCAACTGCAGAACCTGCGCCCGGTGCAGCCGCTTAACGGTCGTGTAGTTAGCTACTACGAATCGCCAGAGCGTACAAAAATTACATCATCCTCCGGAAACAACAAGCCATCCCTGAAAAACGCTTGGTTTGACAGAGTGGCTATAGCAGCAGTTTTTGCCGTTTTAAGCCGGCATTTGTGCAGCTTGTACTGAAGTCTAAATACTAAATAAGTTCATGGTTTTGGTATAAAATGTCCCGTTGACAAATGCTGATCGTTTGGCGCTTACTCTGATTGCTTTTTTTGCAAGTACCTGATGCTGTTTTACATAATTATTGTACGCTCAGGGAAATGAATACTTTGTAATAAATGTAATACTTTGTACGTTGACAACGAACAAAATTACCTGCAAAAAAATTAACAATCTAGTAATCATCCGACACCGGAAATGCAACCGGCTGGCCGAAAACGCTGTTGGATCCAAGAACGATGTGCAAGAATTCCGGGAAGTTAAATTTATTTATTTCCGTTTAGCGAAACGTGTAGGATCAGCAGTTTTGAATAAATAAGGTACAAGTCGCCGCACAAGTACTGCACAGATTGTGCTACGAGCTTTTATTAACACTTGCACTGCAAGACATCCGCCATTAATCACTTCTGCAATCGCAAAAGATTGTTTTTGCTAACACTGTGCCCCGTAAAATATTTTAATTTGTTAAGTTTAATACTAAACACACTTTCTCATTCATTTTAAATAATTTTAAAAATCACAGCAAACCAGCAAGCTTAGATGATCAGTGCATGGACCGCCAGGTCCAGTGTGTATATGTTATGTGATCTTAGGATCCTGTGCAACATTATTCAAGGCATCCATGGAAGCTCCAGGATTCGATGGTTCCGTTTCGTGCTCTTGCAGCAACCAGTAGCAGCGCATCTGACCTTTCCCCTAGAAGAACACGCATCAAAGATAATTTAACTTACAAAAATTTAAACGATGTCCCAACAAGTAACGATATCGCTAACGTCTAACGGCCCCCGCTGCTTTTTATCGTACTCTAACGATATTTTAGACGTAGCAATTGTGCAGAAAAAATAAGAATAATATTAACTGCAATAATAAATGCCTAATAAAAGGCGCACCTTGATGTCCATCAGTCCTCTGAACTCAAACCGGTACACGCCGGCGTAAGTTTGTAGATGTCCTCTCGTTTCGTGGCTGACTTGAATTTTCAAGGCTATTACGAAAACCACAGTAGACTGCTATGAAAATACACAAATGAATGCAGTAATACACGCGATTTGTCACCTTTTCCGCTAGATGTCATTCGGGACGCCGTGTTGATCGTGTCCCCGAATCTGAAAGAATAACAAATTCATTAGCCTATCAATACTTCCGCTAACTCCAGTTCTGGCATAACCTACAAACAATATCGCGGCATTTTATTTCCTACAATGCCGGCCGCACATGAACCGGTGTGGAAACCAATTTTCAGCTGTAATGGTTTCTTTTCTTTCCGGCCCTCATTGTGCGCGGTAAACGAATGGGATTCTTTCATCAAGGCCAAGGAGAATTTGGCAATCTCACTGGAATGATTATTGCCATTCCTGACAGGCAATCCGCTGGCAATCTACACGAACATATTTACAGGAAACGTTACACAAAATAGTGAAAATTAACTGGTAATTACGGGCGATGGTACCATATAGGAATCGGAAATTGTCTCCACTTTGTACACATCGAACAATTGTAGCATGTTGTCAAACAACGTGTAAAGGTTATTCAGTACAGTGACAAGTTGTAAGGGTGTGCTACTGAAGGCGATATCCACGAAATCCTCCAAGGCCGTGAAACCAATGGTTACCAGTGTGAACGCTTCCGGATCGATTTTCTGACCATGTGTGAGCGCATGCGCCACATGCCTGAAAAGGTCACCGAAGTCAGATATCACACGATTAAGCACCCGACCAGAAAGACTGAATTTTAACTACATTTTTTAAGAAATGTCACATTTGCGAACGTGTGCATTTCAAAGCCGAGTTTTCGCAGATGCTAGACTTAATTCATGATTTTTTTGTTTTTCCAATGATGATATAGTAAAACGGAAGCTTAAGCCAAACAGCCATAAAATTGCGTTAAAATATACGCAACGGACAGATTGTAAAGTAGCAATCTTAGTAATGGTTGCTCGTCGTACATGGGTAAAACCTGATACAGCAGTTCATCCGATTTGCGCTTCTCTTCCATAGTGTCACGTGTAGCTACTTCGATGCGAGCTTCCAGGACCTGCGCCAATCCGGCTAAACGCTGCAGAAGGTCATCCACAAAATTGGCGTCCTTCTCGAAGCCAGGCACGGATTTGATATACTTGTTGATGTACTCGATGCTGGGACGGGAAGCCGGCTTCTCCTCCCAGCATTTTTCGGTGAGCATGCGCAGTGGGGTCAGCATGCCTTTTTCCGGAATTTTTGGCCGGAAGGCAACAACACTGTTGGCCATAAGGCGATCGATAATGCCTGATCAGTTAAAAGATCAGCTTGAAGTAAAATTTACAATAGGTCATCACAACAAAAACAAGAAATACTACACCTCCATCACCGGTATTAGAAAACACATTTCTTACGACAAAAAAAATCAAATTTCGCGTCATGAGTGTATCACATACTCACACCAAAATACTCATATTTGCTGCGTAGACTTTCGCGTAATTATCAGTACTGCTCTAGCTGGGTTTCAGTTCTTACAGATTCAGACGAAAATTTTGTGTTATTAATTAATTCTACTTTGAGTGGTTAAACCTTAATAATGCAAACGTGAATTGTTACGTTATTTAAGCCCTGGACAAATGTTTCAAAATTTTTGTCTTTTAAATACGAGTATGTATATGAATTTTATTTTGATGGTTTTAGATATAATCCTTAAGTTCAATTTTAACAGTATTACAGATAACAGCAGAAAAACGCAAAATCCGTACAAACTTACATGCGTACAGTCTGTACAGATACATTCTATTAACGTAAGATTGGAAAGTAAGGCACAACCGTACAAGTACTTACTCCTATATTATAAGCTAACTTCAACAATTACAACCCATTTGCCTCACCTTTGATGGTAAACATGTCGATTTCCATTTCAGTCTGGAATGGCTCAATTTCCGACATAATGTGCACTAATATGTATGCGAAGGCGTACACATCGGCCTCCTTGGAAGCGGCATAGATATTCAGGACATTGCGCAGCATTTCCGGTGCAAAGGTTAAGAACTTCCGATCGGCGGGATCTTCTTTACTGAAATCAGGCGGTTTTAATGGCAGGACATCTAGGCGATAATATGCCACTTTCAGAACGAAACGGTTATCCATAAGGCAGTTACGGGAAGACAAGGAGCCGTGATGATCGATGGCAGAACTGTGCAGATAATTTATAGCCTAAATAATTCCAGACATAACACGTATAATGTGACGTATTATGCGATTGCAAAGCCGGAAAGATCAATGGCGCTTACAACATTTTTTTTACCTTGCAGATATCTAAAATGGAGGAAATCTTGAGTGGAAGATCAAAGTGGATAGTTTCACTGTTGATGATGTCTATTAAACTGCCACGTGAGCACACTTCCATTAGAACACCGATCTCCGTATCGGCTATCGGACAGAATCCAAGAAAGCGAGCTAAATTAGCGGTAGTTGTGCGCTTCATCTGCAAGGTTTACCGGTTCAGCTTCGAATTAAATTATTTTTTACTACACCCTGTACGATTCGTTGCTAATTTAATTTTTATTTGTTTGTACTCAATAAACGCCTACATCCAGATTTTTAGCTGTTTCAGTTTCTTACGTACACGCAGTATAAGCTTTAGTTGCCTGGAATTGAGATCAAACCGATGGCGCAGCAGACGTTTTCGCATCCACAGTCGCTGACCATTGTACACGCCCACGTGTTCGGATTGCATGATACTTCCGCTGAGGTTTATGGAGGCCATTTGAGAGTTGGTATTGGCCGACGTCCGACCGGATCTCGCTTGAATACTGTGCTTACTCTGTACCAAAGCACCAATATTCGTTATTTGCAGCGTTTACTCGGATAAGTGAATACCGTAATCATATGCGTACGTAATTATCGGCATATAATTGTGGCCAAAGGTCACTCAAGAAAGAGTATTACGTTTTAACTTCTTGGTATGATTTTGGTAAATACGTCATAGCGTACGCTTCCTTACAAAAGTATTGGAAGCGCTGTGTGAGGATTTGGCTTTGTTAAAAGTGATTTCTTCGTAAGGAATAAACCATCGGTTGTCCGTCATTTCATCTTTCTTCATGCGCCTAACAAGTACACATTCAGTCAATTTTGTAAACATGACCAACAGCATTGCAGTAAAATGTTTTTGCAGTTATTTTGAATGATTGATACTTTTCAAAACTGGCTATTATTACTTCTAATCTTCTACTGTACAATAAAAAGTAACCTAAAGTAAGCTTGTCAAAGCAAATCAGATGTATACGTAAGTATAACTGACGGCATAGTACACCTTTTACGTACAAGCTGATTCAAACGGATTACGTTGTATATGTCAAATCCAATTGATTGCTTATAAACTGTTGATCATCGCGTAGTTGTTCCATGGTGTTGCAAATTACCTGACAATATAAATGTAGACAGGAATCACCAGAAGTAGTACGCAGCAAATCCCAATGGCAATGCCGGCAATACTCCCTCCTGCTGTAAACAAGCAAATTTGGAAATACATTGACGTCGTCGTATCGCAAAATAGTTTCCTATCGTGCCAAAACAAAGCGTCCAGTTTTCGGAAAAATATGTAACCTTACAATTAATTTTGTATTCCCACAAAAAGCTGCCTCAATTATGTTCATACATACTTTATCCATAAAAAAATGCTGCAAGTGTAATACGCTTTGGTAAATTGTCACAATTTTGAAAAAAATAATGGAAATTGAAAGATCAAAAGACCTTTGGGGTGTTGTTTTAAATTTTGAATGCATTTGTATAATTTTTTGCAAATTTGTTGACAAATAGGCTGGTTTGAAAAATCACATATTGTGGATGATTAGTTATTAAAATGCGATGAACTGCCGGTGAAATGGCTGGCGCGGTAAATAAACTAATTTGGCTTACAAACTTGGCATATATCGTCATCTCCATCAAAGCCACACTTTGGGCGGTTGGGTGGCGGTGAAGTGCCCCGGAAGGCCCATGTAATGTTTTTTCCAGGAACCGGTACCAGTTGATTAACGAGCGTATTGTAGGTGAACACATCCTACCAGCATCCACCGATTATTAATAATAAAGAGGAAATTCCGCAGTAAGTGACAAGTAATATGCAGGTAGTAATGAATGGGAAAGCTTAGCCACTTACGTCGAATGTAAAATGGGAGTGGTCCATCGCCTTAATTATGTACACATACTCCTTCCGGTCGCTGTTGCCGAAATAAAAATCCCCGATATTCGGGGATTTAACCAGAATAGAACTGTTTCTCAGTTGTGTCGGTCGGATGATCTGGTCGCCTTTATTGCCAGTACTTAAATTTGTGCCAGGTGGTATTGTCATGTTGATCAACTACAAAGTATATACTAGCATCAAACGCACGTACGTCGGTCAGTGACATACCTATACTATATAATAGTGCTTCGATAATATTAACTGTAACTTAAATAAATCGTAGATATGCAGTTATTTTTCCAAAGAGGTTCATAGAAACGCCGAAATTTACCCGAAACTGTTATTTACTTACTTTGGTAATGTTGAAACATATGTTTTTATCAGATGCAAAACAATTCACATGAGATTTACCTGCCCGGTAAATAAGATAACCTGATACTGCAGAGATGTGAATGCTGACACCTACAAAGAAAAATAAGGGTGCACTATGCGTAAACGATTTCAAAAACAGGTACGTTTATAAATCGGAATTTTTGTAAGCACGGCTCCATTTGGTGTTTTATATTACAGTATTTCCATGTACAACTGCACATGTTCTTGTAAATATGCATTTAATGCTTAGTTATATTGGTAATTTCTTTAATTTTTCCATTTGTTGTATATTTAATATAAACCGGGCTCAAGGCTACTTAGATACAGAAGATGTATAGCTGTAAAATGTAGTGCTTTCAAATCCATAAGTCAGTAGCATTTATTCGAAGCGCACGTACATTCTCTTCGGCCTCGTACACATAACCGGTGGATCCCATCGTTTTAGCCTTGAGATTGAGATTGAACTTGCGGTAATTTGGGCCTTCCAGTGGGCGTGTTGAAATATAATACAACGACTTGAAGGCTTGTTTAGCATCCTAGATATTTCCCGTTCATTTGTTTACACAGATTCGATCAAAATTTGTCCATCAAAAGCCAAACAGACAAAATCCGAAGTGAATAAATAAATCGGTCAAATTCGCGCAGTTGTGTACTGTCTGTTTCCGCTTTCGTTAATCAGAGTTGTCATATGCACTCACGTCGTCATCGTCATCCTGGAACTGCCATTTGTAATAGCCATATAAGGGATGTGCCTCCGGATACACCGTAATGAAAACCTGGTAAAAGAAAAATAATAATAATAGTCTCGTATTACAAAAAATTGTATTTTGTATTCGGCCGACAAAATTAATAAAAACGTGATTTCATCGCATATAAGCGCTATGGTAATCCCTGCCCTGTTTCTTGGCATAATGTATGGTGTTCTTACATAATCTCCATTTGTCATTCCCATTCTCTTCGCGATAACCTAAATGCGATATAAAGCTGCAGCTGGTAACAAAAAGGAGAAATTAAAATAAATTTAAATTAGAGGTAAATCAGGTAATAATTATTATGTGCATTTACATATACATTTAATTAATCTACAGGACTGCAATTACTATGGGCTGATTGTCAGCGAATTATGATACTGAGTGAATGATAAGTGGACAGTGGGACACTAATTCATTACACATTCGACACAATTTTAGTGTAATATTATTTTTAGAATTTTTTTTTGGAATAAGGTAGTTATCAGATTAATTAACTACACCGTTGCCGCCTAATATGTTAAATAACTTACCATGATGTTTCGCGTTGTATTTCCATGAGCAACAAGAAGAATCACTGCAGTAAAACCACCATATTTTGATAAATCACGACTTTCCTTTACCCAGAAACCAACATTAAAATCAACAATTTTTCCAGATTAATAGTTTTTACATTTACGGTGCTCTGTAATATATTGTATCGATCCAGCCACGTTCTACCAATCCATCAAGCTCATTTCTTATGAAAAACAAACCACTCACCTCTGCTGCTCAGACTGGCCATATGCAGCCAGTAGCCGAAATCGACTTTGTCGGTCTGTGTATTGACTTCATATTTAATAATGCTCATACCGGGTGTGCTCTTCACACCCTTCTCCCAGCCTTCCCAGGCCAGTTTGAAAAAATTTCCCAAATCGGGCCGCACATCGCATATTAGAGTAGTATCTTTGAAATCATAGCGTTTCAGGAATTCTATCAACGTATCTACTACGCCTTTTTGTTGGTAGGGCAAAAAACGCATCAGTGTCGGAAAACGGGTTTTATTCAGCAGATCATTCGCTGAACCGCCACTGAAAAAAAGCCAGTCAGTATAACCGGCAAAATCAACAAATGAAATCGATACAATTTGGTTAGTATTCTTACCTGGATACTACCGGAATATTCCATTCTGAAATATATATAAACACAACCAAATATTAACTGTACTGAACTTAAAATAAATAACGTCGGAAATAAATTTCCGCTGCTACCACTGAGTATAAACTTAGAACAGACAGTCGCTTAACTGCATAATGTCATAAAAACATGTATGCTCTTCTACAGAAATACAGAACGTCGTAATTCTTCATATATTGATGCAAAACATCAAGTACAGATAGCATTATTTGTTGTCTTAAAAAATGTTTTACCTCGACCAAGATCCGCCGTTGGGCGCAGAGAATCACTACACCCTATAAGAGAAATGTTGTGATTTCTTGACTTTCTTCGTGTGCCTTGCATCGTTTCGATTTTAATTTGTCGATGCCGGTCTCGTGGATTAACACCGTTTCCACGTAGCGGAAACAACTATTGATTACTGTACTGTTTGTTTACGCACTCTTACAGGTCACTTGGAAGTTGGCACGTACTCCAGGCGCCGGTAAAAGGATGCGAATATTTATCCTGTGTATGGTAGACCTGTTTTTTTTTTACAATTTATTGAACCGCAAACACCAAGATCACGAAAAGGTCAACAAGTTACGAGTGTCACTGCTCGTGTTTACCGGCGGATGTATTGCTTATTATTTACTTTGGCTTCTTTCAAGCGGGATTGGCCTTTGCATAAAAACTATCCCCGATGAAAAAAACGTTGATGTACATAATCACAAGTATTCACGTCAGCTTCTGCCAACAGCAGTTTAAAAACGTTTTGCGTGAAAGCAAGTTTGTGTCGTTCATTACACGTACACCTTTTAGAATTTTTGTTATGCACACTCCCTAAAAAAGAAGTTCGCTGGAAAGGAGAAAAAATGGCGTTTGCGAGCATATCTGAGAATCGACTATGTATGAGTAGTAAAATACGTGCAGTACTTACAATTATTAATAATTAACAATACAGGCAATCAGTTATAGAGCGAACGAAAAATTTCTGGGGAATGTATCTACGAGCTTCCTGTAGATTTTTCTCTGGTGATTCTGCCGTTGGTGGCGAAATACCAAGCAGCCAAATAACCCAATCGTAAAGTATTGTACATACGGCTGTTACAGTATTTTTATTGTTTCCAGATTGGACGCACGATTATATTGCCAATTTTACAGAGATGACAAGCGAAAAGGAATGATCTTGTATTGTACATAAAAATGTGTCAAATCTTACCGTTTCCCACCAGAACAAGAATCGAATTATCACCCTGATCATCCCACTCCTTTATGCCGGCTGGTTCACGAGCGAAATACTTTGTAATCAAGTTGGCCACCACAGCGTCCAAATCTGGACAGGTTGTCGCATTGGGCGGGGAAATGTTGACCATATTAAAATTGAAGCGCGGGAACATTTTATTCAGTTCCTCCACGGCCATCTCGATCGCCGGACCAAAATATCCGTAGCTGTACGCCAGATACGGGCCCGATGTCATGCACACGACGAATGTCACATTGAACTCCACTTGCCCATTGGCCAGTACGATACATGTGCACAGTGCGGCCAATACGCACACATATTGTCGATTGTACATTATACAACCCCTCCGATATGGGAGATTAAATTAAGTATCAAGTATATCCATTGCGCAATTGCAAATCGAGACGTGGTGGGATAAATGTGTATGTTTAATCACATCCGCACAAACACAACAACCGCTGTTTTTCACGTCTGCCGTTACAGTGACCCACAGGGCCGGATGGTTATGAACATGATATTTAATCAACATGTTCAATTTCCCGTGCTTAAATATGCGGTTCCGTGGCCAGCCAATCGATCCAGTGCGGCGCACTTGACGGGAAGGAATAAAAAAACTGTCGCCGACATCTGCTGGGGTTTTCGCGGTGGCACCCGTTGCGTGGGAGTTGGATGCGCGGTGGTCACGAAGATGTATCCATAATACAGTCGCTAATAAACTTATGAATGGCTGCGATCATTTTTGCTGTCGGCACCGGCAATCTACTCGCTCGAGTTACGCTGATATAGTCGCCCCAACCGGACGGCACATGTATACAAAAGACACCGGGACATTCTAGCAACGTGATCCATTCCCGTTAGCGTGCGGGCTGATCCGCATTGTGACGGGTGTAGGCCTGCTCCTCGGGGAATAAGCAAGCCAACGCGACGACATTTTACTGGCCGAACGCCAGGTCAGTGTCAATAAGGTTTCGGTAATAGGTGATTGTTGCCGTTGATGGGAATTGTGGTTGCCTTGCACATCAATCGTATATCGTTTTGTTGTATAAACTTGTCAATATAACATCGTGTGTGCTGACACTTGCTGCTCTATTTCCTGCCAAAAGATTCCTGGATTTTTTTACACAAGTAGTAAATTGTTGTCACCAGTGTGAACATACAGTCTGTACACGCGGGAATCCATGATAATATGGTAGTAACTTCTTGTTTCAGATTTTCACAATGTCTACATGGAAAATGTCAATGTTAATTCACCTGGAAAATGACTTCACCAAAAATTGCACGGTAATTGTCAGCAAATCAGCAACAGTTACTGTAATTAACGATGCTTTGTGCTTGGATAGAGAACTAGACACAATATTCGGAAGACCCAGTTGGGTATCCCGCATCGTTTACTTACTCGTACTTTCGGCATTTCATCAGCATCCATCGATCAAATAAAGCATATTTATACGGCAATATTATATTTTAAGGGAAAGTTAAAGAAATGCATCTTTCTCACAGATACAACATGCTTATCTTTAATGGGCTATAATATAGACATTATATACTTAAGCGGAACAACTTCCGTATGATACCGTAATCCGTACGGTTAGGCCAAAGGTCAACCGAAAATATTCAGAAATGTTTGAAAATGGGTTTATAATATTATTGTTTGAAAATTGGTTATGATATTATTACATACTCGAACATCCACAGCTGCAGCTTTGCACCAATATGGTTGTACATAAATGTTTGCAATTAAATAAATACCAATTGCAAATAAACTTAAAGATGTTCAAGAAACAATAAAAAAACAGTTGATTACATACTTGCTTTATCATGTACTGTGATAACTGTATCATTGTATTTTGTACAGTATTATTGTTATACACGTATACACGATTTATAATGTAGCCAATGTTTGGGCGAACGGCTGAACCGATTTCGACGCGGCCAAGTGCGTTAAATTCGTCTCGACGGCGCGAATGTTCTCACGCTATTGCGCCATCGATACGCCCCGAAAGGGAAGAAGTGGCCCCAAAAAACAAATTGTTGCCATGGGCCCCCATAGACATACATGGTAAATGCATTGACTGTTCGCGGACCGTTCGGAAAAACCGAGACAGACCGCGGCCTTCGGCATCGGCACGTTACAAAGTATTGAAAATTTAAGAAACATGTGCAAAAATTAATCGCAGTCAATCCCACCAGCGTGATCGGTATACCTCGTATTCTTTCATATACGATATTTCTTAGATATCTTAGGTTTCTTTGGTTTTTAGGTTTTCTTAGGTTTCTTAGGTTTCTTAGGCTTCTTAGGTTTCTTAAGTTTCTTAGGTTTTCTTAGATATGCTCAGGTTTCTTAGGTATTCTTAAGTATTCTTAGGTTTCTCAGGTTTCTTAGGTTTCTTAGGTTTCTTAGTTTGCCTAGGTTTTTTAGGCTTTCTTAGGGTTTCTCAAGTTTTCTTGGATTTTCTCTTTCTTAAATTTCGTAGTTTTCTTAGCGGCTGGGACCAATGCGATCAACCGTTGCGAAGTGTGCATTTCGTAACAAACTTGCGCCGCAAAAGTTTGTGTACGGATGTAGATCCCGTAAACTGGTTATATGAATACTGATTATCTGTGCCAGGACTTCGGTCCCTGTCCTTTGAGGCAAAGGATCTCGGCTTCTACTTCACCAATTTTGTTGCTTTAAAGTGCATCAAAATTCTCTAGGTGTAGCGGTGGATCCCAGATTGTTGACTTTTTGCCGAAATCATTTTTCTAGGTCCAGTGGTCAATCATAAGCTTGTTGCCATGGACGCGGTAAGAAATGCACACTGTTCTACCACAACTTGACGCAGAACAGTAGAAATATCTGAGCTGCTACTTAACAATAAGTACGAGTACAATACAAAGTAAAAAATTCATGTAACTTAACACGTTAGTCATCATCACGTTAGTCGTCATTGCAAGTTATGTACTGTATGTTCAAGTAGACAGTCCGTGTTTCGATTAACTTATGTAAAGTGTATCAAAATAGAGATATTACTAAACATACGTACGGGTTCATTAATATTATGACAGTCTGGAAGCGACCGCAAAGCAACACATCCTTGGAAATTGGAATTACTTATTTTTTAATAGTCATCGGCCAATATTCATCCGTGCTGGGCTTGTAATAATACTATGTATTGCAAGCCTTGCAGGTAAATACAGAAATCGACTAGAAACCAAATAATCAACACAACAATAAATTTTATTGAGAATGGTTTATACGAGTGCTGTACAATGTAACAAATAGTGAGATACATAAGCCATTCCAACAGCATAAGCCACCGCCACATGGGTGCAGTTAGAATGAATATCCTCTGATGGGCAACCGGAAATAAGGCTTCCGGATTGCTGCTTGCAATTTAAATTTTGCGCTATACGGCTATAGAGTACAGAGTATAGACTATAGATTCAAAATACCTAATGAAAATCATCCAGTAAATTTTTTATTAAGTTCGCGGTCTGTTCTTGTTTGGGAATTTTTCCCGTAGGTTTTTATATCGTTAGGAAGTTTTTTTGGAGATCTTTTCTCCATTATCTTGTGAGATCCCCAGACCTTAGCCCGTGGAAGATGACATTTTATCACCTGGTGAACTGCGTGGCATTAGCCGTGCTCCCATATCTGGCAACATACCGATTTTATAACCTGTAAGCAGTACGCAGATGCAGTAAGCAGAAAGGCAGATGCTTCCATTAGAATCTTCCCCCTGTTGGGTGTTGAATTCTGTGCAGAGCATCCTATGAATCTATGATGGCGGCAGCGGTGTGGTAAGATTTACCTTTAACAACATGTTATCAGAATTTTCTATTGCAGATCCGAGTATCGAGCCTTCTGGAAATGTTTCTACGCTGCGTGCATCTTCTTCGCAGCACAGCTGGTGAAAATGCTAATACTGGCCTCCATATTCCCAGTGGTGGATTCGCACGCCACCAGCTTATCCGTTAGCCGATTGACATACGTAAGCTACGAGAAATTCTCTAATAAAGAATCATGGGAGTTCTCGTACCAGAAAGAGAGGACCTACAGAAACCCAACCTGCTCAGTGCTCCATGGCGAATTGGTTTTTTAGGATTTTCTCCGTCTATCGGTGGATCTGATCGATCTGGCGGCGCTGCACCACATCGTCAACAAGCTGACGCTGAAGGGCGATCTGAAGTTCGTGGCCACGGGACTGGGCTGGGCCTTCGCGGAGCTGCTGGCCTTCCGTGTGATGCCGTTCTGGCTGGAGGCACGCGGATCGGAGTTCAGTTGGGTGCACTTGATGAGCGCCATGGAGGCCAATATCAATCTGGTATGTTATGACCAGGCTACTAATATGGAACACTAGATTATTTCATTTGCATGGCAGTCCTTTGTATATGCACGATGTCGTAGGCGTTTTCACTTTTTGTTTTCTTTTCAGCACGAAACTGATATAACTGCTACATTTTTTTCAATGAAAAACTGGTGGTTGTTGCTTACTGGACATTCATACCGTAATAATAGTATTATACAAATCAAGTCTTTCGTTTCCGTCGTTTGCATGTTATAAGTTTTTTGTATCCTTGCGACTTATGTTGCGTATTTCATACGTAATAGCGATTTTTTCGTTGAATGTGATCTTTTCTGTCATAGGTGTATTACATTTCCATCGCTGCCATGTTATGGGCTCTATCGCGGAATGACTTCAACAAGGCCCTGCAGCCGGCGGTACTGGGATTGCTCGTCCTGAGCACCTATCGTCCCTTGCTTTTGGAGTAAGTTTCCGGGCCTTCTACTCGCGATTTCTGTACTTTCTTCGTAGTCATGGGTTTCTTGAACACGTACAGACTTTTAAATTTTTTTTCGAATGATAATTTGGTCTCTGTTTCAAAACGAATTTTTATGTGATATAAGATGTTCTGTAAACCTTATTCATCTGTAATGTAATGCGGAAACATTTACTTGAATTCCTTAACCACCGCTCCGAATAATCTGTCGGTTGTTTGCAGGGTTTTATCGCACACTTTACATTTGGACGCATGGTTTGGATTGCTCTTTAAAGGAGTTTATAGTCTGATTCTCGGTGTGGTGGCGCTGGGCTTGTGTACAGCGCTAACGGAAACGTGATGTTATTATTGTTGGTTTTTTCGTTGACTTTTTTCATCAGAATTCCCGTTATTTATCTATTTGATTTTGTTACTGTTCAATGTAGCATGTCATTGTTCGAAAAATTACTGATTTCTTCATTTTACGGAAGAATTAAAATGACATGTCACCGTTGTCGATATGAAAGATGATTTTTCCAAACATAATTTTGTCACCTCATACTCCGTTTCGAGTGCAGATGCGTATTTTGTTTTCGATACTTGTTTGCACACCAATCTATCAAAAATATTGTAACAGTAGCCGGTTTGACTGCTGTTTTAGTGGGTTGGTTAATCCACCTTACCCGATCTGTCGGCTCAGACTCAGCTGTTTGTGTGGAAAGGTTGGCACGGTCGGCAGCGATGCTGACCGGAAGCAGACTACCGTTTACATGGTGACAACGATGGGAGATGACGATCATCCCATGGCGATTTGCGGTACCCGCTTTTTTGAGCCTTTGGTCACCGAAGGCCACGCGTGCGGTACCCGCTTTTTTGAGCCTTTGGTCACCGAAGGCCACGCGTGCGGTACCCGCCTTTTTGAGCCTTTGGTCACCGAAGGCCACGCGTGCGGTACCCGCTTTTTTGATCCTTTGGTCACCGAAGGCCACGCGTGCGGTACCCGCTTTTTTGAGCCTTTGGTCACCGAAGGCCACGCGTGCGGTACCCGCCTTTTTGAGCCTTTGGTCACCGAAGGCCACGCGTGCGTTACCAGCTTTTTTTTCGCGCCGCGCGCTGTGCTTGTACCTACACTATAGTCGGCTTTTCTAAATCGGCTTGTACAGCCCTGCTCCACCACAGGCGGGCGTATCTTCCAAAATTGCCAGAGGGTCACCCGTCGACGAATTAACGAATGTTTAATTTTTGCATGATTACCGTAGATGTCTTACATCTTCTGCACTTATGCTTTCCATGTTGAAAGGTGTTTGAAATTACGGTGGGGTCAAAACTAGATCAGACCTGCTTAAAAAAGCTGCTCAACCCTTTTACCTGGTTTGCCTTCGCCCCATTCAAAACCTACTTATAAATTTTGCTGCTGTTATAATCCAAAAAGGGTACCGTTTAACATACAAGTTCTATGGGACATACACCAAGGGTCCTATGGGGTCCAATGGCCAACACATCAAATGATGCCGATTTTAGTTTTGCTGAATCCGCAATAAAAGTTACACAGCAATGCATACAGAGGAAAATTTAACGACGCACAGAATTATTTTTAAATTTATTTTGTGCAACTGCCAGCGTGTGGTCGAGCAAAACTGTATGTCGGCATTTCCCACATGAAAACTTGGTGGATTGGCGACATATCTAACCAGTTTTCCCTTGAATCTTCTGCAGTTCATTAAACAAAGCTACCGCTCAAAAGAAAAGAGAACTGGACCGCTTGTGCCAGTTGTTTAAATTATACAAACATATTGCGTTCGGCAATGTTCCATAATAAATGAATCTAATGATGTATCCCATTCCCATATATATGCAGTCTTCCACCAGTCATTATATTACGGACATCACAGTCAGTAAAAGCAACAATTACAGTCAGTACAAGGAATAACATCCCTACGTGTAATTCACCTCCTCAGTTCTAGATATTTCTCTACATATTGCTATAGCTTCGGTCTTTCAGTGCTAGCGAACAGCGGTGCACTTCCTTAGTAAATTAACCAATAAAGAATTCATAGTCTATCTTCGTAGTTCATGAAGGTTATAAACTAAGTACTTAAATTACTGTACAATGTATACACGCTGCAAGCACAAAAAATCACATCTATGATTTCTGATGGATATCAAATCATATCAAGGATGTTATAATTTGCACCGAGCGCGAAGCGCGAGGTGCTGCAATTAGCCTTCGTCAAGAGCATAAAATTTGTCTGACGCCACGAAGAACGTACGTCATGCTTTTCCAGTTCCACAATCCCAATACCATTTCGCAGTGGAACTGGCGCTCGCGCTTGTGCAATGATGTGGTTCGCAACGACCGCTAGTACTGCATATTGCTCACTTGCTATACATTATGGAACGGTCCAAATCTCGGTCATAACCCATCTGCAACGCTTATTACTAAATCAAACTTCGATTCAGTACATCTATTGTTCGAAACGCATTCAGTCTTCAGGCCTGCAGTCTGCCGATGTTCCTGGATTATATGGCTTTCGAGTAACAGGTGCAAAGGCAGCAAGCATGCGCTATCCTCTAATAGCTTTAGGTTTTACCAACTGTGGTATTATGGACACTATGGTACAATATTACAGTAGGTACTGACCGTACTGTAACAGAGCCCCGGGCATCTTTATAAGTTCGAAAGCGAGCATCTTTAGAAGGTTAGAAAAGTGATATCAACTTACAATGTGAAAAATTTCGTTCATACGCCAATCTCAGTCAATCTGAATAGATATTTTGATTTTCCTGCGAACGCAGTAAAGGTAAGTAAGTGAAAGTATTGTACGCCATAACTGCATTGCAATTTAACGAAATTTTGTTGAAGTTCCTATAGCAGCGTGACGCTGTCCACATACACAGGCTCAATAATGCTATAAGAACATTATAACAACGTTAAGAATTAGTAACTGTGCCTGCAAATTTTTCCATTATCGGTTTCTTGAATTACTGTTGTAGTTAGCTTTTTAACGCTTTTTTTGTGTAAGCTGGCAGTTGTAAACAGCGTGGCTACTTTTAAGCTCTACAGGGTACTGGAAATAGCAATAATCGGAAGTTTATCGAAAGTTTATTATTATCGAAAGTTTTCAATATTTTCTGTAAACTTTTTAATTGTCGAAAGTTTTTACTAATTATCTCAAATGAACCAAAGGGTGAAATGCGTGTATATTTCGGATGAGTGAATTTACGTAGGCGCTGCGCACGGTTAAAAACGGGCATATCCCTATATTAGTCTGTCTATATATTGTATATTAGTATAGAATCCAACGTGTATTAAAAGGTGTCCACATGCATAGGCGTAATGCACGCTTGAAGCAAATCACATGAAGCAGAGCAAGATTTTATGATTTAACACTGAAGTGGAACGTGCCGATGAATGTTTCGTTTTGCGGTTTTGAATAGCGATAGTCGACTACGTACAGGTATACGAGGCAAGTGTCCCTTAAATTAATAGACGCGTTTTGCCTTACCATAAATTGACAACCTAAACCGCAATGTGCGAACCTGTCAGCCACCATGGGCTGGCAGCGTATAATACAAACGGTTGACTGCATTGCTGCCATTGACTTAAAGTTAAAGTAAGTCGGCATTCACCCTCGCAAAAACCTCAACCGAACCTACAAACTTACGTTCCAAATGATGGAAAAAAAATCTGGGAATTTTTTGGTACCTAGCAAGTAAGTTTTCATGGCAAGCAAGGAAAGTAATGAACGTTTGTGGTTCCTCGTAGACATAGCATAAGGTTCGTGCGAGGAGCCGTGGAAGAGGATCTTATGCTATGTCTACGAGAAAACATAAACGTTCATAACTTTCTTTAATTGCCATGAAAACTTACTTGCTAGGTACCAAAAAATTCTCAGATTTTTTCTCCATCATTTGGAATGTTAGAGTAGTTGTGATTAAAGTTAGGATGAGTAAATGTCGAATCGGTTAACGTCGAAGTCAATGGGAGCAATGCAGTCACTATTGTATAACACGCTGCCAACCCACGGTGGCTGCCAGGTTCGCACAATGCAGTCTAGGTTGTCAATTTATGGTAAGGCAAAACGCGTCTATTAATTTAAGGGACACTTGCCTCGTACTGCATGCCATGAAACAACTGGCACGGCACCCGCCCGGTGTATCGGCAATCCACCCGCCTACGGTAGCGGTAGACAGCGATAGCGATTGGCCAGAAAGTTTCATTCATGAATGAAGAGGAAGGATTTCCCCTCCCTCTTCATTCATTGATTTTTTGGATGAATTCATGTGATCGTCATCCAGATTTTCGTTTCCTACATACTTTGAATTCATTCAATGCATGATGATTTCTACACATAGTTGCTGCTGAATGATAAATTTGAATGAAAAAACGTGCATTCATTCAATGCATGTTGACACCTTAACTGAAAGGTCAGGCTGATTGTGTCTGTTCTGAGCTTTTGCGTCTGTCTATCCTCTAACGGAGAAAAAATGGAAGGTAAAGGACACTAAAGATTAGCGTCAATCCTGCTTGTTCAGCTGCCGATTCTCTGTCGGATTCCCATTAAGTATTGAAGAGATACTGTACATGTATCGCAAAGCTAGACGGTCGGTATGGTTCCGATTTACTAGTTAAACTGGCATCAGTGAAATGCGTTATTTCACTATCCATATCCATACCGAATTTCTCTTGCACGACTGCAGTGTTTTACAAAGGAAGCCTTCATAGATCGAAAAATTGCACCCATACCACAGTGACACGGTAAAATGTGGCTTTTCAAATTTTTCACTGCATATTTTTATTATGTATTAATGATTAAACCACCGCGTACGTATTCTCTTCCTCTACGGAGGAATTGTCACGAATGTGTTTTTTAATTAGCACTGAGCGGTGAAAAGCTTAAGTCATAACGTCAACACAAACTGCACACAGATGATATATCTACTCTAGTAATTACCTAGTATCGTTTAAATAATTTTCAATTACCGATTCCACAGTTGTTTGCTATTCTGGTAGTGGGGGCTGTAACAGTGTAACCAAGGTTTATAAGAGATAACTCATTTATACCGTGGTGTAACTATAGTACCTGTCAAATCACCCACAAAAGGAGGCTTTATTACGGGATCTTGAAGTCTGGAAATTTTTGATTTTGTAAGGATTCAGGAAACGTACTGTAGTGCGCCGTTGTCTTGGATGAAAACTGCTGCATAGTACTGTTACTGCACCAGTAATTCAACATAAGTAGTTTTTCCAAAGAATTTTCTGGCATTTTGTAACAAATCAAAATTGCTAGAAAATCCAAATAGCTGAAAAAAAATTCCATTTTTTGGCAGCTAAAGCTAAAGGGCAAAAAGAGATGTTGCATCGTGTGTAGGGAAGAGCTTATAAAAAATTTGAGCTTTCGCGCGAAGCCGACGCACGTTTTTGCTCCAGGAATTTCAAGAAAAAAAATATATAAATTATATAAAAATTTGTAAATTATTACGGATTTCTGGAACGCACTTCTCAAAGCATGGTTACTTAATTAATTATTTTTGACCGAAGCGTAGCGAAGGTTCTCTAGGCTCAACGTTTATGAAAAACGGGTGTTCGTCCGTCACAGTTGCGGCGCTACTAATGCACATATACGCGGTCACCCTACCACAGTACAGTATGTTCCACTGAATACGCTATATCCCTGCTATCGAATAAACATAGGCGCGCTGGCCGTATATAGTCTAGCTGTTTGTCAACCATGGTGCCCGTCGGTCACCATCACCAAATGTACATAAATAAACACGGTCTCCCTGGCCGGTGCGCGCTGGCCTTATGTCGCATGTAAATTGTGGTGCCCGTTGGTCCCCACCACTTTTTATACAGCTTGTACCCGCCCCAAGAGACTGCAATACAAAGTCTGGAAAGTACAAGTACTGCAATACAAGATTACAAGTACGGAAAAAGCCTCACACACTGCTCGATGTGACCTTTTTTGACTTTAAACGGCGACTTCTATGTAGATCAAAATATTTCAATCTGTAACTGGCTCTGGTTGAAAAAATAGGTTACGGGTAAACCGAAATATATTACTCTTACGAAGTCCATGGTTCATCAAGTTTGGTTGACTATTCCTTTGTGTAGGAAGCACATAAAGGAGTTCTTTACCGACTCTGCTACAATGGAATCAGTGACCGCATCGATGCCTCCGTTCCGGCGGCTGCTATCTGGCGCCGGTCAGATGAGCTATCAGAACACTGTTGCTGTCAAGGAAAAGGATGAGATTTGGCTTGGATTCATCCAGGATATCAATGGGGGCCAAGCGTTTATCGATTTTGACTCGAAGAAGGAAAAGGCCAGGTGGATCAATGCATCGGTTGTGTATTTAATGCCGTGGTTTGACACGAATCATCAGCGCGACAAACCCGTTTTCGCGGCACTCCGCGACGAAGACGACGGACCGTTCCGGTTTCAATCGGTTTTTATAAAATATTCTTTTGCGGCATGTAATCGATGTGTGATGTATTACGTCGAGACAAATATCCAGAGCGGCGATTCGACCAACCCTCGCATCGAGCTGGTGGATTATCGTCAAATCCTCGGACCCGAGTGGTTCACTGAGCCTCCATTGCTGTACCGCAACAGCGGGCTCTTATGTACTAAGTATTTTGTTCCCTCTGCCACGACGAACCAGATCCTCAGCAAACCAACCGACCGATCGCGAATTATTAAACATTTTCGCGAAGCTTTTGAGAGCGATCCCGTGCAAGCTACCATACTACGGCGGGACTGCTGCCGATTTCATCTGCGCATCGAAGCGAAAGGCTGTGTGTTTGTGGTCATCAGCACCGAAGCGAACGCGGACACAAAGGAAAAGACAATTATAAAGCTCTCGACAATTCTGGAAAGGCATTTAGTGACCCGGGCCAATCTGATGCCCATTTGTTTTTGGAAGTGCCCCACTAACGAAACTCATATCTGCATGGCAGGTAAGGGTTGCTCTTTTAAACTTAACTGCAGTTTGATCTTTCTTTTACCAATCAGAAGGCTACTTCTGTAATTCTAGATTAAAAAAATAAATTAAACTGACCAGCAGGCCAGTACTATCTTTGTAATTATCCAGTTACAAAATAAAACGTGATAGCGTTATTGAATAGCAGTTTTACTAATGCTACTAATTCGAGCGTTTTACTAATGCTGTTCCTAATAATTTAGACTCTCGAATGGAACTATTTTGTTCAGAGGCCTTGCTTGGCTACCTGCCTCATTGGATCTTCAGTGAAATCTTTTCTTATCTGGACCTGCATTCACAGTTGAAGTTCCAACGGTATGGTCTCAGCTCACATAGTAGCCCAAAACTGTATTATAAATTTTTATGTTTCTTCCGGGAACAGTGAAACCGAAGTGAATTACTCGGCCGCACTGGGCCATTGGCCCGTCTGGAAATATATAGCAGATTGTCATAAACATTTTAAAGAAATCCCTTTAAGTTTCTAAATATCGAAGAAACCGTTAACCATAAGCACTTGATCCACACAGTCCTCGGCCTATCACCTAAGGACTGCACGGTTGGAACCGGCAAGTCTACGTATACTATAACATGTAACAGACGCATCTGTATATCAAGGAAGATCAGATTCAAGATCTATAGAAGTATCACTACGGAAAACCCCGTACGATCTGGTTAGAAATGACCAAACAACTAAGCGAAAAACCGCTAACGCCTTTCGATTTGGCATGTCTGGAAACTATGTCACATGCACTGTTTTAAAAGATCTGCTCACAAAAATAGAGTCCGTTCGCAGATGCCGGTGCCTGTAGATCTGAATTCAAAGTGATCTTAAAAATAATATTTAAAATCCTGTTGCATAGAGCAAGAATATACGGCAAAATTTATTTTTTACCAGAAACTGTTCACCTAGATAATCAAACATAAATTTTTCAAATTTTTTCCAGCTTTCAATCTATTCAACACTCATTAACACGCTTAATCACTACAGAGTACAGTATACCAATTTAAACCGAACAGTGGTAGTAATATTGCAGGTCCTGTACCTCCATTCACGTAGCAGCCCTGGTCAGTGATTCCTACGCTTTTTCTGGATTTTGATCATTTCAGAATCAATGTTTCAGAAAACATGCATTTGACACAGATTCGAAACATCTAACGACGCCTGCATTTACACGCACGGGATGTTGTTTTACCCTGTATGCCGGATAAAACAACATCCCGTATAATTACTAATAATTAGTAAAACTGGACTGCAAAAATTTTCTTATAATTTTCCCTTTTCGTTGCTAATTTAAAATTTCTGAAAGCTGTCCTGAAAATGTTTCTTTTTTGTCTTTGACTGAAAACGTTTTGTACGCTGAAACGTGATAACCGACTTTTACCGCACTTACTCGCGTTTTAACTGGTTTTTCAACGTCATATTGAAAGCATTTCCAGTTCCGGCATCTGTACGATGCTCTCACGGCAGGTATTTTTGAAAGTGAGTGTGCTTTTGGTAGGCCGCACTATTAAAAAAAGGCTGTAGCTGCTATCTCATAGCCCTCCCCTTAAACTGTTGATCTCGGACAGTGGCAACCGTTCCCTTTATTCACTGGACTTGGTCGGTAGATAGACGTGTGAGCTCTGCACGGTCACTTCATTCGTCCGCTAAAGTATTTTCACTGTGCTGGGCAGCGGTTACCCACTTATCCATCAGCACTAACACGAGGTCCTGTAACTTCCGTTCATTCAGCAGGCCTGATCGGCGGTCAAGTATCTTCGAAACAACTAACCGAATAAAGCATTAGCGAAGTACGGCTGTGTTTTTCCCGTTGCTCAATAGGCCACACTTGCCCTGTAAATGCTTTTTACAATACCGTCCAGCTCTGCAATATAGCATCGCTTTACTACTCGAAGGCGAATCTGACCAAGAATCGCGCAGCTCTGCCTACTGCTCGGTGCTAAATAGAGTACTTGAGATGTCAAGAACCGCGCAAAGGGTCACTCTCTACTGCAACCAACGCTGTGCGGCCTGCCCAAAGTACGATAATAAAAACAACTTCCTTTTTTCGGCGTTTATTCCTAACCAGCCCACGCCACTGCGTTTGGCTTGCGCAGGAAATGTTTTGAAGAGGTTTTGAGATAATGAGCAATAAAACCCAATAGAAATCCAGTCTAGCATGGTTTTTTAAAGATACGAGTGTCAATTTTTTGAGTTAACTAGGAAAGCGCACGGGGTTTTTGCGGGCACTGCATGACCGAAGCGTAGCGGGATTAGATCGTTAGTTTAGGTTACTGTTTATGCTAGCGTGATTTTACAGTAATTATTTATTTTCTATGAAGGAGCGTTACGAAGTACAGTAACTGCATATTATAAAAACAAAACCGTCTGCTGAAAACATAACCGCCATAGATTCTGTGCACCCGGTTTTTCAAAATATTGAAAACAAAATATGCGTCATTCATCGAATTAGAGCTAATTCTAATCGCGTAAATTAGTCTTAGAGAAATTTTGTGATAGGAACCACTTTTATTCTTTTGCCAATGTTGTATACGTAAATTCGTCTTACATTCGTTTACATCTGAATTCGATATGTGCTATCTTTGGAGCTGACTGCTGACCAGTGATTGGGAGACATTCATTACTGACCGTTATGGTTTGCGCAGAGTGTGCGCATTATGGCACGAACTGCTACGAAGTCCCCATACAACCGAGCACGTCCGCATATGTCTGGACTGCATGACTAAAGCATCTACGTCCGACAACTACAATTGCTCCCAAGTGGCAGCGCTGCTCACTCGCACCATCAACTCAACGACCAAAAGTCTCACCATAGTGACGGAATCTCTTAGCGAGTACGAGTTTTTTCCTGTTTTCCTCCTGATGGGTATGGAATTGGTCTTGGAAGTTCACGTGCCTCTGGTAGTACTGAAGGACTATATCCTTGGCAGCTATAAAGCGATTAAGTCGGTGTGTTGTGCGTTTCACTTGGAACATCCTTTGGTGAGTGATGTGGTCAGCCTTCAGCACAGATGTGAGCGGATCATACTGCATAATTGGAAAATCAGCCACCTCTTTGGCCGACCAATGTACGAAATCTTTGCCCAGAAGAGATTTATGTACCTGCGGCCGCTGCCACATCGGGAAAAGAATTTAATGCTGCCTCTAGGTTGGGACCACGTGCTCGCCATTGATCAGCTGGAGATCACGGTGGAACGAGTCGTTCTGGACTGTGACCTTGACCAGGCAAACATGGTCAGCCGCATCATGTCGGCCGTGAACGAAACCTTTCCGATTGTTACGGATGAAATGCATGCAAAGGTCAAAGCCATTTACGCCCGTTGGGTGCGTAACCTTGTCTATCCGACTGAGTGGGAAACCATTCGTAGCTATTTATCACTGTAAGTTTTGTCATGCCCAACCTGACCGTTTGAAGGAAACGCCGCCATTTTATTTGCTCTATCGAAGATGATTACTTACCATCTGTTCTCGATCATAAAATCCGAATTTACTGTAACTCAACGCCGGCCCGTGCGGTGTTAAAATTTAACAGCCCCTCCCGTAGTCAGGAAATATTAGACGCCCCCGAAATTATAAAAATAGAGAAATTGTCTTTTGTAAGCTGTGAAAGCATCTGCAAAATTGCTCATGAGGCTCTAGGTGCACTCTCATTGCAGGTTTAGTGGCTTTTATTCGGACGGCACATTTCGTTCATGGGTGGGCGTCGACCTGAGAGTAGTGGATCCTGGCGACCTGAGCAAAATGGCATTGTACGGAATCAACGAAATATTCCTGGTTGACCAGTAGCCACGCATGCCGTGCTTGATGCAGACACTACTGACGCGATACTCTGGGCAGCAATTGTGGCTCGTGGTCACAATTCAGTTAACCAAATGCAAACCGAAACAACCGAATAAGTGGACATTTTGAATTTTTCGCTAAATATTACTGTGTGGCGACTTAGTTTACTAGTAAAGTGCACTACCTTTTTGCAGGCACTGCATGACCGAAGCGTAGCGTTCACTTTCATTACTTAAAGGATAAGAATTAATTTTGTCGGGTTATTGCTAATGATAACGTTAGTTTAATTAGTTCTTTCTGCGAGAACTGCACTGCATATGATAAATGTTGCTTGCTTTATTCCGCATTTGTGCAAATGGCTGCGTCGGCTGCTTTGGCATTTTTGTGTACAGAATCACTTGAATAGCAAGGATGATCAGGTTGTAAAAGCCGACTGCAATAAAACGGTGCGGGGATGTGCTGTTTTTATTATCAGTAAACGGTATTTCTCATTATATTCTGATTTGTCATAGTTCTAATACACAAGCAAAATTGTCGTGCATATGAAATAGGATTGAAGCATTTTTTTAAAAATGTTTCTTCACTCTTCAGTGAATTGGACGCAGTGAGAGACTTCACCATCAAGGCATCAACCAGTGAGAGACTTCACCATCAACCGCGATACTAAAATACAGATGTAATTAAATTGCTCTAAACAAGTGCACCGTACGCATATGGAAACCTTTTCCGGAAATCTTAACTTCTTGTGCTTTTTCCATGCCATCTACTGCAAATACTGTGTAACCAACCATGAACCGGCTTGGCTATAACACAAGTGTCGACAATATTTGATTTGCACATCCGTATATTTACTAGTACTTGCGTAAATGTCGGTAGGCAAACAAAGCTGCGTTAAATATGGATATGGTTAAAACTCCTGGAGTTCGCTAATTGTTGGACAAGATGTAGGAGATAGCAGAATAGCGTGCACATAAAAGCATAATGCCAGGAAACATAATAAGGCGTAGATACTTGTCGTAAGTAACGTTGAAGGTGTTAAACTGATGACATTTCTCAAAGAAAGTTTCAAGGAGTCTTTAAATTCACTCTGGAACAGCTCAAAACGGTGCGTTCGGCTTTGGATGGTTCCTTTGATTTAAAATTACAAGGTACAAAACACAATTGCCGACTGCGTGACATAAATGCTTTGCCTCTTGCAGTCAGAACGGAATTAACGTACTTTACATAATTACTGCACCAGTTTCTAGTTTACCTCAGAGCGATTCAACAGCCGGGGTACAACAAAACTGTCAATGCTGCTGCCGAGTCTGCTTCTACAACAAATGTTTGGTACAACACAAGATCAAGGAAGAAATTTTTTGTTGTTTTTGATTTTACCAAATTATGAATTTCCATTGGCGCCCAGATGATTACCCAGTACTCAGTACAGGGCAATCATGATTAGCACCGGCACTGTTGCCGAAAAGCGTGCGATTAATCACCATGTCGGATTAAGATCCGGAACGTATGCGTACAAAACAAAACATGAGATGGTCACCAAAGTATCCATGGTGTCGCCGATAATGCAAACGAAAACTGGATAGTTGAACGTGGATTCCACAGCACCGGCGTATCGCTTTACCTCGCTAAATTTCTTCACCAACACGGAACTGGTCAGAGCTTTATTCTGCATCATTGCCGCAGCTGTATTAACTATTAACGTCTCGGATAATATGAGCAATCCCTGAAGCGAGTCTCGAACAAGCGGTAACAGATAGTACTTCCACAAAAACGTGTATCCATACCGGATACGATTAGTCAAGTGCAACTAAACTGGTGGCGAATGTGGCCGTTGTAGGAAAAATAAAATACGGCACATCGCGTACTGTTGGATCTCGCACTGCCAGAATCAAAGTGGCCGCAAAACGCAGTAATATAGAACAGAAAATAATAACAATTCCAGGAAATAATTTCCTCCCGTCTGAGTGCCAGTCCCAGTTATTGAATCCATGTTTCATTAAACGATTAAATGCTGGAAAAACTAGGAAAATTAATGGCGAGGTAGATAAGGAAACCACAGCAGCGTAACAAAATTAACGTTTGAAGAAGTGTTGCGTCGGACAGTACCGGACTGGCGCCGATCAGATGGAATCGTTAGGTGTATGAATTCTGTGAGGATTGGTCCTGAGTCGTTAGCGAATTTAATGCCTTCCTGTCAAGCCGATCATGGGCAGTACAGTTATACTGCTGGCTTTTATCTTTCCAGTCCGTAAATTGCATAAAGTACAGTTATTCTGATTCCTTCGTGAAATGCACAAGCGTCCCAAATCTGATAATAACAGTGAAAAAAAATTAAATTTTATTTAACATAATTAGTAAGTAAATAGTTAAAAAAACTGGAATAGTGAGTAACAGTAAAGTATTTGAAAAATTTTGGGGTCAACAGCAAGTAATAGTAAGTAAAAGTTTTGGAAAATTAGTAAATAGTAAGTAAGGTAACTGAAAGCAAATACTGAAAGCTGTAGTAGCACATCAATAACTTAGTCTCCATTTATTACTTATGTCGTCGACGGGGTCATGATGCACGCGCACGTACTCATCGCCATTATAACCGCTCTGTGCTTTGACCTTTCGTATTTCGTACACCGGATGCAACACGGTGCGCGCGGCGCTGCTTTGGCTTTGTGCATTTACGTCCACACGGTGTGTCTGCCGTACGTCGTGTTGGATGCGCTACACTATCGAGTATTGACTACCCTTAGAGACAGCCGGATGTCTGATTAACACGGAGGCGCTGCAGATCTGGAGCCTGCTACGATTGTTCCTGATTTACACGCTCCCTATCGACTTCATTGCCGCGGTTTCCCGTACCTGGTGTACAAGCGTCGGGCTCGCCGAATTGCAGGGAATATTGTCGCGCCCGACAATGACCAAACACCGGCGTCGGATAAGGTCGAAACCGGGTAAGTGGAAGTTCTTGCGAAAAGTGGGACATAAAATGCAAAGGGGGAAAACGCGCATTCCGAGTACTGACGGCATTGACCTTTATCTTAACGCTGTTGTGGACGCCGTCGTGCATATTTTTTAATGTCAACTGCTTCGTCGATATCAGCGGCCAAACATTGCTGAATCAGAATCGTGCTGGTTATGTTCGCTTCGGATGCGGTGCTGGATTTATTATTGTTTGCTCTGGTTTTGGATGATGTGCGGGATTTTATTGTCGGTTTGGTTCGAGCGCTTTCAGAAGCGCGTGATCATATGAAAAGCTATTGATTTTATGAGGTCGATTTTTCAAGGCACTGATAGTAGTAGGCTTTACTGAAAACATGGGTGTAGAATTGTGGCAGTCAAATAATTTATAGATAAGTTATGTATTTTCGAAGCATGTTGCATATGATTTTGAGATTTCGTTTTCTGCTGAATAAATTGATCAAAGCCACAAAAGCCCACCCATAATACTGAGGTTTCATTCTGGTCACGCTTTGGCAGTACAATTATTAAAACATTTTTGTTGATAGTAGAACAGTTCATCTCTAATTGTAAGGTATGAAAATCGCAGCAGTCTATGCGCAATCCGCATTGTACATAATAACCTATCTGGACAACCGGCAGTTATTCATATGATACATCAGCGTATCTCTTACAACGATAATTCTGCTTTATAATAACAACCTACCGTAATCCGCGTTATAATAACCTACCTGGACCACCGACAATTATTCATTATGATACATCATGCCCTTGTCAAAATTATAATATGATTTAATGGTAACTTTTGCATTAAATCTGGATATTACATATCCCAAGTAGTTGCAAATATGAAACATTTAGATATGGATTATTAATTATTTCATAATTCCATATCTAATTGGCTGCCAAATTGTTACCGTGGATACGTTTTGTGATAGACTGTGGAGGTTTTGAGGTATCTTGATATAATTTAGAAAACATTTTTTGACTAGGGTCAGCGTATCTTTTACGCAGATAATTCTGCTTTGAAATCGCTGTGCTGTGCATTGGTCAAGGCTTTTCTTATTCCTTTAGCAGCCGAGAAAATATAAAACAACCCCGATGCTGAAAAGGTTTCCGGCAATGTTAGCTGATAATATCTTGCAGAAGCTTTACGTGCTCACGGTTCAATATTACGTTAGTAACCGAGCTGTCTAAATTAAAATTACAATGGCAGTGTCGTTTGCGATGGTTTTATTACTCATAATAGGGATTTCGATCAAATTAATTAAAATAATTGATTAAATGAAATGCGTTTATTAATTCGTATCGCTAAGAATGTTAATATCGTACATATCGTTATTAATTCATATCGTTTTGTAGGTACGACGAATGTCGATCCAGAATGTGGACGTTGGGATAAGACTCGTATTCCTTACTGCTTTGATCCTCAGCTAAGTAAGAAGCGAATAATTTAATGGCGCTTTGTTTACAAATAAAAACACTCACAAGACCGTTTGGTTAAGCCAAGGGAATAATCATAATCATTCTGTCTTTTCCTTTACAGCCACAGTAGAACAGTCAGCCGTCAATAGTGCCATTGCGATTCTAGCCGGCACTACTGGAGTTTTTCGCGCCGGTACCATGTACTTCCACAGAATTTAAAATTCGATTCACTATTCCCACCGGCACGTAAGTGAACGACTTCAAGCCAATTCAGCGTAAGACTTTGCTTTTTAAACCAGCAATGTTTTCGCAAATATTCGTTCATTTTCTGTGATGGGTTATCATAACGAACGTTGCAAATTGCCCTCGTTTACGAGGCAACCTTTTGTCTCCAAGCTGAATAAGACTGTACGTAAATATAAACCGTATGTCCAAGCAATTATAACCACGTATATAATTTAATTTATCTGGTGTATTACCGATTTGTAGCGGGACGGCCGCTTGCTCATCCAGTATGCCCGGTCGTTGGATGAGGGCACCCACCGGAACATATGAGCAGGCTGTCTCCTTGGCGCGCGATGCCCTGACGCGCTGCAGCACCGATCCCAGGTGTATAGCGCGCTACATTGTCAACACCATGGGCAAGCGTAACGAGCACGAACGTGGCGATCGCGATAGCTTCATTACCGTACAACCCGACTCATCGCTGACCGTACCAGTACGTTTTGAGGAAATAAAGCTAACGTAATTACTGCATTAGTAGTCCTGTTATTAATCGTGCTAACACATAAGGAATTCGTTTTTTCAATAAAGTTTCGATGGAAATATGCAGTAAACAGGTAAATCTGCATATAATTAGCAAATTAAAAGGTTAATAATCAAGCGGTTGAGAATTATGCGCTAATTCCATGTGAACAGTCATCATAGTGACCTTTCGAACTGCAGGCGGCTTATCGAAAGTACAGCGAACAAGAAGCGTATTGGAAGAGTTATCCTTATGATTACTGCAGCATAACGGTAAGCAGACTCTTAACTTTGACACAGCGGAATTCTTCGGCTTATGATGTCAATGGCGTGTTGTTTATTCCTTGCAGCATAACTAGCCCCCTGACTTCGCTGCTACGGGAACCGCTTTCACCCTACCGGCTTCAGCGCCCATGCCCTGTATCCCCAAACTGAGTCAGATCAGTGCCACCGACTGCGCGCTGCTGAACATTACCTACCAGTGAGGACTCCGGTGTGATACCACCAATGTTTGTAAGTCCATTATTTTCTCATCACGGTACACGGTAGTGCTCTACATTATAGCAATTACTGAAAATTATATGCTGTAACATAATATTATATATATACGTAGTATGAATATCGTATGTACGCAAACATTGCATGAATATTTAGCAAGCATAAAATCGATTGGTATCGCATACATTTTGTCACAAATACCGTTAATCAGGTGCAAATTTCCGTTAAGGTATAATGCAGATGTATTGTTACAGCTTCTCGTTGAAATAAATGAATGCACTGCATCATTATCGAGCGGTGATACCAAATATTTTTGCCCCGGCCACAAACTGGCACTGATGCATGAGCTACCTTAATGCGCTGCAGTACTCTGCACAAATGATAAATGATTCTTTTATCATGTACGGCGACTCAAATCGGCGATAATTATTTAGAAAATACGTGGTAAAATCGAGCAACTGTATAAAAAGCCGAAGTACTGATAATGAAAGGTCAGAAAGATTTTCTCTAACGGAAAGGTCACAATGATTCTGTCTGCACTCAGCTTTTGCGTCTGTCTATCCTCTAACGGGGAACAGAGGGAAAGCTAAAGGTTAGCCTGACCCTGCCTGTGCAGTTGCCGATTCTTTGTCAGATTCCCTTCGGAGTCGCAAAGAGACGCAGGTTAGATTCAAATTTTTTCCGAATTTGTTCCTAATCAATCCACGCGCCATCGTATGGTTTCCGTAGGAAACGTTCCGAAGGAGTTTCTACTTTTAGGCTAATCAGTTTTATTCATGCTCGGGTGCCTCCGGCGCAACAACTGCAACATGCGCACAACTGCCACAAAGGTCAGCCAAAATAACGGGTTTCGAGCCCAACGATCCGGAATTCAAATGGGCCGGTTCGAAGACGTACGCTTGGTACCGTTACAGCAGTACGTATCTGTAGTAGTTAACTACTGTAACAAATTGCACTTCATTAATAATATTAAATTTTTTGTATATAAAGGTCAAACTGACACAGAATTAACTTATAAAAAGCCTTATTTGCACTTTTTAGATACAGCGAGGCAACATGTCAACGAACACACCCAGCAGCAAAGGGCACCCACAACCGGAACCGGTGTCACGGCTGGTATTACCGGCAACTGGAATGCATGTATAATAATACCATATTATGGTAAAGCGGCAAAATTAATAACAGATTAAAAACAACAGCATGCAAATTTTATACGGTCATACAGTATATGGAGTAATGGCGACCTTTTTGGACAGGTTCGAGGAACCGGCGGTACCAACTCCGTAGTAGTTACTGGAGTGGATAATACCAGCACCAACCAGATGGTGCAAACACTGACACCACAAGGAAACGATGTATTCCAATGGACCGGCACCTCCACAACGCGCTTTAGGTTGCACGGCCGGCACTGATACCGGCACTGGTACCACGGAACTGAAACGGGAACCGGAACAGGTAAAAATGGATGAGGCTAGAATTAACTTTGGCATACGCTGTGCGTAACACAACGCTGTACATGTGGATCAGCAAATTACATGTCGTGTTTCCTAAAATTATATATTTCGGAGATTTTATAAATTTCCCAGTGAGTTTCCCAGTGACAGTTCATGAGTGTCCAAGACTCCAAGTTAATATTGTCCGAATATACGCGGAATATATAGTTTCTAAAATTATTCGCGTTACTTATAGCCTATAGGAACTTATCTTATTATTCAGGGATGTTGTTTACTTATTCCCGAATCACGAGTAACATGATTGTTGTTTTCCGTAAGATCATTAAAAGAATAACATGAATAAATAATGACATTGTTGGACATATATGACCAATAGGTTGAACCATATATTGTAGTATTAAGAATTTTTATGCGCATTTCACTTCAGAAATGCGTAGATTAACTAGTACTAGTCGTTTGAACAAAAAACGCTGTTACATACTGTAGATAATTTAAATATTTCTCTGTAAGCAAGAATTATTGCACTGTAAAAATATAAGGTCAGCACATTTGGTGCTCCGAGTTCGATGATTACTGCGAAAAATTAACCGTAGTGAAATAATCGTTGTCCAGTTAACTTTTACTATATGCCCTTAGAGTAACGTGAATTCTTCCGAAATCCAATCCTTCATTATTGCAGGGACTGGCCAGGGTCCCCCATCCGTTATGGATTTTATCAATCGACCCAAACTTGCCGGCTAGAAGCGCCCAGGCGTCTATCCTAGCGTGTGTTTCTGCTTTTGCAACTTGCCTGACATACTTGATGGTGTTCTTGTTAGTACAAGTCAATTTTTGTATTTTTTCCGCAATAAATCAAATACAAAATGCCAGTTCGAAAATTAACTACAAATTCACGTGAAGTACGTATTAAAAAATGCTGTTTCACGGTTTGCACACGACTAGGTAAATGTACATTTGAACGTGTAAAGCATATTCACATTCATAAGAGAAAACAACGTGTGATTGGAACCGTCTACAATTTATTTCACCGAAAATCAGTAAATATTTTAGTAACATTCCAGCAGCAGTATGCAAGATTTTAATCGTTGCGTAACACAGTTACGCTTTATCATCTGGTGTCCGCATATTTTCTGACCCACAACCAGCTCACACAAAACAGACTTCATCCAGCACGTCGGATGTTGCGAAAATGTCAACAGTGCTTCGGTATATAAATACAGATTCTGTATGAAAATTACTTGCAGTTCTTTATCAAGTTAAGTTTTTCTTCATCTGCTTTCACATCAAAACCAACCATGAATCTCAGTATCTGTTTCACCATTTGACATCATATGAAACTAATGCACACAAAATCACGGCTGTGCATGTACTTCGAAGTATACATAATAGGAAGAAAAAAGATACGTTTTGGAAATACTTATAAAGATCCATACGTTGTGCACATCTAGAAGAAACCTAATTACTGTATATACAGATACACACAGTTTGTGTGAATGTGATTCGAAATTTTTGATAGAATATCAATGCGAAAATTTAAGTTTAAAATATGCTCCTTGACAGATTGGCTGGATGAGATCCGAAGAAATACTGATGCTGTCGATTTTAAGGATGTCGGTGGTGGTTCCGCAGGATTTTCATGAGAAATGGACAGATGAAGGTTCTATGCCACCGCCTACCTTAGAAAATGATATGTACATGTACACTTGAATGTTAAGGAGATTCCCGATTTGCGTACTAAATATTTTTAGCATTCTGCGGAGTCGTATTAAACGGCGAAAGTAAATGCAAAGATTAATTTTAGGAGCTTCATAACTGCATAACATTACCCATTTTATGTAACAGAAAATTCCATTGCTGCGTGGTATCGTTCGCAGCGTGGTTGGACCATTTGAACGGCAACAGCATACCCAATGTACTGGATACAATGGCCAGGATAACGGTCACTTCGATGAAATCAAAGGTAATATTGCGCTATATATCCTAAGTACCATTCTGGTGCATCTCGCACAGGATGCAACCATGTGTTACAGGAGTGTTGCTAAAACAATGCTTGTACAACTGATCCTACAGCGCCAGTGCAAATTACCGCATCTAGAGCCATCACCAAACAAATCGACCAGCTGGACGTATAACAGTATAACTCATAAAAACTTGAGATAAAAATATCTTTTCAAATGTTATCGTTTTTTCAACAATCATACATAATTGTTTTCAGATCGATGTCGTGATTCTTACGTCAGCGTCTGTCGATTGAAATACAACGAGGCAACGCGGCTTCCGTGCTGGGGACGATGGAAGGAGCGGATAAATTAGAAGAAATTTTGCTGTTGTAATTCTATTTTTGTTGCCAATTCATGTATTCTAACTGGCTTGTGCTAATAAAGGGGATGTCGTGATTCAGAAAAAGGTTTTCGTATGGATTACAGTCCCATGTGTGAATGGAATGGGCAAGTGCACTTTCACCTTTTTGCTACAAGATGGCAGTATTTTGACGATGTAGAGTAAAGCGTAGAAGAGTCGATGTATAACTCCGCGCGGACATCGATATAATACTTACGAGTAGTAATACTTACCAGGGAACATATGGGTCCTCCCCCTTCAGAAAAATCTCAATTTTTTCACAAAGGTAGTAAACATATGTAGGACATTTAAAAAAATATTTTCAGCTGCTGTAATCAAGGTAGGCGTGGTCAAACGCAATTTAAAGTCGTTAAATCAGCCATGTCTTTACATATGCTAATATATTAGGTTTTTTCTCCGTTACTTCTTCGTTTTCATGAGTGACACCACCGTTTAGTTTTTTGTACATGATAGAAACTTTGAGGTCGTGATATTTTATAGCTGCTCAAACGAAATTCAAGAGAAAAACTGATGATAAAGGAATATATTTACAACCATTCCAGTAAAGAACATTTTCGGTAAAAATTCGGTAAAAACCGCTCTGACAAAACAGACATGTGATAGAATACAGATACGCATGCTGCGTTGCAGCAAAGTACAGGAGTGAAGTACAGGCAGGAGTACAGTACTGGAGTGAAATGCTTGATGTGTGGTTTTCAATGCGGTTTTCTTGACCACAGCAGGTGAACTCGTAGCCTTATACCATGCGTCACTTATGAAATCAAAGAATTAACTGACAAAAAATCGATATATTATCATATGTGCAGTACTTACCAACTTGACAATTTTAAATTACGTTTGACCACGCCTACCTTGATTACAGCAGCTGAAATATTTTTTTAAATGTCCTGCATATGTTTACTACCTTTGTGCAAAAAACGCGATTTTTCTGAAGGGGGAGGACCCCTATGTTCCCTGGTTAGGAGACATCCACATATATGTGGATGGATGTGGTGGTTTTGCTGTAACAAATCATGAAGGTGTACACCATTATTTGATACAGCAAATTACAGTGTTGCTTAGATACCATGATTGTCATGTACTGCACAGAAGTCAGTCATTATAATTTTTGCAGTATTGCACTTCTATATTGCAGTACTGCATATATACAGTACTGCAGTATTGCAACCAGCTCATTTAACTCATTCAACTCAGCCCTTTCAACCTTGTGTAATTCTGTCATTAATGGGCCAATTTGATTTAGGAAGCTGCAATTATACGGACGTGTGTAGTCTGTTGCCGCCTCAGCCCTATCCGAAACCCTTTCAGTAACAGTCCATTCCCTGTACTTGTCCATTTCCGGCTGTAAAAGCACTGAATTACTGATCTTTATTGTTAGTGCAGTGTTATATGCATAATCTAGCCCTGCGAATGGTTAACATTTTTCTACTTTTTGATCTGTTTATTAAGTAATTCAAAAGTGAAAGGAGGAAAACGTGCATGCGCATTATGCGCGAAAATTTAACAGTGCTGTTACACAGAATACAGAATGCTGGAACTGAAGTTAATTAAGGGCAGTCGATTGCCTCAACCGTGTACGCCTCCCTGGGCGGCTGGCAAAACAGCCTGCAATGTTATGAAACTGGTCGCCTCACAGTATTTCATCCCATAGACTTATACGGTAACCTCATCGACTTGTGTTTCACACATTTCTAAATGAAACCATGCAACCGATATCTCCAACGATAGAGAAAAAATTAAGACATTTTTTGATACCAAACAAGATGTTATTGATGGCGATTAAGCCAAGATGTTCCCATTTCAGGTTCTCGTAGACATAGCATAGGACCTCTGCGTAGAACCCTGACCATGCATTCAATGCTATGTCTAAGAGAAATCCCTAATGGCTCTGTGTTTTCTTACTCGCTTTTAACAGCACCTCATTTGGTTTCAAAATCTTCTTTATTTTTTGCCTACTTTTTAAGATATCGATTAGGTAATTCTATTGAGAAATAAGCGAGTTGCAAGTGTTAGATCTTAACACAGGAGTCAATGGAGAAAATAACGACGAGGCGACCAATTTTACAGCACAGAACGGCGTTTTGCTGTCGCCTGACAACCGCCCGCTGCAGGCGTACACGGTTGAGGCAGTCGACTGCCCTTAATTCATCTCTCTTGATTGACAGGCAACGTACAACGTCAAGGATTTGCCGGTGATGATCACCACACCATCCAAACAAATTTCTTCCTGGCTTGATAAAAGTTAGTATAAAACCAGTCATTTCTAAAATTTGAGTAACGTCTCACAACATAAAGACGAACGCTTCGAATCTTTTGTTATCGTACGTTGCGCGACACGGGCATAAGGTACAGTTAAGGCATTTATTGAAACATTTTGCATTTATTGAAAAAATATATCAGTTGTGTATTACTTCAGATGGCGGGGAGGCAAAATAGCGAAACTTACTTTTGGTACGTCCTTTGTAGAATAGTTAAAGATCCCTAATAGAGGAGAACATATCGGTAATAATCCACCGTCGGCATCTCACACCGAGGCACTTTCTGTGTCCGCATGGCCAACTCCACTTTACCGATGGCCACCTGGAAAACACTCACATTTCGAAAAACAAGGTCCAGACCAGAAAGGATAGACGTCGGATCAGAGGAAGTCAAACGCTATAGCCCGTCGGCCGTAAAAGGCTTTGCGTCACAGATAATAACAGCATCGACATTTTCTAAAATATAATCAGTAGGCGCAGTTTTCCAGATAATTTTTTTCTGTTCGGATTTACAGAGGTGATCCACAGCCGGTGATGATCCACAGCCGTACACTCGCTATACGACAGTTACACATAAAAACCAGTTCTATTAATATATATCATGTAATAACCCTTTCACGGATCTTTTACAGAACCCACCGTTGTTGTGGCCATATCCAAAGCAAAATAATCCCATTAGCTGCCGGCGCCATCACGCACATGGGGTTCGTGCCCAAGGCTAACTACAAATTATAATCACCAACAACACCATAATTTTACCACTGCTGCTACTGTACTTGCTCCAAGAATTGCCAGCGCTGGCGGAGTCCCAGCTTTGCCAGACATCGGCAATTTTAGAACACAAAGTAACGCTGGGAAACAATGAATTTGAAAAGAATTCGGAATAGAATTCGAAGTTCCCCTGTGTATACTTTCGAATAGAAAAATAAAAAAGTAGAGCTCAGTACTTCCAGCCTGGTTTTTAAAAATGCAAATCTGGTGACTAACTACCCGTAGTAAGTAGTAACTACATCTACAATTCAGAAGAAAGGTGACATTTTTATCAACTTCCTCGCATGTCTTTAACGCACACACGTATGATGTACATACGGCACGGCACAGTCGGTACTTACTGTTTCGGTTCGCGGTAGGCATTGCCAGCGGACTGGTATTACAAAATGCAAATCCGATTAATCCTTCCCGAACAGCTTGTAATCCATAATAGCCAGCAATACCAAAATGATTAGACGCTATGATTCAAAAACGACGACTAGACTGCGGTTAATCTGCAAAAATCTTGATCGCAATAGTACAGCGTAATATCGTAACTCGCATTTGCTAATTTGAAGGCACGATTTTGACAAGTGATTCTTCTATGACTTCTAAGATGTTAACCGTAACCATACGCAGTACAAAAATCATAACGATACGCCGACCCAGATAACAAAGCACAATCATCGATGTTTTTAATACGGTACACCACGATTTACCCGGGCCAAGCAGTGCAACATAAGATTCTGCAAAATAAATATGTAAAAAACTGATTGTTTAATCAATCAAGCAATTAGAAAAAAAAACAGCATATAAAATCCAAATAAAATTAACAACTAAAAACAATAAAATTCCATCACCGAATGTCTTCTGAAAAAAATATACAGTAACACAACAGGAATGACTAATGAGCGGCATTAAATTTAATGTAAAAAAACGAACAAAATCAATGGCAAAATAATTTGGAAAAAAATCTTAACGGAAATGTTTACTGCTTTGAGCGCATTGTTGTGCTACTTCTTCTGCGTGGCGAATCTGGTTGATGTGGTAAGGGATGCCTCCCAATCGTTTGCATTTATCCATATGCAACCGCTCAGGATCACCGGGCACTAATACGGGTTTGGATGGATCAGCCTGCAAAATACAATTCAGGCTTTTACTTGTTCTGAACGGTGCCTTAAGCTGCTGCTTCAAGAAATTCCTATCAAAAGCAAATAAATGCTACCATTATCTAGCTGAAAACCAGCATCCTGCAAAATTTCTCGCAAACACAGCACCGAAAACAAATTTCAAAGAAAAAATACAAATCTTTCATAATACACGACAGATTTTAAGCAACTCTAACGCAAGCCATGTTATATGGTCACGACTCACGAATCACATTGAGCGATGAAAGGAGTGAATGCCACAATACCACGCTAGCACACCAGCTACAGCTATTCAGGTACACGTATAAACCGTGTGAATTACACAGACTTCCGATGAACACATTTCCCCGGTGTTAAAACTGTCCAAACTACTTACCGGTTCCAAATGACCCAGAATATTGAGGAATCCATGCAGACGCTCACGGAATCCATTACCAAAACAATCCGGATCAATGGCACCCCAACATTGACCCTAAACAGCTGCAATTAGAGGTGACGGAAGCAGCCTAGGTTTACAGAAATTTCCAGTCGATTTCCGGGGGAACAATATGCGAGTACACATTATCGGTGGCGCGAATTACTAAGTTTATTACCAAATTCGCCTCACTGGTCGGATTGGTCCACGGGCGCACCAGCGGTCCGAACGCTGCATTAGCTAATATTCCACAGAAAATCTCCACCATAACGTTCAGCGCGTAGCCTTTAAGTAGCCTCCGTTAGCCTCTAAACCTGTACAATAAACAACCCCGGGGTTAGTCAATTAATACAGCAGGTTTTCTCAGAAAACTTTCCACTAAAATCGTTTCAGAAACCATTTTGATTTCAGAAACTGGGAAAACTATAACACAGAAAAACTGCAACGCAATCCAAACTCTGCATTAAATACAGCTCTAAATACTAAAAAAAGTAAGCAACATACATAAAACGTGCCTTAGAAGTCAAACGCTAAGGCACGTTTTTTGCTACAGATAACAACAGCACTGATATTTCCAAAATAATGATTAGTAAGCGTAATGTTTTAGATAATTTTCTTCTTTTCGGATTAACAGAAATGTGATACACAGCCGTACACTCGCTATACGACACCTACAAATAAAATCCAGATCAGTTAACGTGTTTCCTGCAATAACCCTTTTCCGGGTTTCCTTTATTGAACCCACCGCTGTTGTGGCCATATCCAGAGCAAAATAATCCCCATTAGCTGCCGGCGTTCGTCCCCATCACGCACATGGCGTTCGTGCTCAAGGCTAGCTACAATCACCAAAAGCACCATTACTTTCACCACTGTTGTGCTTTATACTTGCTCATCTTCTCCAAGAAGATAACTGTAAGTATTGACAGAACTGGCGAAGTCCCAGCTCTGGTAAACAGGGCAATTTTTCAACAAAAAGTAACGCTGGGAAACTACACGTAAATTCAAAAAGAGTTCGGAACAGTAATTCCAAGTTCCCCTATACAGACGGAAAGACTTTCTAAGAAAATTAAAATTCCGAATAAAGACAGCAGAGCTCGCTATTCCAGCCTTATTATGAAAAATGCAAATCAGGTGACTAACTACACCTACAAATTAGCAGAAAGGTAAATTTTCCATCAATTTCCTGGCATGTCTTTAATACCGCACACACGCACATACGGTACTTACTGTTTTGGCTCGCGTAGGCACTGCCAGAGGACTAGTATTACAAAATGCAAATCCAATTAATCCTTCGCGAACATCTTGTAATCCATAACAGCCAGCAATACCAAAATGATTCGATGCTATGATACAAAAACAACAATTTTATAGACTGCGGTTAATCTGCGAAAATCATTTTCGCAATAGTACAGCGTAACATCTTTAACTCGTATTTGCCACATCTGACGACACGATTTTTAAAGTAAATTTTGTATGATTTAACCATGACCAGACGCAATAAAAAAATCATTATTATAAAAAGATCAGATCATACGCGCAATCATCGATGCACGATTTACCTCGGGCGGAAACCCATCCCACACCGGCTTCCTTCGCTTTCCTCATGGCAACACCCATGGTCAAGTTGCCCACCACCGCACATAAACATTTTGGGAACATTCTCAGTAGCATGAATAAGCTTAAATAATGATGTGTTTTATGGAACCATCCAAATTTCCGTAAAAGAAAACTACAACGCACATGCTTGCTCGAACCTGTAGTTTTTAAAACAAATGCCAAGACAAGTAGTCGCAATTATAGCATTATTACTTGAAACCTCTACACTACTGTGCACGCCTCCTGTTGATGACATTCCTGGTGTTTACATTATACATGCATTTCAAAAACAATTCTGCACCGTTCTGGAAGTTCTGTTGTATTAAGCGACGTACGCCAGCAATTTTAATCCCTTCGTAGAGCAATTATTTTTACAGGTAATGATTTCTTAATATAAGCAACTAGATTACCAGATGCACAAACCCTGGCCAGTGTTTTTACCTAGAAGATTGTTCCCATCGACGTGGATGCTGATTCCTTGATGATGCCCGGTACGCCGGACAGATTGGTTAAATTCCTCTACACATCCAAGATGTACATATCTAAACAACGAAGTAACAGCAAGGTAATAATAATGCGTCCAAAACCACATCTTAAATTACCTACAATGTACGACAAAAAGAGGTTGAACCGATCAGTCGGTCCGCGGTTCAAAATAACCTCGCAAGGACACGCCACCACTAAAACTTTGACGCTTACTCACTACTTTCAGACGCTCGCGCTCCGTGAATATCAAAGTGCAGCTATACTAGTTGCACATCAAAAGGTGTAGAAAAAAATTTTAAACTTTTTGATACTAAACCTGCGGCTGTTTATGGCGAACAGCACAAATTCTAGCCATTTTGCTTTCTCGTAGGCACAGCATAGGATCTGTGCGCATAATCGTTTGGCTTGCAATCAATGCGTAAGTCTATGGGAAAGCAAATGGCTAGAATTTGTGCTGTTCGCCATAAACAGCTACAGGTTTAGTATCAAAAAGTTCAAAATTTTTTTCTACACCTTTTGATGTGCAACTAGTATAGCGGCACTATGATATTCACGGAGCGCAAGCGTCTGAAAGTAGTGAGTGAGCGTCCAAGTTTTAGTGGTGGCGTGTCGTTGCGATGTTATTTTGAACCGCGGACCGACTGATCGGTTCAACCTCTTTTTGTCGTACATTGTATAAAACATTACATCTGCCATTCTGTTAGTTGTTTTGGCAAAAAACCGTATTTATTCTGTGCTCGTATAATATGCAACACAATAAAAAAACATCATTTTTGAAGCAAAGCACGTTTTAAAAATTCCCTAATTTAGCAATGTACTGAGTCCTAGCTCCCATCATAAAAATTAAAATTGTATCAGCGATTTCCTAATTACCATTTTTGCCACATTAAAAATTACCAGAATTCATTCAGTAGTATTTGCTGTCGAAAGAAATTTAGGAAAGAAAACCAGTCTCAAATTAGCCAAATCTCCTACGATCAGATTCCCATGAAAAGATTCCCGTAAGATCTCAGACAGATCGCATACCTACTCGATTTTAATCCATGGGAAAAATGTCCGCGATGATCCGCCGTGACATGAAGATCTCCCATTTGCGTAGCTTTCGCAAGCAGCGCTCGATAAAATCCCGTGCTTCATCGATCTCCACCACAACCCGATCCGCCTCTAACTCAGCGGCGTTCTGAATTTGTCGAGGCTGTGATTTCGGGGCTGGATTGGGCTGGAAACTCGACGAACTCATCCAACGCACCGCATCCGAATTCTGCACCGTTTTCCGGAGACGATAAATACTTCGCAATCGCAACGGCATTTTAGAAAATTCCTACAAATTCCACACAGTACAATAAATACGAAATAACCATCCGTTCCTTATTTCATAAAAATACAGTCCAAAACCAAGAGCAACATTTCTCGTCATCCGCCAGCAAGAGCGAACAGATTTAAAGGCAAAAATCACCACGCATTTCTACGCCGTTGTAAGTCAGTTTCGTAAGATTTTCTAGGGAATTTCATATAACGGAAATCTGCAAAACGCACGTAACGAAAACACTGGCTTACCGTGGTACACTCGGGAATAATTATGTTGTTAACTCAGGTAAAGCGATTCGTGACAGATTCAGCATCCACAACAAATAAGTGGATGCTGAATCTGTGAAGACTTCTTCTGAGAAGCAAACAAAGAAACGTGGAGGAAGATCGAGAATCAGACCGATTCTCACGATCAATCTCTGCAGTTCAATGTGGGCGCCGCGAGTATGTACGTACTTACGTGGACGGTGCAACAGCTGTTTCCTACAGGATAATCATATGTTGCGCCAAAATAACTGTTGAAAGAAAAGTCGTTCACCGATAATTACGTACCAAAACTGGCAAAAACATTGATTTAATAATGAACCGTCGGTGGCGCTGTAGTGGCATGTCGTTTTAATATTAATTTTTACAGATGTCAAGAGTTGTAACTTACACGTAGTCGTATGGTTTTCTTTTTTAATCACAATTTTCTCGTATGTGTCCTTAGCAAATTAGCAATTAGGTTCGATATCACAACAGTATGACAACAGTATGATCCAGTTATCGGTTATCAACTAAAATTATCGTTATTTAATAGATTCATAATCCATTTTGTTCCGTATTTTGTGAGCAGTGAATTGCATTAACAACAGCTTTACAGTGTCAGTGTGTAGTCAGTCTCCGGAACCAGCGCAGTTATCGCAACCCTCGATCTTTCTTAATTAATCACAGCAGCATTTTTTTTAATGTTTAAATTCTAACGATTAAGTAGGGTGTCAGCGCATGCATTTTTTGTTATTTGGGTGGCTATTGCCAATAAAGATAAATCACAGGCTCACAGCAGCATCCGCTAGACCCTCTGAAGGGCAACAACCGGCGCCAGCGACGGCCGATTGCGCAGTACGTACCGATGGCCCATTGCGGTATCCTGGTTGATACATTCAAAACACAATTCTATACAAATTTGTACAAAGAAGATTTAGGAAATTCCCAATGGCTCTTTGTGCACCACTTTAAAGGTTTATAGTTGGTATAACAATGATCTGCCCATTCACACTGTCAATCAGATAAACCAAAGCTGCTCAGACGGATTTCGGAGACGTACGTACGGCTTATGACGGTGCACAATGCACTGTATGTCCAGCTCGGCGCTGACTGCACTGAGTGCACTCCTTATAAAGGCTGCAAATCCCTTGCCGAATTCGGCAATCTGAATTTCTTTGTCGTAACGTCGTCCTACTTTTTTGCAGGCTACTTTTATCCGCCTCGTACATTTGCTTGTTTAGTGACCTTCCAGATTGCCCGTCCTTTCGTCTACGTGTGTTAAGCTTTTTGATAATCATGACCTCGGGTAAGTCAGAAGATTCAGCCTGAGTAAAGCTTCGCTGTTTATTATTTTGAACCTGTATTAATTTTTATGGTGTATTTTTTGAAATCTATGAAAATTTGTGGAATATGTTTTTCCTTTTTTTTGCAGCCATATATGAAATGACATTCCTAGTTCGTAAGTCAGAAAAGCCTTACCCAGACTGTACTAACAAACAAAGAATCTTACAAATTTGTTTCAAATTTTGCAGGGGAAGATGCAGCGCCAGCTGCCCACATGCCCGCTGCGATGGCAAATCCCGATTCCGACACGGTGAAAACCATTCTTAACGTAAGTAAAATTGCAGTACGTAGCAGTTTAGAATTCGATTTTTTTCGGTTTGCATGCATTTTACGCTTGACGAAGGCTACAGACAAGACTGTATAGTTTCGGATTATGAGCCGCCTTCTAAAGCCCTTAACAACATGTAGGGTAGTACTTAAATTGCTCTGTGGTGATATTTAGGTTACCAAGCCGATCGCCGTGGCCAAAGACACGCTTCCGAACCCGGTTATTGATCACGGGTTTATCGTGCGTCTTCGGGTAGAGGCCAACACCTACTCGTTCGCCAGCATCGCTAGGTAACAGTACAATTACTTAATTAATCAAGTACAATTAATTTTATGATTGTTGTCTTTCCGCTTAGAAAGCTTATTGATTTATTAACAATAATTGACATTACACCGCGACAGTGATGAGTCATACCACTACGGCCGGTATTGCACAGTCAAGAATTAAAAAAAGCAATTCAGTAATTTAGTTTAAATTTTTTATAATTGTAATTTAAATTAATATTTACAAAAAGCACTTCGTATTTGCAGAAACTGTGCGCGTGAACTTCCCCCCGGCGTTGAGCTCCTGCACTCTGAACAGGAGTAGTAATTCCCCTTTGCAGATCGGACCCTTTGGAGACTGGAGCGGTCCTGGGCCGTGGTGGAAGTAAAGGTCATGATGATGGCTGTGCTGCGCTGTTGGTAATTTTTTGTCAGTTGTTGGGTAGTGGAATTTTTTTGTTGTTTGCAACCCGGAACGTGATGGCCTGAGTGCCTTTGGATATGTACATACGTAATTTTTACCGTTTTTATTTTTTTATCGGTTGAACTTTGTATGTGACTACGAATCGCGCTTCATCAGGAAATACTGCTGTTTTTGTATCAGTGCTGTGACGTCTGCGTAAGAATGATCTTGATCTTGATTATTGATCCATTAAAATTCAGCGCGTGAGTTTCGGCGGCTTGCCTCATTCGTTGTCGTACCGTAATAATTAGTACTGTATAATTAGTTAATTACCCACACATGGGTACAGCAAAGCTGCAGAAAATTAAAATGTGGAATTTGCAACACGGAAATCAGTAAAACATCGTTGGTAAAAATATCGAACTTAAGACGCGGTCATTTTAATGCAATGAAGTGAATAATGGAGTGTTGTAGGTAAATTATAGCAGTTCTCCATTAGAATAAAATTCAGTGATTAATAATTTTTCACTCACTATTTTCATGCAATAGCCTACAAACTGTGGCAGATGAGTTTGGTTGATTACTACTGTATAAAAGCAGAGATTGTGCGCGTTCACATTTTCACCCAGTCGAAGATGCGAACGCACAAATTTTACTAATTCCCGCAAGTTTTTATACCCTTGTAAAATTTATTCAATTAAGCAGACCACTCATACAATGAACGTGAAAAAATCGAAACCTATACATATCATGAAAAACAGCTATTAATAAATATAAAATTAGTAAGTACTCAGCATTAGCACATCAACAAAACTGCCTTACAAAAGCTCAATATTCAGCAGCTTCGCGCTGTCGCTGATCACGCTGTTCCCGGTTTTCGCGGTACTGTCGGCGATCCTGCCAGCCTCCTTGCCCTGGCGTTGGAAGGTCGGATTCTTCATCTCCAGCATCCTTTCATTGTTCTCCACCAGGTTGATCAGCTTGTCAGCCAACTGCAGCGACAACTGCTGTACCCGACTCGGTTCCGTCCGGTGCATGATCACAGTCTGGCTGGGGGCATCGACCGAGGCCGCCAGGTTTTCGCTAACGACCATCTTACCAATCAGACTGAGAATGTCCTGAAAATCATCATAACCGTGAGAATACGAATTTTCTAAAAATTATGTATCACAGAAAACGAAAAACAACGAAAGCACGTTAGCCACTGATGAAGGAAAATCAAGCTAAAATATCTGTTAAAAGCGACAGAAAAAATAAAGGTTTATTTACTTACATTGTACAAAGAATGAATGAACACTGAATTTAAAAACAAGCATGAAAAATGTCGAAGCTTCACAGACAGCCAAGACCAGTAGGAGTGATTTAAAACTTCCATACGATTGATTATTTCAATATTTAATACTACAGTAATTTTGGCATTTAATAATACTAATTTCTCGTATTTTAAATTTAAATTCGACTCGTTCGCTTTTGTAATTCAACCGAATCTACCGCACTGCTACATGCTGCTGGATCTATGTTAATCAGGAAAATTAGAAAGGGAGATGCGTGCCCGGCATGGTATTTCTTAGCTGTTTACCTCCTTGCTCAGCAGAAACATGGTTTCCAGCGTCTTCACGGAAATGGAGTCGTAGAACGCGGAATTGGTATACATGAAGCACCGCAAACTGTTCTCCTGGATCTTCCTCTCCAACATAGCCTTAATCTTGTCCGGCTCATAAAAGAAATCCCAGACGCGTTTGCCCAGTTTCTCCGACAGAATCAGCTCACGGCACTTCTTCCAGTCGCCGGTCTTCATGGCCTTACTGGCGGCGATGACGTACTCGGGCAGCGTTTCCGGGGGACCGGAGAGGGCGTGACGTTCGCTCTGCTTCATAGAATGATAGAAGTATTTGGAGATGATGCGGCGACGCTGGTCGTTCTCATGCGCAGCCAAATACGGGACTTCGATGAACATGGCGGACACCAAGTAGACGCACTCCAGGACGTCCAGGTTGATATGCATATGGAAGGGAATCTGGCGACGCTTTTCAATCTTTTCCTGTTCCGCGCTGCGCTCGTGCTGCCGCACCGGTAGCAATCCTTGAGCCAATAACTCTTTGGGACGACCGCTGCTTTGAATGTCCATAAGAGCGTTGTGCGCTTCATTGACATTTCCTACAATAAGCAAATTGCCAAATCTGGTCAACAAGATTAAAATTTCAAAACCGTCGTAACATTTAAAAAATTCTTACACATGTGCATTTTCCAGTGATATTTCATTGCTGAACAATTTGAACAGTAATGGATACCTATACTGTAGATATTCTGTCTGTACATATTATTATTACACACTTATTTACAGCGATAAAGTAGAAAACTTATCCTGCAAACTGTCAAACAGCAAAACTTACCTTGACGGAAATCTTGATACCCAGCTGCACCATCACCCGATTGTACAGCACTTGCGTCGGCGGATCAGCAAGTTGGATGATCTGTTGCGCTTTGCTCATCGACATCAAATCAGGAGCATCGTACCACTCATTATGCAGTGCCAAATGATACACGCGCATCAAAATCGCCCGGGAACGGATTCGATCCGTTTCATCATTGTTGTAATTTCGAAGCTTGGATCTGAGACTTCCCAGACTCTTTAAATTCAATTTATTCAAAGTGCTATTGTCCGTCCAACACTGATTAACAAAATCCTCTATCTTAACTAGGCATCGAATGTAGAATACCGGGATACCTTCCTTCTCAATCCCCTTCTGAGATTTGGAAAACAGCTTCGTCAATTGGTCGAACTCTTGAAGAACTTTGTATCAATCTTTGATCTTCTTCGAATTTCTGAGGCCTTTGATAACGGCTTGGATTCGAATTTCCTCGAAACGTTTATCCTTGGCACTGCGCAGAGTGCGCTTGGATTCCTCCTCTTCATCGATCAGATACGCCGGGAACTTGGAGGCGACTCTTGGTCAGTCCTCAGAGCTCTCCGATTCGGCCTCCGACTCGGGATCTTTCGACGCGATAAAGGCATGAAGCGAGACATTTTCAATAATTCCGATAAAATAACGTTATGGCAATCGCAAAATCTTTTAAAAAAGCTTCACTTCACGGCGTTTTAAACTTCAGGATGTGATGCAAAAAAAGGGAAAAGTTTCCCAAACGCTAAAAATGACAAAATTCACAATGCGCATCACTGCGTTTGTCTGGCAAATCGATGACGACACCGGAACGCGGACGAAAAAATGCCGTACGTGTATGCACCGTCACACCGTGTATGATGTATATCCACGCTTTTCCTTGTTTATAGAGAAAAAGTCGGCAGCGTAGATTTTGGCAAGCGCCACACGGCACACGCCACAGACATTAGGCGCAGATCGTTTTGATACTGTCCGTAAGTATGTTTTGTTCTATTTTCTACCATTTCGTGGGTTTTTTTCGCGGATTTTTGACTTGACGTTTTTTTGCACAATAATTATTTCTTTTCATTAATTAAAGTGCATCTATTAGTGCTTATCATAATTTCCTTCGCGAGTGTGGCTATAACGGGGAGATGATTGACTGTTGCAGCTGGTTCGTGGTAGGTTGAAAGTTATAAGAACTGCAATCGCCATGTCGATCACCGAAGAGACTTTTTGACCGCATATGGTTCTCGATCGTATTCGCCAGTTGGCTTCTGATCGTACGATCCGCTTTGCAAGAGTATCTCGCACCCAAAGGCGATAGTTTATTCTGACACCCGGACAGTTTTCCAACAGTAACATCATTTATTTAAAACCAAAAGATGTGTTCAATGCGAAAACAAACACTACCGCTCCGCCACTCTACCAGGTCAGGCTCCAAATCGTCTTCACTCGCCGAAATGCAAAACTCCATTTAAACCAACCCACTAGAAAGAATCTGCTCCACCATGCTCAATAAAAACAAATGCCACGCCCGCCTACTCCTCCATCAAACCCAGTTGCTTCATCAGCAACTTCCGCTGTTTCTCCAACTCGGCCTCCGACAGCTCGTTAGCCAACTTCTCCGCCTTCTCCACCACCTTATCCTTCCTCTCCTCCTTACGATCGGCCCGCCGCTCCTTTTCGCGGCGTTCTCGTCGCCGCCGCTCAATCTCCCGATCACTATCCTCATTCTCCGGAACCGGGGATTTCCGGTGGCGTTTCTTGCGACTTTCCCGTTCATCCGGCGAGGGAGAACGATGATGGCGTTTCTTCTCCTTTTTTTCTTCTTCGACGGCGAATCCTCCACATCCGCTTTATCCTGCTTGTCATGCTTACTCTTTTTCTTCTTTGCTTCGCCGTCATCACCATTGAGGATTTTATTCTTGAATTCATGGAACAGCTCAATCCGTTCCTCTTCGGATTTGATGGCTTGGTACGCGGATTTACTGGAGAATTTATCCTGGATGGTGGTCCATTTTGTATCCTGGTTCACTGATAGTTTGGCGTCGCGGAGCATATTGATGAAGTTGTCGCGGAGAGATTTCTTCTGCTGGACTTCACGCTCTTCCTGCCGGCGGATTTCATCCTGTCGGTTCTTGTCGTTGCGGATAGCTGCGTCCTTCAGCGAGTCAAACGCTGCCCGGATGTTGCCGCGATCAATGTGCATGCAGGAGTCGTCCTTGTGGATGATGCGAAAATAATCCGAGAAATCTGTCGTCGGGGTGACGGTGAAATCGCTACGTTTCAGCACAGCCAGGATTTTCTCCAAGTCGGAATTGTAGCGATTCTTCAAGTCTAATACGTATAATTTAAAGAGATCCAAGGCATTAGAGCCAAACTGCTCCTGAAAGGAAAACAAAATACTTTCCAGATGCTGTCGTTGTCACAATCTGAGTAACTCGCAGAAATCAAAAACTATTTTTCATATAATTTGCGATAAATTAACAGTTACTATTTGTGAACCAGGCACGAACGATTAATAGGAAGTACGGAGATTTAACTAAGGGATAAATAATGTAAGGCTAACATGTAGTTTAAAGCATATAGTAAAATACGGACCGTAATACGAACATCATCGGGAAGCTGTAAAAGAACTAAGGCTATTAAAATTGATGATTTCAAGGGTGCGTCAAATAACGCATTAATGCTTCTCTAACTGTTTTGGCACACATTCACTGGAAACCAGGCAAAATTAAGGAATATCTCGAAAAATTCTCACCTGCATATTCACAAATCGAGAATCATTCCTGATAACCGGGAACACACTCTTCCACTTGGACATGGAATGCACAATCCCCTTCTGCGCCAGCTCATCCAGCAACACCATATACGCTTCGCGATTTTTCCTGTGAACACGCTTCCTTTGGCGTTTTTCCGCTTTCTGCTCCTCATCCTGTTCTTTCTCCAGCTTGATAATGTGGTCCTTAAAAACCGTCAACGCATCGAGTTTGTTGATCTTCTTTACCACCGGATCACCGACAAAGGCTTCGGAATCCGCCAAGAGCTTCTGGCACTCGTACCACGTCGTTTTATAGCGGATGCGAGGAATATTGTCCAAGATAATGGCCAGTTTTTCCATGGCTTCCACCCGGTCGCGCTCAGCCTGTTCTTTCTCTCGTTTCTCCACCGTGGCCATCACATCCTCGTACAGGGCTTCGCGGTCACGTTCCGGAACGGCGCGCCAGATTTTATCGTTGGCAAAGGTCTTTTCGGCGTCGCGGTACGGCGTGGAGTAGGAGACACGGTCGGTGGTGGAGAGCATCTTCTCAAAGGCTTCACGAGCGCGTTCGACACGCTTTCTCTGGTCTTCCCGTTCTTGTTTCTACAACCAAACATAAAAACTAAGTATGCACTATTCGTGCCATTTGTTGTAAAATAATTAATTTTGCAATCAACAGTTGAAATTTGTAAACTAGGTACAAAATGAACGAAGCCAATCTGAGACGAACGCCTTCCATTTTTACGCAATAACCCTTACTGTTAGTGCAAGTGTATCGTAGAATATGGCACTTCAAGCAAGAAAGTCTATAAACATAAACTACCTATATGACGGTACAACTGTTAATTAAATATTAACAAGAATGCATCGGGTAAAATCTATCCAGCAATGATTTTTGTATACATTTCGGACACCATAGCATCAATTGCCAGTATACTAACCCGTACAAGTTACACATTTTTAAGTACCATAATTATGCCTAACTGAACTAGTCTAACTTGGCTAAATATACAGTACCTGTCGTAAAACTTTGTACTGATTAAACGTCTGCTTCCGATCTGACCATTTTTTCCACACTTCAAACCGCTTATCCGACTGTATCAGCTTCACACAATTTTCCCAGTTGATATTGGAAGGAATATTCTTCTCCTCCAGGAACTTGCGAAAGGCCTCCGCCGCATCACGTTTATCCACGGTATTAATATCACCCACGGCGAATACATCAAACACCCGCTCATCATCTTTCTCCTCCTCCAACTCCGGCAGAATGGCCAGTGCTGGCTTGGCAGATGATACCACCGCCGGCGACGAGGTGCGGGAGATCTCGGCCGAGGCCCCCGCGGGTTTCTCATCTTCGGATCGCGTTTCGGAGCCCGCACGGCTGGAGAACAGGCCGTCGAGATCATTTTCGATCTTCACGGGCACATCATCGCCGGATGCGGCCGCAATACGCGCATACTCCTCCAGGACATTTTTCAATTTGGTAATGAGCTCCGGACAATCCCAGCGGGTTTCACTAGTATTTTTATTGTGATAATACACGGAGCCTTCCGGGGTTTTGTACTCTTTCCACGGTGTATCGGATAAAATTATCTCCGCCGGGGTTTTCAACTCGGTGGGCTTCTCCCAAGTTGTCGTTGATGTTTCGGCATTATAATAGTAGAATGTATCGCCTGTCGGTGCGGGATACTCCTGCCATGCGGATGCAGCGTTTCTACGATCAGAAGCCAACTGGCGAATACGATCAAGAACCATAATGCGGTCAAAATTCTCTTCGGTGATCGACATGGCGACTGTAGTTTCTTATGACTTTCAACCTACCACGAACCAATTATAACACTCAATCATCTCCCCATTATAGCCACACTCGCCACAGAAATTCTGATAATGCACTAACAGACACACTTTAATTTCGGACTAATTATTGCACAAAAAAACGTCAAATCAAAAATCAATCACAACGAAAAAACCCACGAAATGGCAGCAAATCTGCAAATAAAACAAAACTTTTTACCCGAAATCAGTCCGGATGCTCGTAGTAGTACAACAGTATCAGAACAACCTGCGCCCTGTAATATCCGTGGTGAAACTGCTTGCTTAAATTTTTGCTGCCGACTCATCATTTCTGTACAACAGGGAAAGCGTGGATATACGCGGTGCGTACACGTACGGTATTTTTTCGTCCGCGTTTCGGTGTCGTCATCGATTTGCCAGACAAACGCAAAGCGATGCGTATTGTGAATTTTGTCATTCTTAGCGTTTGGGAAACTTTTCCCTTTTTTGCATCACATTCTAAAGTTCAAAACGCTGTGGAGTGAAGCTATTTAAAAGATTGTGTTGTTGCTATAAGGTTATTTAATCGGAATCATTGAAAATGTCTCGCTTTTTCGCCTCGAAAGATTCCGAGTCGGAGACCGAATCGGAGAGCTCTGAGGACGGACCAAAAGTCGCCTCCAAGTTCCAGGCGTATAATCTGAGTGATGAAGAGGAGGAATCCAAGCGGACTCTCCGTAGCGCCAAGGATAAACGTTTCGAAGAAATCCAGGCCGTTATTAAAGGCCTCAGAAATTCGAAGAAGATCAAAGATGTTAACAAAGTTCTGGAAGAGTTCGACCAGTTGACGAAGGTGTTTTCCAAATCTCAGAAGGTGATTGAGAAGGAAGGTGTCCCGGTATTCTATATTCGATGCCTCGTGGAGATGGAGGATTTTGTTAATCAATGTTGGACGGATAAGAATACTTTGAATAAATTGAATTTGAAAAGTTTGGGAAGTCTCAGATCCAAGCTGCGAAAGTACATCAAAGACTACGAGGATCAGATGAACAAATTTAGGTGGGTGACGGTATTTCCCTGTTGATATAGTATGATTTACGCGTGCGATATACAGTTACGTTCATTTCCGGTTTATATTTAATTTTTCTATCAAAAATTTAATACTTCTTTAGTATTTAAGCAATTTGTACATGTCGCGGTTGGTTTTTTCTGAAAATTTACAGATGTGTAAGCGGTAGTAACTAGTAAGCATAATGGTTATTACTAAAAGAAGTCGGTCAAATTTATATTTTGGAATTGAATAATTCTCTGGTTTTTGGAAGTGTTTTAATTTCGACCATTATATTGCAGAGAGAATCCCATCGCATCCGAAGAGGAAGCAGTAGACGAAGCCGAAGATGAAGACGAGGAAGAAGAAAAGTCCGAATCGGAAGATGAATCCGGTGATGAAGATCTGAAAAAGAAGCCCGTTGCTGGAAAGAAGCCAGCGCGAACCGCGGATGAGTCTGGCGAAGACAGCGACTCAGACATGTGGGCCTCCGACACCGATGAATCGTCGGACGAAAGCTCGGATGATGAGCGATACAAGGACGACCCAGCAGCCAAATTCAGGAAGAAAGTGACCGATAAAGATGATGAGAAAAAGAAAGACAAGAAAGATCGGGAGAAAAAGGTAAATTTGCATCCTTTAAGCGCATCGATGGGAGGTTTTGTGTTATGTACTCTGTATTGTTAATTGTTACAAATTGCGTGTTTTATTGTCAGAGAATTTTTTACACGCCAGATTTTCATTTGTTGAGCAATTTTTAAATTTGTACTGCGTCACACAAATGATTTTAGCCAAATATAGCTTTTTGATTTTCTTAATACAATTTTCGAATGCTTTTTTTAATGTATTGTATGATTTCTTACTGGATAGTGGGTATTTGTCGTGAGTTCATGTGCAATGATTTACGTGTATAGACTCGTCCCAAGCGAGAGAAAGTGAAGGTTGTCGGCGAGGATGGCTTTACAATGATTGTTGACAAGCCAAAACTCTTCAGCAAAGAAACCGAAATCACTCATGCCGTGGTTCTTAAGAAACTGAGTGAAATCATTGCCCAGCGCGGCAAGAAAGCCACCGATCGGCAGGAGCAGATTGAGTTGATCGAAGAGCTGCGAGTGGTCGCCCGCCGTTCCGCACTGGGACCGGCTATCGAAGTGAAGCTGATTATGAGTCTGGTCTCCTCGATTTTCGACTACAATCCCAATGTGGCGTCCTTCATGAAGCCGGACATGTGGCGGCGTCTGCTGGAAGCCATTGCCGACATGGTGAAATTCCTGCGCGATCACCCGGAAGTGGATGTGGGCGATCATATCCCGGAAGATCAGGAGCAGTACGAGGTTAATGGACAGCCGCTGCAGGTGCACGGGATGCCGCTGGCCCTCGTGGAACGGATGGACGAAGAGTTTGTCAAGATTCTGCAGAATTGTGATGCCCACTCGCCCGAATATGTGGAGAATTTAAAAAGTGAATTGAAAGTCTGCACCATTATCGACAGCATGATGGTAAGATGAATTGCTACTTTATAATTTTATTTTTTTCTTCGAAACTATTTTTTGTTGTAGCGTATAATTTAAGGATGTATACGATTTAGAAATTAACGCATCAATGTTTTCTTATAGAATTATTTGGAATCCAAGGATGCCGCCACAACTGATCTGTGCCGCATCTACGAACGACGGATTGCCCATACTTACTACAAGATTGATTACCGTTTCATGGATGCGGAAAAGAAGGGGAATAAGATTACGGGGGAAACATCACTGGATCTGATGGATCGTCTGTGCACCTTCATCTACAACAACGACGAAACGGATCGCATCCGTACCCGGGCTATTTTAATGCGTGTGTACCATTTGGCACTGCATAATCGGTGGTACGATGCTCGTGATTTGATGTTGATGAGCAAAGCGCAAGAGACGATCCAGCTGGCGGATCCACCAACGCAAGTGCTGTACAATCGGGCGATGGTGCAGCTGGGTATCAGCGCTTTCCGTCAAGGTACTTTTTGCTGTTTGCAGGATGTTTTTTGTTTATCGCGGTAAATACGATTACTTATATAATACGTACAGATAGGACAGCATAGGTATTCGATACAGTACTGTTTAACTATGGAGTATTACTGGCAAATGCACCTATTTAAAGTTTTTTGACTGTTGCGATTTTCATTTTAGTGTCTGTTAAAGTGGAGATCAGAATTTGATTAAAATTAGAACTAAAAAGAATTCTGTCAGAATTGTTCGATGTTGGATACAGTACAGTACAGTTTTAATCGATTAGGTTTGTAATTTTCTTTATCATTGTTTGATATTGTGTGGGTTTTAATTCGATTTTTGGTCTGGTTTTTTAATCTTGTTTACGAGCATTTGATAATTTGCGTTAATTGTAGGAAATGTCAATGAAGCGCATAACGCTCTTATGGACATTCAAAGCAGCGGTCGTCCCAAAGAGTTATTGGCTCAAGGATTGCTACCGGTGCGGCAGCACGAGCGCAGCGCGGAACAGGAGAAGATTGAAAAGCGCCGCCAGATTCCCTTCCATATGCATATCAACCTGGACGTCCTGGAGTGCGTCTACTTGGTGTCCGCCATGTTCATCGAAGTCCCGTATTTGGCTGCGCATGAGAACGACCAGCGTCGCCGCATCATCTCCAAATACTTCTATCATTCTATGAAGCAGAGCGAACGTCACGCCCTCTCCGGTCCCCCGGAAACGCTGCCCGAGTACGTCATCGCCGCCAGTAAGGCCATGAAGACCGGCGACTGGAAGAAGTGCCGTGAGCTGATTCTGTCGGAGAAACTGGGCAAACGCGTCTGGGATTTCTTTTATGAGCCGGACAAGATTAAGGCTATGTTGGAGAGGAAGATCCAGGAGAACAGTTTGCGGTGCTTCATGTATACCAATTCCGCGTTCTATGACTCCATTTCGGTGAAGACGCTGGAAACCATGTTTCTGCTGAGCAAGGAGGTAAATAGCTAAGAAACTTCACGCATGTCCCTTTCTAATTTCTCATGATTAATATGGATTCGTCCGCAGTACCGTAGATTCAATTGAATTGCAAAGCTAATGAGTTAAATTTAACTAAAAATTCGAGATATTAGTAATAATTAATTAGATAACATGGAAATTAGTCGTATTGACTTTTTGAATTGTCCCTACTGTATTTGGCTGTCGGTGAAGGTTCACCGTTTTAGCGTACTTATTTTTTAATTCTCTGTTTGCTTATTCTTTGTACTCATACAACTGAAGCAAATAAACCCTGTTTTTTCTGTTGGTTTTTAACAGAACATTTACCTTGAATTTCCCTTGCCTAACTTGTTTTTCGTTTTTCTGTTATACATAGTTTTTTATAAAATTAGTATCTTCAAGGTTGTGATGATTTGCAGGACATTCTCAGTTTGATTGGTAAGATGGTCGTCAGCGAGAACCTGGCGGCCTCGGTCGATGCCCCCAGCCAGACTGTGATCATGCACCGGACGGAACCCAGTCGGGTACAGCAGTTGTCGCTGCAGTTGGCTGACAAGCTGATCAACCTGGTGGAGAACAATGAAAGGATGCTGGAGATGAAGAATCCGACCTTCCAGCGCCAGGGCAAGGGAGGCTGGCAGGATCGCCGACAGTACCGTGAAAACCGAGAACAGCGTGATCAGCGACAGCGTGAAGCTGCTGAATACTGAGCTTTTGTAGGGCAGTTTTGTTAATGTGCTGATGCTTATTAATTTTATATTTATTAATAACTGTTTTTCATGATATCTGTAGGTTTCCAGTTTTTCGCGTTCATTGTAGGAGTGGTCTGCTTAACTGAATAAATCGTACAAGGGTATAAAAACTTGCGTGAAGTTAGTAAACTTTGTGCGTTGGCTTCAAGTAAATGCGTACAATCTTTGCTACAATTTGGTTGCACGTAATAGTAATTTGAGCATGAACCAAACTCACGTGCCACAATTATGTAGGCTGTTATCCAAAAAAATTACTGAAGTAATCGAAAGTAAAAACTGATCCGACTTATTAAACTCTATAAAATTTATTCTGATGGAGAACTGTGATTTACTTACCTATCACACTCCAATTGTTACATTAAAATTTGCCACGTCAAAGTTCACTTTTCTACCGATCATGATAACTGAAAAAGTTCTCTGGGATTTCCGTGTTGCAAATTCCACATTTTAATTTTCTGCAGCTTTGCTGCGTAAGTGCGTACCGATTTGTGGACACTCGTAAATTGTAATAATATTAACGATTAAGGTACGAATACGAACGAGGAACACCGCCGAAACTCACGCGCTGAATTTTAATGAATCAGTTATCGCGATCGAGATCATACTTTTTGCGCACACAAAATTGACCAAAAAAAGTAGCAGCATTTCCTGATGAAGCGCGATTCGTAGTCACATGCAGAGTTCAACCGATAAAAAAATAAAAACGGTAAAAAATTATTTACATATCCAAGGCACTCAGGCCATCACGTTTCGGGTTGCAAACAACAAAAAATCCGACTACGCAACAACTGGCAAAAAATTACACTACCAACAGCGCACTAGCGCAGCCATCATCGTGACCTTCACTTCCACCACGGCCCAGGACCGCCCCAACCACCGAAGGGTCCGTATCCGAAGGGACCGTAGCCGCCGTAGCCCCATCCACCGAACGGGCCTCCCCAGCGTCCGCCGTACCAGCCGCCGAATCCACGTCCATACCAAGCGTCCGCCGTGGTTACAGCCATAACGATAACCGCCAGGACAAGGAGTAAGATCTGCCAATGACCAATACACGAAAATCAGAATCATGGTAGGCAAAACAAGGCGCAAAGTAAGAACAACCTGTACGTTATACGGTTGAACTACAATTCAATATCCAGCATAGTAAAGTGAGGAAACCAAGCAGAAAAATGCAAATCATATTTGAATTTTAATTAGCAATTAATCTGAATTATGTCGCAACAATTAAATGTGAAATTTCTGCTACGACTGCATGAACAGCAACTCGAAGGAAACTTAAACAAAAACATAACGGAAAACCTGCACTTACCGATTGAATGGAGATCATGTTGGCAAGAGGTCACTGGTAGTGGTGATTATCAAAAAGCTTAACACACGTGGACGAAAGGACTGGCAATCTGGAAGGTCACTAAACAAGCAAAATCTACGAGGCGGATAAAGTAGACAGCAAAAAATCCAGACTGCGAAGTCGGCAATGGGCTTGGCGGCGTTTATAAGGAGTGCAGGCCCACCGTGCAGTCAGCATCGAGAATAGCTAGCTGTAGTGCTGCTGTACGATGTGCAACCGTCATACGTCTCCGAAATCCGTCTGTGCGGCTCGGTTTATCTGATTGTGCAGACGATTGTTTTACCAACTTTAAACTGGCACACAAAGAAAAGAGCCATTGGAAATTTCCTACCTCTGCTTTGTACCAATTGTATGGAACTGTGCTTGCAGTGTATCAACTTCGGTGTTCGGATACCGCGTACGTATTGCGCAATGGGCTATCGCCGGCGCTGGTTGTTCATTGTTGCCCGTCACAGCGTCTGGCGGATGAGGCTGCGATTAATTAAGATCGAGGGTTGTGAATCTTGTGATAACCGCACCAGCTCCGGAGACTTCACGCTGACAGCGCACTGCACATTTGATTGTGAATGCAGTGCACTGCTCATCATGGGAAAAAATGGATTTAAATATGAATCTGTAAAACTAATGATAATTTAATAACTGGATCATACTGCTATGATACCGAACCTAATTGCTGTTTGCTACGAGTGCAGCAGGAAAAAAAAGTAAATTAATGAAGCAAAGAACAAGGCTGATGGAAAACAATTGCAATCCATGGAACTATTTCGTAGTTTTTTCCCTTTATTTTGGGACTGACTTGTACATGCAAATCCAATTATCGTTTATCGCAATTTGATGAATCTTTATGTTGCGGGAGTTTTCAGAATTCAGATTTTTGGGTAATCATCGGTCAGCGACTTTTCTTTCAAAAAGTTATTTTAGCGCAACATATGATTGCCCTGTAGGAAACAGCTGTTGCACCGTCCACGTAAGTACGTACTCGCGGCGCCAACAACTGCAGAGTGCAGAGATTGGGAATCAGTGTGATCCTCGATCTTCCTCCTCGTTTCTTTGTTTGCTTCCCAGACGAAGCATTTGTTGTGATGCTGATTCCTGTCACTCATCGCTTAACCTGAGTTAACCACATAATTATCCCCGAGTGTGCAACGGTGAGCCAGTGTTTTCGTGGCGTGTGTAGTGCGTTTTGCAAAATTTCCCTTATTACGTGAAATCCCCTAGAAAATTTTGACGAAGCTTACTCGCAACGGCGTTGTGATGCATGGTGATTTTTGTCTTTGAATCTGTTCGCTGTTGGTGGCGGATAACGAGAAATTTTGCTCTTGGACTGTATAATAATAAATGAAACATGTCAGCGGATAGTTATTGCATATTTGTTATACTTCTGTGGAATTTGTAGGAACTTTGTAAAATGCCGTTGCGATTACGAAGTATTTATCGCCTCCGGAAAGCGGTGCAGAATTCGGATGCGGTGCGTTGGATGAGTTCGTCGAGTTTCCAACCGAATCCAGCCCCGAAATCGCAGCCTGGACAAATTCAGAACGCAGCTAACAATGAATTAGAGTCGGATCGGGTTGTGGTGGAGATCGATGAAGCTCGGGATTTCATCGAGCGCTGCTTGCGAAAACTACGCGTTAGTCAGTCGCATGCTGCGCAAATGGGAGATCTTCTTGTCACGGCCGATCACCGCGGACATTTTTCCCATGGATTAAATCGATTAGGTATGCGATCTGTCTAAGATCTTTAGGTAATCTATTTCCAGGGAATCTGATCGTAAGAGATTTGGCTAATTTGCAACTGATTTTCCGTTCTGAATTTTTTCGACAGCAGATACTACCGAGCAAATTTTGGTAAGTTTTAATAATGTTAATTAGGAAAGCACTCATACAATTTTTATTTTCTTGATGGTAGCTAGGATTCATTGCACTGCGAAATTGGGGAATTTTTAAAAAGTAATTTTATTTTGCTTCAAAATGCGGTTTCTCTATTATGTTGCATGTCATACGAACAAAGAATCAATACGATTAAATTTTGTTTGCCAAAACAACTAACAAAATGGCGCGTTTTGGTCTTTTAGAGGTAATTTGAATTTTGAGATGTGGTTTTTGGCACGTTGTTCTAACCTTGCTGTACTTCGCTATTTAGATATGTACATCTTGGATGTGAAGAGGAATTTAACCAATCTGTCTGGCGTACCGGGCATCATCAAGGAATCAGCATCCACAGCGCTGGTCGATGGGAACAATCTTCTAGGTAAAACACTGGCCGGGGCTTGTGCATCTTGTTGCTTGTATTAAGAAATCAATTCCTTAAAATTACAAGAATATAATTGCTATATGAAGTGATTAAAATTGCTGGCATTTCTCCCTTAATACAGCAGAGCTTCCGGAAAGGTGCAGAAATTTGTAGATCTCGTCTTGTGAAGTCATGTGTATAACGAACTCAAAAGTAGGCTGCGATCGTAGTGCCGAGGCTTCAGCTATTAGATACTAATGCGATTACTGTATATCTTAGCCTTTGTTGTACAATTACATGTTCGAGGCTTGAGAAAGCGTGTGCGTTGTAGGTTTCTTTTTACGGAATCTTAATGGTTCCATAAAACGTATTAATATTTATCTTTTTCTTCTTATTGAGAATGTTTCCGGAATATGTAGGTGCTGTGGTGGGCAACTTCGCCATGGGTGTTGCCATGAAGAAAGCGAAGGAAACCGGCGTGGGATGGGTCTCTGCCCGAGGTAAATTGTGTATTATGAACATCGGTGATTGCACTGTACTGATTCTGTGTATGGTAATGATTTTTTTTATTGCGTATGGTTATGGTTAATATCATGCAAGAATCGCTTGTAAAAATCGTGCCGTCAAATGTTGCAAGTACGAGTTACAGATGTTACACTTTCACTATGGATCAGATTTAGCAGATTAACCGTAGTCGTCGTTTTTGTATCATAGCATCGAATCATTTCGGTATTGCTGGGTATTATGGATTACAAGCTGTTCGGGAAGGATTAATTGGATTTGCATTTTGTAATACCAGTCCGCTGGCAGTGCCTACGCGAGCCAAAACAGTAAGTACCGTACAGATATGTGCGTGTTTGCGGTATTGAAAGATGTGCTAGGAAAATCGTTTGAAAAGTTCATCTTATTTTTATTTGTAGATGTAGTTAATCGCCTCATTTGCATTTTTAATAACCATGGTGGAATTAGCGAGCGCTGCTTTTGTTTGTTCGAAAGTTTTCTAGACAGTATGTACAGGGGAACTTTGAATTACTATTCCGAATTTTTTTCAAATTTATAGTTTCCCAGCGTTACTTCGTTCTTAAAACTTGCCGCTGCTGACAAAGCTGGGACTCCGTCAGCTCTGGCAGTACTTATATTATCTTCTCGGAGAAATGAGCAGTACAGTACCAGCGTTGGTAAAATTATGGTGTTGTTGGTGATTGTAGTTAGCCTTGGGCACGAACGCCATGTGCGTGATGGCGCCGGCAGCTAATGGGGATTATTTTGCCCTGGATATGGCCACGACAACGGTGGGTTCTATAAAGGAAACCCGGAAAAGGGTTGTTACATGAAATGCATTAATTGAATGGGGTTGTATTTGTAACTGTCGTCTAGCGAATGTACGGCTGTGTATCACCTTTCTGCGAATCCGAACAGAAGAAAATTATCTAAAAAATTACGCCCGCTAATTATTTTTTTATAAAAATAATATCGGTGATGTTGTTAACTGTAGCGCAGCGTGCCTTAGCGTTTGACTTCCTCAAACCGCTCGTTTGTTCTTTTTAATCAGGACGTGGTGCATCTGTTTTTTTAATATGTTGAATTGTTTTCTAGGTGGCCATCGGTAAAGTGGAGTTGGCCATGCGAACGCAGCAGAAAGTGCCTCCGGTGTGGGGTGTCGATAAGGATGGAAAAGAAACAACCGACCCCGAGAAAATTTATGTCGGCGGTGGTTTATTACCAATTGGAGGTTAGATGTGTTCAGTTTTATCTGAGATCTGTTATTATTCCCTTACTCAGTAAATTAAAACTCTTCATAATTTATGTTGGGAAAATCTGTTTTATGTATTTTATTCAGTAGTCTTTCTGAATGGTTTTGTCATTTGTGCGTTGCTGGTTTCTTTTGTATATTTAAAAAAATTTATATTTGTTTCTGAAAGTGATATCAGTGGAAATATTTTGTGAAAATTATGCTGTAATAATTGACTGAACCCTGGTTGTTTATTGTACAGGTTTAGAAGGTAACGGAGGCTACAAAGGCTACGCGCTGAACGTTATGGTGGAGATTTTCTGCGGAATATTAGCCAATGCGGCGTTCGGACCGCTGGTGCGCCCGTGGACCAATCCAACCAGCGAGGCGAATTTGGTAATAAACTGCGTAATGCGTGTTACTGATAATGTATGCTCGTATATTGTCCACCCGGAAATCGATGGGAAATTTTTCTAAACTTAGACTGCTTTCGTCACCTCTAATTGCGGCTGTTTAGGGTCAGTGTTGGGGTGCCATTGATCCGGATTGTTTTGGTAATGGATTCCGTGAGCGTCTGCATGGATTCCTCAATATTCTGCGTCATTTGGAACCGGTAAGTGGTTTGAACAGTTAAAACAGAGAAAATGTTTTCATCGGAAGTCGATGTAATTTACACGGCCTATGCACATAGATGTACGAAGCTACGGTATACCGAATAGCTTATACCCAGCAGAAATGATCAGATAACGTAGTGTTGTGGCATGCAATCTAGTTCCTTCCCTCTTGGAACATATTGCTTTCTTATCACTATGTAAAACGTGTCATGTGTAGAGGTAAGACTGCAGACTTTATTTTTGAAATGTATTTGCCGTGTTGTTTTTGCGAGAAATTTTACAGGATTCTGGTTTTCAGCTAGATATGGTAGCATTTGCTTTCGATAGGAATTTCTTGAAGTAGCAGCTTAAGACACCGTTGACGACAAGTAAAAACGGAAATTTATTCTGTAGGCTGATCCGTCCAAACCGGTGTTGGTGCCCGGTGATCCTGAGCGGTTGCATATGGATAAATGCAAACGATTGGGAGGCATTCCATACCACATCAACCAGATTCGCCACGCGGAGGAAGTAGCACAACAACTGGGCGTGGAACCGATGCGCACACAGCAATAAACATTTCCGTTAAGACGTTTTTCCAAATTATTTTTCCATTGATTTTGTTCGTTTTTTTACACTTAATTGCGCTCATTCCTGTTGTGTTATATTTTTTTCAAAAGACATTCGGTGATGGAATTTTAATGATTTTAGTTGTTAATTTTATTTGGATTTTATATGCTGTTTTTTTTCTAATTGCTTGCTTAATGAAAGAACCAGATTTTTTACATGTTTCTTTTGCAGAATTTTATGTTGCGGTGCTTGGCCCATAAATTTACGTTAATTTATATGAAAACAAAACCTATTTGAACAGACCGTCGGCACTTTAGAAGCGTAAATTATAAAACAGTCCAATAATGTCGAGAATTCTAGATGGTGTTTTGGCCTTGCGTCTTTCGTATCAGCATTCTGGAAATTGGCCCTTCAGTTGTCTTCGTGAGTGATCTTCTTTCGATCCTTTGCTCCGACAATATTTAACTCCAGATCGTAGCATCCCAAAGGGATCTCGCCAGCTTTCAGCACAACGTGGGCTTTGAAATCACCTGCAATTATAAAAGTTCGGTTCGGTCACATGTTTCCATATGAATAATTATTGAAGTGCTGTTCCACTACAGACAAACTAAACACATTTTGTTAAAGCTTTTAATACCACAAAATTATAAAGTACAGAAAAGGCATTTTTAATAAATACCTTATCATTGTGTTCTTTATCTGTACCTTATCTGTACTCTATCTGTACTTTATGCCCGTGCGACGCATCGTACGATAACGAAAGAAGCGTTCACCCTTATGTTGCAAGACGTTGTTCAAATTTCAGAAAACAGTTGGTTTTATACTAACCTTTATCTAGCCAGGAAGGAATTTGTTTGGATGGTGTGAACATCACCGGCAAATCCTTGACGTTATACGTTGCCTGTCATTAAAAGAGAGATGAATTAGTAATTTCAGTTCGAGCAATCTTGTACAGTATTAAGCGTAATACCACCGTTTAATTTTCGCGTATAATGCGTATGCAACATTTTCCACCTTTTTGAATTGCTTAATAAAAGATCAGCAAGTAAAAAATATTACAAGTCATTCAATCGCAGGGCTAGATTATATTCATTTATATCGCCCTACAAACAAAAATCAGCAATTCAGTGCTTTTACCGCCGGAAATGGACAAGTACATGGAATGGACTGCTGCTGAAAGGGTTCAGGACAGGGCTGAGGCGGCAACAGACTGCATACATCGGTATAATTGCAGCTTCCTAAATAAAAGTGGCCCATTAATGTCAGAAGTGCACAAGGATTGAAAGGTTGCTCAGAAGTGCAATATTGCAAAAATTATGATGACCGGCTTTTGTACAGATCATAAAAATATAATTGTATCTGAATAACACTGTTTTCCTATAATAGATCATGATGATGTGGATGAATACGTATACAGAATTAACATCCGCGCGGAATATCCACTCTTATACGCTTTCTCTACATCGTCTAAGTATTGACATCTCCTAGTAGCAAAAAACGTTAATGCGCATGCAAACTTGCCCATTCCATCCACACATGGGACTGTAATCCATACGAAAACCTTTTTTTGAATCACGACATCGATCTGCAAAAATTGTTTGTATGATTAACGCTGTTAAACGTTTGAAAAATTTTGTTATCTCAAGTTTTTATGAGTTATACCTCCAGCTGGTCTATTTGTTTGGTGATGGATCCAGATCCAGTGATTTTCATTGGCGCTGTAAGATCAAGAAAATTATACGAGTGCGGTATTGTTTCAGCAACACTTCCAATGAACACTCGTTACGTTTCCTGAAAAACTGGAAGTGCGAATGCGGTCGTAAGAGCTTTGTATGCAAATAGTGCAATCCAAGTAACGCGGTTGTATCCTGTGCGAGATGCACCAAAATTGTACTTATACTTACATATATCTATATAATCTGTTTTACCATTTAATGCTAAATTCGTATGAAACTAGGATCAAACACAAAATCACGGCTGTACAATGTATACATATATACATAACAGGTAAAAAAAGAAGATTTAAAATGCACTTTTTGGGCATACTTTACTAATAAAGATTTATACAGTACGTTGTGCACTTCTGGAACAGACTTTATATATAAATTGTTTTGTGTGATTACGTTATAGAAATTTTTTGCTAGAATATCAACACGTACGCGAAAGTTTTAGTTAAAATATTTTTGGTTACTCCTTGGCTGACTGGTTACGTACAGCCCAACTGGATGGGATCCGGTGAAATGCTGATGCTGTCGATTTTAACGATGTCGGCGGTGGTTCCGCAGGATTTCCATGAGAAATGTTGCAGATGAAGATTCTTTGCCACCGCCTATAAAATAATATGTACATGTACAGTACACTTGTATGTGAAGCATGTGCCCGGATTGTGATAAGTTTTTAGCGTTTTAGGGAGCCGTATTAAACGGCGACAGTAAACGTAAAGATTATTTAGGAGCTTCACAACTGCACAACATTACCCATTTATTTAACAGAAAATTCCATTGCTGCGTGGCATCATCAGCAGCATGGCTGGACCATTTGAACGGCAGCAGCATACCCAGTGTACTGGATGCGACGGCCAAGATAAAGGTCACTTCCCACAATACATTCATGATTGGTTTTTATGTTAAAAGCAGATGCTGAAAAACTTAAACTCGATAATGAACTGCACGAAATTTTCATAAAGAATCCGTATTTATATACAACGAAGCGCTGTTGACAATTTTACACAACCTCCTACCGTCTGAAGTCTGTTTTGTGTGAGCTGGTTGTGGGCCTGATGATATGCGGACAGTAGACGATAAAGCGTACGAGTAGCTGTGATAAGCGATTAAAATCTCGCATGCTACTGTTGGAATGCTGCTAATTCGCATGCTGCTAATTCTAAATGTTTACTACGGTATTCAACGCTAGAAAGGATGTTTGGTGTAAGGTCAAAGTGTAGATGGCTCTAATCATATAAGTTATTTTCCCTTATGAATGTGAATATGCCTTATACATTCAAATGCACATTTACCTAGTCGCGTACATATGTATTACATTGTCATTCTACAGGAGATGTTAATGGCACAGAAAAAGTAGTTGATAAACTATTATGGTTTCTTATTACTGTATTGTATGTTGGAAATTGCCAGCACATTACAGATCATTACATATATAATGGAATTTAGTAATTCCTACTTCATATTCCCCAGAATGCCAATTTGAAAATTACTTACCGATTTAATTTACGCAAGGTACTTATTAGTACGTATGTTGTTCCAGAGTTTACGCAGATACCGATATTTTTTTATGCGAATGTCGAGATATAACATATTGTATAGCATATGGTAGTGCAGCTCTGGCTATATATGCTGCTGATACAAAATAACTGGATTTGGTTTATTGCAGAAAAAAACACAAAAATTAACGTCTACTAATCAGAACACCATCAAGTATGTCAGGCAAGTTGCAAAAGCAGAAACAAACGCTAGGACAGACGCCAAAGCGCTGTTAGCCGTTAACTTTTGGTCGATTGATAAAATCCATAACCGGTGGGGGACCTTGGCCTGTCCCTGCAATAATCAAGGATTGGATTATGGAAGAATTCACGTTACTCTAAAGGACATATAGTGGAAGTAAACTGGTTATGATTATTTCACTGCAGTTAATTTTACGCAGTAAACATCGAACTCGGTGCACCAAATGCGCTGACCTTACATTTTTAAAGTGCAATAATTCTTGCTTACAAAGTAATATTTAAATTATCTAGAGTATGTCTCTGCGATATTTTTGTTCAAAGAAAAAGTACTACTTAATCTGTTTCAAGTGAATTGCGCATAAGAAATCCTAATATCAAAAATATGGTTCATTCTATTGGTGTCACACAATGTGATCACTTATTTTAACGGCCATTAAATGATCATACAGAAAACAACAATCATGTTACTCGGCAGCACTGAATAATAAGATGAAGTTCGTATGACTAATGCGAATATTTTCAGAATCCATATCCACATATGCGGACGTTATAATTAACTGGGAAACTCATTAACTCTCCGAAATATATAGCTTTAGGAAACACGTCATGTTTTTTTTATCCACATGTACAGCGCTGTATTACGTGCAGCGTATGCCAAAGTTAATTCTACTCTTATCATGTTTTACCTGTTCCGGTTCCCGTTCCAGTCCCGGTACCGGTGCCGGTATTAGTGCCGGCTGTGCAACCTAAGGCGGTGGTAAGTGTTGTGGCGGTGCCGGTCCATTGGAATACATCGTTTCCTTGTGGTGTCAGTGTTTGTACCATCTGGTTGGTGCCGGTATTATCCAATCCAATAACCACTACGGAGTTGGTACCGCCGGTTCCTCGAACCTGTCAAGAAAGGTCATCATTGCTCCATAGACTGTGCGATTGTATGTAATTATTTGTGTTACTGTTGTTTTACTTTAGTTATCAATATTAGTGCCGGATCAAAGCTTATATGCCGTTTACCATATATACACCGTTCCAGTTGCCGGTAATACCAGCCGTGACGCCGGTTCCGGTTGTGGGTGCCCTTTGCTGCTGGGTGTATTCGTTAACATACTGCCTTGCTGTATCTGAAAAGGGCAAATAACACTTTTTTACGTTAATTCGATCTAAGTTAGCCGATGTTTACAAGAAATATTACTAACACACAACGTTCATTGCAGTACAGTGCGAGATCACGTTAACTGTTACAGATACGTACTGCTGTAACGGTACCAAGCGTACGGTCCAGTTTGCGAGCCGGCCCATTCGAATTCCGGATCGTTGGGTCCGAAACCCGTTATTGTGGCTGGCCTTTGTGGCAGTTGTGTACACGTTGCAGTTGTGGCGCCGGAGGCTCCCGAGCAGGAATAAAACTGATTAGCCTAAAAGTTAAAATACGTAATAAAATTATTATCATGGCGCATGCGTAGCTACGTGCTTCTCTTCATCTGTAGGAAGCCAGTGCGTTCTTTGATAATTTTCTTATACACTTCACTAAGAATCTCATATGTATTACCACTTTAACAGGTAATAGCTATCAAAATAATAAAAAGTGTAAAAGCGGACATATTACTTCACAGTTTTACGTACTCTGCATATATTTGTACATATTCGCGAAATTCGTAATTACCTGTGTCTGCACGTAAGTAGTAAAGCTCATCTGATCCGTCCACACGGCTGACACCGGTCCCGTTACACCGATCAGCATACTGCCAATGGTTCGCGATTGTGCTCCGGTAATCAGTCTCGTTGTCGGGCCGTCAACTTCGATCATACAGGCACCTACATAGCAGCATAACGTTGTTGCTTTAATCTGTAAAGGTCATACTCATCAATGTGTCGTTGTATAGTAATAAGATGTTACCAGAGAATAGATAGTATCGATTGTTGAAGAGCAGTGATGCTTCGTTGATCTGGGGTGGCGGGGTGGAGCAGAAGTTGACCTGGCAGTTGGGTGACGGTGTCGTGGTCGTTGTGGTTGGTGTGGTCGTCGTCGTTGTCGTAGTCGTGGTTGTGACGCCGGTGCACTGCGCGGGGTTGCACTGGGCAACATCTTGATTAAAAATACAAGGATTTATAGATTACATGGTACCGAGGGCTTCCATGCAGCAAATACTGGAAGTTTTTAAAGAGATGTAAGGACAGCTTAGTATTAAAATACAAATAGACCCTGGTGTTTGCTTTATTGAAACTAATTCCAAAATTAACTTTGGAATTAGTTTCAATATACCTTAGTTTCCGTGTATTTACTTATTTGGTTCATTTGTAAAAATTTCAATGATTTGTCTCTTTCGAGATATAAGTCTGAGTAAAACAGATATCAGTACTTCGGCTTCTTCTACAGTCGCTCAATTTTACCATGCATTTTTTAGAATAATTATCGCCGATGCAAGTTGCCGTACACGGCAAACGAATTTATCGTTTGTGTAAACTATTACAGCGCATTATAGTAGTTCATTGCCGGTTTGTGGCCGGGGCAAATATATTATTAATTTTGGTGTCGCCGCTTCGATAATGATGCAGTGCATCCATTTATTTCAATAAGAAGCTATAAAAATACATCTACATTAAATCTTAACTGAAATTTGTACCAGATTAACCGTATTTGTGACAGAATGTATGCGATGCCAATTTTATTTTATGCTTGTTAAATATTCGTGCAATGTTTGTGTACAATATTCGTACAACGTACATAACATTACAGTATTTAATTTTCAGTAGTTGCTACAATGTAGAGCATTACCGTGTACCGTGATAAATAATGGACTTACAAACATTGGTGGTATCACATCGGAGTCCACACTGGTAGGTGATGTTCAGCAGTGTGCAGTCGGTGGCACTGATCTGACTCAGTCTGGGAATACAGGGCATGGGCGCAGAAGCCGGTAGTGTGAAAGCGGTTCCAGTAGCAGCGAAGTCAGCGGGCTGATTATGCTGCAAAGGAATAAACAACGCGCCATTGACGTCATAAGCCGAAGAATTCCGCTGTGTCAAGATTACTAATCGTATTCTTACCGTAATGCTGCAGTAATCATAAGGATAACTCTTCCAGTACGCTTCTTGTTCGCTGTACTTGCGGTAAGCTGCCTGCAATTCGAAAGGTCACCATGATGACTGTTCACATGGATTGGCGCATTATTCTCATCCGCTTGATTATTAACCTTTTAATTTGCTTAGTTACATGAAGATTCACCTGTTCACTGCATTTTTCTATCGAAACGTTATTGGAAAAACAATTTCCTTATTTAATAGCACGATTAAGAACGTTACTAATTAGGCAGTAATTCTTAAAGTTAGCTTCATTTCCTCAAAATGTACCGGTACGGTCAGCGCTGAATCGGGTTGCACCGTAATGAAACTATCACGATCACCACGTTCGTGCTCGTTACGCTTGCCCATGGTGTTGACAATGTAGCGCGCTATACACCTAGGATCGGTGCTACAGCGCGTCAGGGTGTCGCGTGCCAAGGAGACAGCCTGCTCATATGTTCCGGTGGGCGCCCTCATCCAGCGACCGGGCATACTGGATGAGTATGCGGCCGTTCCGCTACAAATCGGGAATACAATAGATAAATTCCATCCTATACCTACGCGGGTTATTACTTGGACATACGGCGTATTTTTTGCGGAAGCACTTTTCATTAACTTGGAAACAAAAGGTCACCTCGTAAACGAGTACAATTTGCAACGTTCGTTATGAAAATCTATCACAGGAGATGAACGAATATTTGCGAAAACATTACTGGTTTTAAAATGCGAAGCCTTACGCAATTAGCTTGAAGTTGTTCACTTACGTGCCAGTGGGAATAGTGAATCGAATTTTAAATTCTGTGGAAGTACATGGTACCGGCGCGAAAACCAAACAGCCTTGCAGTGCTCCAGTAGTGCCGGCTAGAATCGCAATGGCACTATTGACGGCTGACTGTTCTACCGTGGCTGTAAAGGAAAAGGTAGAATGATTATGAATATTCCCTTGGTTTAATTTAACCAAACGGTCATGTAATACTGTACTTTTTCTATTTGTAGACAAAGCGACATTAAATTATTCGCTTCTTACTTAGCTGAGAATCAAAGCAGTAAGGAATACGAGTCTTATCCCAACGTCCATACTCTGGATTGACATTCGTCGTTCCTAGAAAACGATATAAATTAATAACGATATGTACGATATGAACATTCCTAGCGATACGAATTAATAAACGCATTTCATGTTATCAATAATTTTAATTAATTTGATCCACAAACCGTGTGTAAATGAAATCCCTATTATGAGTAATAAAACCACCGCTAACGACATTGCCATTATAGGTTTAATTTGGGCAGCTCGGTTACCAACAGTAATATTGAACCGGGAGCACGTAAAGCTACTGCAAGATATTTTCAGCTAACATTGCCGGAAACCTTTTCGGCATCAGGGTTGTTTTATATTTTCTCGGCTACTAAAGGAATAAGAAAAGCCTTGACCAATGCACAGCACAGCGATTTCAAAGCAGAATTATCGTCGTAAGAGATACGCTGATGTATCATAATGAATAATTGTCGATTGTCCAGGTAGGTTATTATAACGCGGATTACGTATAGACTGCCGCGATTTTCATACCTTTGAGATGAACTGTTTTACAATCAGCAAAAACAATTTCAAAATAATTATGCTGCCGGTTACCAACTATTGCGGACGCCGCAATGTCAGTATATGGTCCTGTTAACTGGAGATGACGTAAAAACTGCGTAAAGGTATGGTAATTTAAATTTCCACGTTTTGACTACAAATTCATCGTAAACCGGAAGAAAAGTTAGTTTAGTGTTCAGAAAATTTAGTTTTCCCTGGTGTAAACAGTACTTCGTCATTGTTATTGCATTGAAAGGACCTACCGCCCATATCATATTCTACACAGCAGAAGATTACGTACCGTTTATATTATAAATATTGTACAACTGTACATAAGGTAGTAAAACAAACGTTGTTAGTCTAAATTGCTTTTATTGCTCCTTGACTCCTGTCCATGTTGTTAAATTGGATATGCAACTCTGACTCACAATCAAGTAAGTACAGACTGTAACAGCGATGTGCGATTAATTCAACGGTATAGCGCGCTCGTATTCAACGGTATAGCGCACGCTGATATCTATATACACACAGTGCCGTATTAGTGACCACTGGCAATCGTTTGCTTATCACATTTGTCTGCATGCAGTTGTCCTGCAACAATAACTTTCGGCCGCAGAAAAAGGAAAAGAATATCTATTTCATGGGGCATCCATTTTCGCTACTGGACAGTGGTCACTTCGGTGACCACCAAAACACAACCAGTTGAAAGCCCATAAAAGGTTGTCTTAGACTACCAATCTGCAGAATGTTGCGACTTACACTGAGTTTACTAGGAAATTTTGTATAATGGCTGTAATGTACCCCATTGCCCGTTGTTGTCAAAATGATACCATGTTTTTTAAAATATCACCAGCGGTCATCCATTTCACGTATTACAAAAATATAAGTTGTGTCAGGTAACACATAGAGTCAACTACCTAACCCATTTATTTAGATTTTTTCGCATCACGCGGATGGCCAGGAGGTGTTAGCGACCTCCGGTCACCCGTGGTATAAAAAAATGGCCGACTTTGGTGGCCACTGGCGAGTGCATGTTAGACTTATACTTAGTGGTCAAGTTTTGTAAAATGGACCTCAACATCTTAACTCGCTAATAAAACTGAAAAATCCAAATTCCCATGCTACGTTCAGGTACAGGAGCAAAAGTCCTCTACGGTATCACTTTGATATCAATGGGAAGAAACAGGTTAATGCAGCTATTTGTCTTGGAGATTACATTTACAGAGTGCACTTACGTGAGTTTAAAGTCACTTTAACTGAAAGCGGAGAATCTGACAAATTAACGTACTCGTGATAATTTAATAAGTGCCACAAACAGTGTCCTTGAAAACAATCCACGATACAAGTTTAATATATCTGTAGAAACGGTTCTCATTGCATTAAACACACTGATCCGGGGCATGTACAGAGTATACAGCTTCAGTTTTAATTATTGGTCTGCTTATTAAGTTGTTATATACCATATGTTTGTCAAAGATAATTTAAAAACACCATATTTTTATGGTAGCTTGCGTGCAAACGACGCTTGGCACATAATAGCATTAGCGGAAAACTGCACCAAACTTTGCAGTTTAGAAATCCCGAATTTACGAAAAACAGACAAAGAAGAACAACAACAGCTATCATGAGCAATCAGGGCGACAGCAAAGCAAACAACTAACTAGAAAAATAGAGTCGATAATCAACATATACCACGGCAAATTACACGACGGTGTAATTCTTGTCACATCCCTCGATAGCCAGCAAATCATACTGTGCTTATGGTTAACATTTTCTGGATAGGTCCAACCAGTTGTGTAGCCGCAAATTATTATTAGCCGCTTCCTGTTGGACAAGCTAAAGCTGTGCCTAACGGAACTGCTGCAGCGCTCCACTGGAAGGTGTCCGCTGCTGTAGATGTCATCTGCTGCACATACTGGACACCGGTGCCGTCCACACCAATAACATTGACTGTGTTTTGCGCGGTACCACTACCGTCGCTCCTGACCTACAACATGGTAAATATGCGTGTAAAGGTCATCAGTAACTATTAAAGACAATTTCGATACTTTATACCGTGGATACGCCGATATTTCCACGTTACATATGAAAGCAGATTGTGATAAGATTTACCATGTACGCCGCATTCCAGTTCCCGGTAATTGTTGCTGTGATGCCGGTCGCCGTTGCTGGCGCCTTCTGCTGTTGTGTGTATTCGTTGACGTATTGTTTTCCGGTGTCTAAATTAAATGGTAACCAAATTGGTAATAGTATAGTTAGGCAAAATAGTAGCAAGTAGTGTTCCTTACTGCTCCATCGGTAGATGGCGTACGGTCCCGTGGATGATTGCGCCCATTCAAATTCCAAATCGGTTGGCCCGTAGCCAGTGATAGTGGGCGGTCGGCCGCTGGCCACCTGCGAACATGTGGCTGATGTGGCCGTGGCGGAGGTGGCCGTGCAGGCGTAGAACTGGCTAGACTAATGCAGATCGAACAACCGTCAACAGTAGTAACACTTACAGAGTACTATTCTGATTTTGATGGTATATTGTAATAATAAAATTAATATATTTCGGAATTCTTAGCTTATTACCTGTGTTTGTACGTATGTAGTTTGGGTCATCTGATCCGTCCAGACGGCGGCTACCGGCCCGGTTACACCAACTAGCATACTGGTAATAGACACACCGTTAGCTGGATTGACCGCTGTCACGAGTTTATTTGTCCGGTCCACTTCCACCATACAAGTGCCTGCAAGTTTAAACAAATGTACCGAGAGTACCGAAGTAGGGGAATAATTTGAATATACCGGAGAACATGTAGTATTTGCCATTGTACAAAATGGACGCTTCGTTAATAGTCGGCGGCGGATTGGAGCAAAAGTTCACCGAACACGGTGTGGTCGTACCCGTCCCCCCGGATGTCCCGGAACAACCGAGAGCCGTGGCAAAGGGCTGGCTGGTGCCCGCCCACTGAAATGTATCGGCTGTACCGGTGTAGGTCATCTGCTGCACCACCGTATTACTGCTGCTATCCAGCCCGATGACGTTAACGGCATTCGGCGTTGTGCCAGCGCCAGTTTTGACCTTAAAAATCATAATATGTGACAAGTGGCAACTGTTATCGATGGTGAATATCCAACGTGTTGTGCAGAAACAAACGATTTATGTATTTTACCAAATATGCTCCAAGCCAGTTTCCGCTGATTGTCGCCGTCACACCAGTGCCGGTTGTTGGCGCTTTCTGTTGCTGGCTGTATTCATTGACGTATTGCTTAGCCGTATCTGGAATAAGACATATCTGTAGCATACGCTTTACAGATCTGTCAAGGTATTTTAATTATTGCAGTTTATGTACTGCTATAACGGTAGATGGCGTACGGCCCCGTTCCGGTACCGGACCATTCGAACTCCAGATCATTGGCCGTGTAGGGTGTAATGGTGGCCGGGCGTCCTTGGGTTACTTGGGTACATGTTGCTGTCGTGGCCGTAGTGGCGCCCACGCATGAATAAAATTGGCCAGCCTATTAAAGATCACATTATTAGACAGAAGTTACCGGAAATATGCAGTACTAAAATAGCCAGCGTAGAAAATCGTATTGTTAAACAGAAATTATCAGAAATATGTGATCAGCTTATTAAGGTCACGATATTTAAAACGAAGCGTCGGAAGCAAAAGTACAAAATAACAGAAGCATCCTAAAAAAATGTTGTACCTGCGTCTGGACAAATGTGGTGCCGCTCATTTGATCCGTCCATACCGCCGCTACCGGTCCCGTAACGCCGACGAGAATACTGTTGATGGTCACACCGTTCGTGTTTGTCGGTGTGACCATCTTGGTGGTGGCGTCCACCTCAATCATACATGTGCCTACATTCCGTATAACCATCCGTTAGTGAGAGATAAGCTGGAAGGCTATCAAAATTCTTGTACCAGAGAACACATAGTATTTATTATTGAAGAGCACGGACGCTTCGTTGATGGCTGGTGTTGGCGTGGCGCAGAAATTGACCGTGCAGGGCGTGGTAGTACCAGTGCCGCCGGTTCCAGTGCCGCCGGTGCCGGTACACTGCGACGTAGTGCACTGTGCCACATCTGCAGGTGCATACAATAAGAAATTAAGATGGTGTTATATTATTGCTATACCTATGATAAATTAGTGATTAATTTCTAGAAAGCTAAACTGATCATTCCGAACGGTCGTTCAAAACACTTATGTGTACAGTTACGAGTATTTAATGTGCGTTGTCTGCAATTAATTTTAAGGTTTACAGTTAGATTTTATTAAACTACGCTTTTTTTAAGAGTAGTACTGGATAATTATACTTAGTATGGGTGTACAGACTAATAAAGACTTACACAAGTTTGACGCATCGCAAGCGATGTTGCACTGGTACATGATATTCAGCCATTGGCAGTCCGTGGCGCTGATCATATTCAGTTTCGGGATACAACCAGGTGTCGTGGTTATGGTGGTCATGGTAAAAGCGTTACCCGTTGTCGCAAAATCAGCGGGTTGATTATGCTAGAAACCGTGAGGAATATTTATAACGAATTTTTTAACGTAAATATCCCAGGCAATATTTCCGTACCGTGATACTACAGTAATCATAGGCATAATAGCCCCAGTATGCTTCCGATTGGTTGTATTTGCGGTATGCTGCCTGGAATGTTAGCGATAATGAAGTGCAGCATATTATAAAGTGCAATAAAGTTTAGTTTTGCTCTTCAGTGTTTCCGAAACCATGCATAACGGAGAAAACATATTGCTGGAAATGGCCGAGTAAGTATAGCACAATTTGCGTATTACTACACGTTAAACGCACCGGTACGCTGAGCTGACTATCCGGAGCTACTGTAATAAACGAGTCACGGTCACCCCGCTCATGTTCGTTGCGCTTCCCCAGAGAATTGACAATGTAACGCAGGATGCAGCGCGCTGTTGTACTGCAGGCGGTGGCGTCACGGGCTAGGTAGACTGGCTGCTCAGCGGTCGTCGAGGGAGCACGTACCCAACGACCCGGCATACTGGACGAATAGGCGCTTACTCCTCTACAGACACAAAATCACTTTAACTGGCACCCAAAACAATTTAAAATCACGAGAGAACAACCTCTATAAACATACAATCACTTAATACCGGCATTAAAGTAATTCAAAAATCACTTAAGTGCTACTGTGCTTGGCTGAACACAATACACGTCAACACGTTAAATATAGTAAATACAGTATGTCTGCACGTTAATTTTTTTGAAGGACTGAATACCATCATAACATACCATATTGCAGAGTTATACGAAGAATTATAAATTTTCTACTGAATACAGTAGACAATTTTGAGATACTTTGATTCGTGTTGGAAAATGTTTTTACAGAACCTACGTGCCAGTGGGAATGGTAAAGCGAATCTTAAAATCCGTCGTTGACGTACACGGCACCGCCGTAAAGGTGATACAGCTCTTCATGCCTCCGGTGGTCCCCGATAAGAGAGCGATGGCGGCGTTAATAGCCGTCGTTTCCGTAGAAGCTGATAACGGCAGCATTCGATAAGTAAGGGCTGACCATTCTGTCAAATACCGTGAGAGACCTTACTCATTTGCGGATCGATACAGTACGGGATGCGGGATTTATCCCAGCGCGAATAATCCGGATTGGAGTTGGTTGTTGCTACATGCATGAAATACGCAATGTTAGTACATTGTCACCTAATACAACACTTTAATAAAAGTAAAATCCTGTTATGATCTTGTTCGAATGTAGATCTTATCACTTCGAGTTTAATACAAAACATATACAGCTGCGCACAATTATTTTTTGCTGTTTCTATCTATACGGTGCAACGTAAAAGCAGTAAACGTAAGACTTTAAAGTAAAGATTAAATAGGCATTGTATGTGTACATATTTATGTTTATTTTTACCATAAACGAATAAACTCCTTAACAGAAGCAATAAAACTATTTGCGGAGCCATTTTTAGACAAATTCTAAACAATATAATCGGCTGCGACGTATAACGTGGCCCACAGGAGCAGCTGTACGCATAATATCTTAACCAGTGCCATAAAACCATTGTCCGCTATACCTTTTATATGTTTGTCTTATTGAAGAGAATTCTTGAAAAATCTACGACTTGGCGAATTTTAAATAATTACTAATTATGATGTGAGGAGAATATACGCTGACGTACGTGCTCAGTAAGTGCTTAATGTGTTTCCGTTCCAGCTGGGCTGTCTGAAATTCGGATAATCATTAACTGATCACGTGTACAGAAAATTGATGTAGCAGTTTTTATAAATCTGCAGAATGAACAGTCGATAGTATGTAATCAACATATCGTAGACACATAAATTATGGAATTTTCCTGCAAATGTCCTCCTTTTCAAACCAAAAGATGGCATACTGACCGCTTCAGATAATATTGATTTTTCTCTTTGTATGATTATTCTGCATTTTGAAAACATCTGCATTCTTGAATAATTAATATTATCACTAGATTATCAATGAATCAGATCTGCCATGTTTTGTTATATTTTCTCCTTGCTTAATAACATTTCATTTGCGTTTACAAAGAAGTTTAATTTTTTTAGTATTGCATGATTAATTAAAGTAATAATACTTCAAAAATGCGTGAACTGGTAAAATATTTGTTTAATGAAGTGGAGGCATTTTTTGAGTCAAATGTGAAGTACAGTAAGCCATAGTATTATACAAGTCTGCTGTGACAGCACCAAGTCAAGTACCGGTATTGGCATTTGTAGAATTTGTATTATTTCATAACAGACACCAAGTCTACATGCATCACTTTCCCACGTTGCGTACACTGTACGCCATTTATACTCATAAGAATAACGCGTAAAACAGAGAATTTGTTGTCGCTCTTTTTATTACGTTGTGCAACCGCAGCTGATATATTGTGCGGTTGTGTTGAAAAATAATAACATTGAAATATTTTCTACCTGGCAATATCCGTGCTAATACTGATGACGATAGCGCTTGTGATATTGATGTTCCAGGAGCAAAAATTTAACGAAGACACACGACAAAGAGCCGAATAAATCTCACCAGATTTATTTTCGTTTAATACTACAGCGGTTTACCTGTAATCGCATGATGTTGCGGATTTTCGTGCTTAAATTGATTTATAATTTAGTTGATATGCATAACGAGGATTCGGTGCTGAACAAAACTTGTACTATTAAATTTTGATACAGAAATTATAATTTACAACCAAGATATCAATCGTTATCAACCAACGCTGAAATTGTAGTAAACCTAGCGGAGTGTCACGTTATCGTTTTCGTTGATTCTGCATCCTGCTGCTCATTATGGGGAATCTCAGTTCGCGGCGGGCAAAAATTTACGAAGTCGAGATCAGCCAAAATCAACGGCCTATACCACCGCGTAAATCTGACGCTGTCAAACGCCGACTGTCTGACGTCATTCCCGATACCCTACCGGCACCAACAGTGAAGAAAAGCGATTCCACCATAAGTGCGTTTTTAATAGAACGTTTTCTAACGTTTTATATACTCGCAATAAATATTTATCATCCTGCGAAGCCTATTGCACGCAGTACAGAATCAGCTACTGAATCAACATTTTTTGGTTTTATATATATGTTACCGAAGCTTTGATTTACTGAGAAGGCGCTAAAAAACGCAGTTTATGTAATTACAAGTATATTTATTTGATATCATGATGTGCTCGTTCAGCCGCTGTAACGGTGACCGATGTGACCATATGTATAGAAGTATAGTTTTTCGCCAGTTTTTTAACGTCGCACACTGTGATGCTTGCATCTGTCTGCGTATTGTTGGGATGCGACATTATTCTGTTGTAATATTGTATTGTGGCGCGTGCTTTTGTATCCCTAGTGTTTGTTATTTGCCAGATATCCCCGCAAAAGATATTTCATATATAACCGGCGAAAACGTTCCTAAATCAAAAAGCTCAGATTCGTCTTCCAACGGTCACAATTCCAGTGACAAACCGGGAAATCGACTCCACAAACCCAAACTAATAAGCCTGAAGGAAGTCAGACAAGTAACTACGTCAGTTGCCGCGTCCACCACCGCGATCTTATCACCACAAGAGTTGGATGACCTTAGCTAAAATTAACAGCAACTAACTTTTGTTGCAGTAATTTTCTGACGAAACGCATCTATGGCCTGGACAAATCACCGCGCAGCTTTATTGAATCATTATTTCCTCAACCTACACGCTTATTTAATTATCGCTTATTATGGGTATCATATGACCTTTTGGCCGGTTTACTAGTAGCCATGATACATTTCACTCAAGGTACAGCGAGCTTAATTTATGTATATCATTTCTGCATTATGTATTGGAAAAAATAGAGACCTTTATGCCTGTTCTTCAGAATTTGCCACGGCCATGACGGGAAGTATGCGGCCCACACAGGGATTGTACATTTCCATCTTTCCGCCTCTTATCTACGCCTTACTAGCCACATCCCCGCACAATTCACTGGGCGCCATGCCCATAACCGCCGCCGTTGTCGGCGTGTCGGTTATGGGCATCCAGGAAACCTATTATCCGCAGCAGTACGATGCTGCGACGGGAACCCTCCTGTCGAATGGCGCACAGTGGGACCTTCATTTCCAGGTATCCACCGGATTGGCCTTCTTTGCCGGCTGCTTTATGGTATGGCTTTCCACAAAATTCACTGTGTAAAAACCAATATTCATCATCTTTAGTACACAAGGATCGCCAAATTAAATGCAGTAAAAAAAACCAAAATTCAGTAACTCAGACAAACATCAGACGCGATGGAATTACTGTTATACATATAAATGCAAAGGTCAACTCTAGCATAAAAAGTCTAGTGGGAAGCCGCAACATATCTTCCAGACGTACGCAATGCAAAAACAACTATCGACTAAAGCAATTGTTTCTGCAGATAGCATGGGGATTACTGAAGATGGGCTTTCTCTTCACAATCATTTCTCCATCGGTGATGGACCCCTTCGGGCTGGCTTGTATGCTGCAGTCGATCATGGCACAGGTTCCTGCCGCCTTCGGAATACAGGTTCCGGTCAGGTTCACTTATGCCAAACATTTCCGTGTACGATGCACTTTACACCTTTAGCACAGACATAAGTAATATTATTATTTATGTATTATGTTTGGTTGTTAGGATCTCATCTACTTTCTAACAAATATCTATTCCATCAAAGTGTGGGAAGTCGTCATTTCCATATCATTTGCCAGTGTGGTGCTTGTATTCCGTGAATATCTCCAACCAATTATTTATCGCAAGACTAAACTTGTCGTCCCCATTGTAAGGTTGACTGAAACATATAATATAGCGAAAGTCATCAAAACTTGTGCTGGTCTTTTAAATTAGGAGTTCCTTATGTTTGTTGTGGTGATTGGTTTGAGCTATCACTTTCGCTTCCAGCAGCGATTAGATGTCCGCGTTGTCGGCAGTTACAACCACGGGTAAAGAAAATTAATAGCTATGATTTTTTAAACGTATACAGTATGTTGCAAATTATGCATTAGTACTATTAAATATATTATTTCGACTTAGTCCTGGGATAAGGTTATTTAATTATGCTGCAACTGATTCAGATAGGGAGGTTGCGCTGGTGCACCTACGCTACGATTTATGTAAAAGCTTATAAAACTAATAAAGTTGATAACTTCACAGTTAAGCAACAGCGCAAATCTGTGCTAACGAAAGATCAACCAAGCTGCTTTCTTTGTGTTGCAGTCTACCATGGCCAAGCATGCCCGGCTATGACTACGGTTTGAACATTGTCTGGCATGGATTCTTCTGTGCCGTTATTGCTTACTCAGTCACGCTGGGTTCAGCGCGTACATTAGCCCGTAAAAATAAGGACAACATCAAGACCAATCAGGAGCTGATCGCCCTGGGCTGTGCTCATCTGTTCGGGTCGTTTTTCTCCAGCTTCATCGTATCGGCACCCATGGGGCGGGGCATCATCAACCAGTCGATGGGCAGTCGCTCGCAATTATCGGCGCTCTTTGGCAGTGTTTTCTTGGGGATTATTGTGGCATTTGCCGGACCGGCGATTTCTTATTTACCTCAAGTAGGCATTACAAACTGATAGTGTACTATCTTACTAATCACTTTTTAGGATAATAGGGAGTTTCGTATAACCGCGAGGCCCAGTAGAGTATATCACCGAAAACTGCCATTTTCTTATCGATACGGATGACCAGATAGACATATGTTTAAACAAGGTCACGCCCTGCTATCGCGCTTTATAACGATGCTTTCTGTTTTCTAGTGCATAATTTCGACAACGATCGTTCTGTTCCTTGTGTTTTCTTTACGGGGATTTACCGAGCTGCCAAAACTGTGGAAATCTAACAAATTTGATGCGGTAAGGAAAGCGATAACTTTTTCTGTTTCCTAATTACAATTTTTCAGACTTGGGCGAGGGCTGATTAGTTTGCTGCTGCACTTTAAATGCTACTTTGCAGCTTGTCTGGGTTTTGACCTTTGTCGCATCCGTTACACTGAATGTGCAAATCGGATTTTTACTTGGCATAACACTCTCCGTTGTTGGCTTAACAATTCGTACCCAAAGGTTAGAGCGAAGTCGGGTTGTTTTTTTTAAATAGTTTCAATTCTTAATCTTGTTTATCGAATTCAAACAGTCCCAAGGTACGCGTTCTTGGTCGATTAAAGAACTCAAATGGATTTGTGCCACTGAAATATTATAATAAGGTAAATTTCACCGCCCTACATTTCTATCATGATGCATGGGTTAATAATACAGTAATTTGCAGGCCGAAGAAATCGCTGGTATACGGATTCTGCAGATCAACTGTCCACTGCACTACGCTAATGCCCATTATCTAGTCCAGGATGTGCTCACGTTAGCCATGGAGCCGTTCGTCATTGCCAAGAGCAGCTTTACTAACGAGAGTAACCTGTTCAATGAAAGCGGGCATTCATTGCGCTCCTTCCTCGGCACGACATCGGTAATGCCAGTAGAAAACATCGGTATACAGTTATACAGTTATACTGTATCTACTGCTGAATCTGTGTTGATTCACTATTAACTATGTATCAAAAACTAATTATATTTCACAATTTGTTCTCGAGATTGCAAGTTGATTCACATCCTGACTGTAGAACCCAAAACTGTACCGCTCCAAAAACCGCTTCGATAATGGTGATAAAACTGGCAGCGGTACAACGGAACGGCCGCGGTTTACAAGGAAGTTATCCAGCTCGCAACCAGAAGAGTTTCCCCCATATAAACCGCCAACATCCACGACACGCATTTCCAATGAGTTTATCATGATTGCCGGCAGTTCGACCAGTAAGGCGTCCCGCGTTATTCTGGATCTGGGCACGGTTGGTTACATTGATGCCGTAGGAATTCGCGGTCTGGAACAACTGGCCAGTGACCTTAAGGTTAAAGCTATCGAGCTGATTTTGGCGCAATGCAAAGGTAACATCAGACTCCTTGCAAAACATTTAGACATTCAAATTTCTTTCCTGCATAAGATTAATCTAGTAGTAAATATCAGAAACTTCGAAATACGGCAGCTATCTAGCATTTCGTAGGTTCTGTGCGCAAGCAACTACGGGAGCTGGAACTTGGCAAAATAGTGCCAGAGCGGAATATCTTTCCCAGCCTGGTGGATGCTGTGAACGAATCCAGTCGGCGCATCCGTATTAAGACAATTGAAGCCCAGGGCACGATTCGGGATCGAGAACGGCGCGATGTACGGTTTTGGGATTTTCCAGTGGCCAGTCGGATATCTGGATTGCCCCAAATCAATTATCGCAAAGATTAGACTGGTTAAGGCGTAGCTATACTGACTGCTGCAAGATCTGCACCGATGAAATTATTACTGTCCTTTGAGCTTGCTTTAATAATTTTACTGACTCTTTTGTGTGCAGTTGCGTGTACTTGTTGTAAACTCTGCGAGGTGGTACCTCTCAGAGTTCACCATGACCCTGATGCGTAAATTTTATCAACTACTGAACCATTTGATAATACTGTGCAAGATCCATTTCGTCAACGACATGTTTATACCAAATGTAAAGCACTGAAAAACATTGAAAACTAAATTGTAAGAATACGTCAATTCTGTGAGTTAATAATATTATGCACTTTACTGCCTTGAGCAAACTTGGATTCCCTTGGGAATAATTCCTGAGTTGTAGCTTTTGATGACGACAGGTTGCTTTACAGAGTACGGTTATTCAATACAACCAACAGAGTGCAGTATTAAACGAAGTCAAAGTTTTTTCGGGACTACATCGCAGGCGTTTGCGCAAACCTACTGACTCAAACGTTGCGCAGGAATTTTCGCCGTTACTTTCAGTACGTACTTGTTAATACAGAAAAGTAAGAGATAACATTAAACGACACCTGTGCATGCTATACTATCCCGGGTGTGATCATAAAAATAATTACTGAATGTGAGCGAACTCCACGGTGTATCTGCAGATTTCGAGGCCTTCTCCGAATGGCGAACTCTTCAGGTTCTTCTATAGAGGGCAACCAAACAGTTTTTATTCCAAATTCCACAACTACCGAGAGCATGTCTGCGTATATAATCGGTACAGCGACAAGCATTATTTGCGTGCTCAGTGTTACCGGCAACGGACTGATTCTACTTCTTGTCGTTCGGAATAGGCAGCTCATCGCTCGAAACCCTTTCTATATTTTCCTGGTCAACCTAATTATCGTAAACTTCATCTATTCTGTGTGGGAAAACGTTTTCGATATCGGAGTTGAGTTTTATTCTAACTTTTGGCAGGTGTACAGTAATACGGCTTGTACGATGTACTTATACTCCAATTATACACTGCGTAAGTATTCTACCGTAATATTAGTAATATGAATCTTTTTTTTGGTAAACCTATGACTGGATTTAATTTTACCTCGAGGCTCGATTTATTGTGAATGGATTTTTCTTCCTATAAGTATATATACACAATTCATACATGCTATTGGACCTACTGGTACATGTATTTTGACATTGTGCATTCTGCCCGATTTATTTTGGTATACTCCAATTCGAACTTAGCAGTAAGTGATTAAAATATTTAAGAACTAAATGTTGAAGATGCAATTTTTGTTAAAGTCGCCAAGTTTTAGTCGCAGCCGCAACAAATGCATTCCTGTTATTCTTTTCATCTATTTCTTGTGTTCTAGAAGGTGTAGCCTGCAACGCTCATCTGTTGATAACGTTAAACCGTTTGTGGGCAGTTCTCTTTCCGGTTTCCTATCGATCCAATCAGAAACCGGCAGTCTTTCTCCTTATCTGTGTTGGGGAATGGGCGTATGTCCATATTGTCATGCTTTCGGGAATTCTCCTGGATGCCCTTTATTACCGCCTGGACATCCGCACCAACGGCTGCACTGTAAACAACTCCGTGTTATATACATGGAACATTTGTGTGCCGTTTTTCTTATACTTGGGACCTTGGTTGGTACAGATTCTGGCTTTACCGCTGATTATCCACAAACACCGCCTTCGCCGCCATGAACGACGCCGACTGGGACCTACAACTGATACCGAAGGTAGAGTCTCGTTACCGCGAATTACTGCCGCCACTACAAACCGTCGTATGGACGATCGACAACAGCCTGGCCGTACAAAGGAGTCTCAGTCCATTGTACTGCTGACGCTGCTGACCATCAGTGCCGTTGTCTGCTGGACACCGAATCACGCGGTCTACGCGGTGTACACCGTAACAACACCGCCGAATGATACTATGATATTCTCGGTTGTCACTTGTTTGTTTGGCGTGCAGTTGTTCATGGATCCCATCTTGTTTTTTGTTTCTTTATCCGACCTTTCGTTGGCATTTCGAGAGCTGACGCGCAGTGTGTTGCCCATGTTCAGAGCGTATAAATAAGCAGCTTTTTACTCGTCAATACTGTGCAGCAACGCATAATTATTGTACGAGTACAACTAACGGTGCAAGCCATGGCCAGTAACCAGCAACACAATTCTACAGTCTTACGGGTGCAATTCGCACTGCAATTATGTTTGTTGTCCCGAGATAACATTTACTAACTTTTATCTTCATTTTCGTGATACATTTCTTTTTACAGTTTTAAAAGAACACACGAGTTGACGAATTGTGAACGCCTTTTGTCTGATACCAAGGAACTTTCACAGGGATCCAGAATGGCAGCTAGCCGGTGTATTTATGAATTATCAGTGTTTATGTGGAGAAACGTTCTTTGTGGCGGCGGTATATAAAGCGTAAAATATGCATGAAATGATGGAATTAACTACAAAATGTTTCGCGAACATATATCTATCTATGTATATATTTGCCGAAGAATGGAGGAACGTTAAAAACAAATTTGGATACCTCGAAGCCCTTACCTGTAGCAAAAATAAGTCGGATGACATAAATCTTAAGGAAAAAGCAACATGGTAGATACTACCCGAGTAGGTAGATACTGTATGCCGTATTTGGCCATATTAGCAGCAGATCGAAACATCTGGTACTAAGTCGTATCAATTACTGACGCTCATGCACTCTTCAGTAGCGATTTGCTGTCTGGAAGGGGTTTCTACAGACTCCCGAACGGAAGGAGGGCAAATAAGGAGGGAACGGAAGGAGGGCAAACGGAATGAAGGAGGGAACGGAAGGAGGGAAGGCTCTTTCCGGTAGTGGTATTGTTAGCTTGATAGATCACAAGGCTTTTGCAATTTTGCAGTCTAATAAAGGTGATCCAAAAACCGATGTCTCAGCTAAATTATAACTACTCGAGACCGGTAACGGCGGCACGTCGCTGACTTGTGAGATAAATGGGTGCAACGCGGTATAATAATTATGATATTACGCAGTATATAACATGCTCTCATACGACCGTAAAAGTCTGAAAAGCAGGCAGTGCCACAGTTTTCGATGGGACTACACAAAGGTTTATTTTCGATTTGAATTGCTGACTCACTATGCCTAAACACTTTAACCAATATTTCATAGACATGTGTTACGTAACACCACCGCACCCCCCTCAGCATTCAAATAATGGCAGTGTTGCTTTACTTAGTAAAAGTAAATAGTAAACCTTACTTATTAAGCCGTTTTTGCCTTTTACTAATTAAGGAAAAAGTAAGTAAGCAGCAAAACGGAAAAGTAAAAGTAAAGTAAAAGTAAGAGCAGCCGAGGCTTCAGAAGTAAATAGTAAGTAAAAGTAGGAGGCGCGAAAAGGGAATAGTTTAATTAGTAAAGCAGTCTTTTTACTAAGCGTCCGCAACAGATAAAAGTGACGGCCATCATCAGAATTCTGCTGAACATGCTTTTTTCCATAGCAGTTACGTTTGGCCGTACAGGTTTTCTTCTGAAGCGCTAAAATTTCTGCACTGCAGATGCCTTCAACCGTTTAGGTGGGCGAGTTACGTGACTGCCAGGCGTATTAGCTAGTGCTGCTTCACTGCAACGGATACGGTGTAATGACTTTTGCTAATTTTTGTTAAAAAAATAAGTATTGTATTTTACACAGAACCAAATTGGTTCATTGAAACAAATTTCTGAGCACAAATTGAAATTAATCGGTGTGTACACTGTCGCATAGTACAAGCAGTTATTTTTGTTTTGGATACGTTACCATCATCATACGTGATATGCTTAAGAAATGAATAATTATGGCAAAATTGAAAACTTTTGTTGCGTACTGCGATTTTTCGCAAAACACGAATAGTAAATACTAGTTTACTAGTGATTACTAAGTTAGTAAAAATAAGTAAGGTTGCGATAAAAAAAGTAAAAAGTAAGTAAAAGTAAGGAAGAAAGATTATGAAAAGTAAATAGTAAAGTAAATAGTAAAGCCAATAGCCAGACGAAAAGTAAAAAGTAAGTAAGGTTTTGGGGCAATAGTAAATACAACACTGAATAATGGATGGCCTTTAAAGTACTTATTATCATCTTGTCTGCAATATGCGCTCACAATAATCCTCTTTCGAATGGCGAACACTTCAATTTCTTCCTTCAACGGGAATCAGACAATCCTTAATAACAATAATTCCAGCATTACAGAAAGCACATCGGCATAAGCAATCGGTGTGGCAACCGTGATCATTTGCGTATTGAGCGTTACTGGCAACGGGCTGGTTTTGGTCATTGTCATTCGAAATAAACAGCTCATTGCTCGAAATCCTTTCTATATCTTCATGGTAAATTTGATTACCGTGGACTTCATCTATTCTGTGTGGGAAAATGTTTTTGATATCGGGATAAACTTTGATCCTAGCTACTGGCAGATACATAGTAATACGGCCTGCACGGTGTACCTGTAATGCGGCTATACATTGCGTAAGTTTTTCGTTGTTATCGCAATGATATAATCACATTACAATTGTTAGAGTAGTCCATAATTGTTGAAATTAAAGATTGCATTCAGCACTAAAGTTGTAGTTTAAGTCGTTCCCTTATGCTGAAATTGGATGTATACACTATACAGCTTGTAATCAAAAGGTCACCATTAGAAAATTCGTGGTCGACCACCCAGTGATACAATTAACCAGATCAACCCGTATTCGAAGTAGGTGATTCTAAATATTTGTGAACGAATCCTTTAAGCCGTTTCCCACATACAACTTTGCCGTATTACATTAACTGATCATTTTCTTTCGATTAATAAAAATCTTCCAATTTTTAGAAGCTGTGGCGTGCAACGCCCATCTTTTGATAACTCTGAACCGTTTATGGGCGGTTCTGTTCCCAATTTCCTACCGATTCAATCAATAACCGGCAATCTTTGTCTTGATTTGTATTGGCGAATGGGTGTATGTCCACGCTGTAATGCTGTGGGGACTGGTGCTGGATGCCCTTTGTTATTATCGCTTGGACATCCGCGCCAACGGCTGCTCCGTGAATACTCCCATGGTTTATGAATGGGCCGTATGTGTGCCATTTCTCCTGGCCGATGCAAATTCCCCTGGCCGATGCAAATTCTGGCTCTCCCACTGATTATCTACAAACATCGCACTCGGCGCCATGAACGACGCCGTCTGGGACCGGTACTCATCCGGTCATCAACGCACACCGAAGGGATTGTCTCTGTACCG